GCACCGAGAACAGCATTCACTAGCAGATGGGAACAAAATCGCTTGTTACCAATGAACATATCGTCAAGAAACAGATCTTTATGGAAGTATGGATGGAAAGGATATATAAAGACAAAATATATTTGCAAAAGCATGCGTAGCATCGGATTATCAGAGGAAACTGTTGTCCAGCTTGACACGGTCATAGATGATATTCGAGGATCAACCAGTTCGACGGTATGATACGGCGCAAGATACATCTTCCGAGACTCGTCCGTAACGTCTCTTAGTGTTTCTATGTATGTTTGTGGTTGGTGTGACTGTGTACCCGTCATCTCGCATACGGTCGACTGGAGATATGGATTGTACCATTGATTCAGGAACGGGGGCATCTCCCGGAGGTACGGAAATTCATACCGGAATCGAAGCTCTGGCTTGTGCGAAAGCTGAAGCAGCAAATCACCGTCTTGGATGGCCTTGACGATGGATTGCGCATCTTCGCCCATACGGAGTCGTTGCAAGACTTGGGTAGTCTCTTCGTCAGGTCGAGATCGCATGATACCAAAGAGATCCTCGTACGCTTGACATTTAATCTCGAGGTCGGTCAACTTGCGTTTCTGCGCCCTCAAGTGTGTTTCTGTCGGGAGTGTCGTGTATTCGCAGGGTGTTTGTCGTTCGACGCAAACAGAACATCGCGGTCGTTCGGCAGTGCACTACATTCTAGTCAGCTTCAAAAAACAGGTACGTTGAGGGAGCTAGGAAGGTTTCAACCTTGCTCTTCCTTTTTCGGCAGGCCTCGCAAGCCGCTGGAGTGGCTACTCGCTTTGCACGATGTTGGGCCTGCGATAAGGTTTCCACGCGAGGAGGGTTGGGGGAGTTGGGCAAGAGTGGCCGCAGAGGATGCGACATACAGAATACGCGAGATCCAAGACACTAGACTAGGTTCACTAATAGAGGTATGGTTATTGAAATTGTAAATGTCTTGCTTGGGATGGTTAATCTGTATGACAAATCTCGAGAAAGAATTGCTGGCCCCTACGTACGTTCTTGATAGCGAAATGCTGTTGTCCTTGTATTTAACATTTACTTGAATATATCATTCGATCGACTAAGCTAGGACCGGGTACACCTAACAGTCAGGGGGCGAGATCTATGGTCCTAGGTGGTCCAAAGTGGCGTTTGCATGCAATACAGAGAGAATGCAACCGGGACAGGCAGTATTTAAATCCACATGGTGTCCTGTCTCTCCAGCGACACCTGGCAGCCGAGCTGGAAAACACATCGTTGGTGATCACATCCTTAAAGCTTCGTTAAAACCGTACAGAAAATCTCATGTAAGCAGACTAAGGAATCCACAGGTAAGCGGCTTTTATGCCTGCGATATCTAGCAGGAAGTCTTGGTATTATTCATCCCTAAGCAACCCTCTCAAACAGCCACTTTAAGACATAAACGCTCTACCAATATAAAATGAGGCGGTTTAATACTTTAGACACGGAGAACTTCTCAAGCTCTCTCTTTTGGGTTTCGTGGTTTCTTTTTACAGGTGTAGATGTGAAAGTTGTACATATATCGGAAATCCATTATATTATACTTGCAAAATGCCCTTTATATGGGTGGCATAACGTCTTAACCAAGGTGCCTTTATAACCCAGGGGGATTAAAGCGGAGTAGTTCTTTATTTATTAATAAAAGCTTCCTCTCTGAGTGAGCTGAGCTTCTGGTGTTGTGCCATTGTAATATGGCCACTACGAAGATTTGCGTAGAACCCCATCCTTTAAATGCCGTGTTAGAAGAGTAAGTCCTAAGCAAAATCAAGGGGCAATTAATGTAAAATTTCCATTTTAGGAAGCTTAAAATAATCATTCTGACGTACATTGGGGGAAATGATGATGTACTGTGTCCAATACTAGATACTTAATATTGGGCTATAACATAATGCGATAGTAATGGGCTGGCTGGACATACTAACATATATCGTATAAAGAATGGTATGATATTCTTCCGGATCACAAGTGAAATTATATGCTAAGTGGAACCAAAAAGAAAATCTCCCCTTACCTCTGCTGTTCTATTGCCCCAAGTTGTGTCCTCCAGCATCAGAATTCCCGTATGGACCAGCCGCTCAACAAGACCAAGCGCCGGAAGCATACAAGCGACAGTGCCACAAGAACCGGATACTGATTTTTGCAGCTCCACCTAATATCACTAATTTCCCGCAAAGCTACTATGGTAATGTCTTTTTTTGGCCTTTACGGCTGCATCCACGCAGCTGGGCGAATACTATGTGGCCACTTCTGTCCTGTCTTACTCGTATAATCTATCGAGTATCCAAGCGAGCACCGCCTCTAAATCCCTCCCATACCCGGAAACCTCACTACTTATAAAATGCCGCCCCAATTCCGTGCTAATGCTCGAACCGAACGATCAATATTAGATCCGAGAAGTCAAAGAAAGCAGAGAGAAACCTTCAATATACTAAACGTAGTTTAGCATTGAACAATTTGCTTGGCGCTCTCGGTTATGTATTTCTGTATGACCGCACAATCGCCCATGCCGTGTCTCAACACTATAATGAGGTGGACTGAGAAGCATGGAAGCAACTTCGTGGGAGCCTATGGCTACATATACTGAAAGCATCCTTTGTTCTAGATGTATCATTTAGAACCCCAACAAATACCACGTTCTCAAGCCCGATAACTTCCTCTCGCAACGCATCTGCCATGGAATTCAACGCGTTTCTCTCGGTCGCAAGCTCCCTTTCGCTTTCCTGAAGATCCGCTGTCTGCCACCTTTTATCACGGCCCTTGGTAGCCGCCACGCGGTTTTTCTTAAGCCTTGCCACCTTTTGAGTGCCTCTAACTCCGAAGTCATCATCATCGGGAGAAGATGGTGGCGAGATTGGCTTGGATTGGCTCTATGTCCATTTGAAAGATGGCCACCAATACCGCTAGACATCGCTGAAGCGTTCGCAGTAGGACCGAACTGGTTAGAACCACTGTTTGATCCGATGATTCCTGATATAGAGATTACCCATCCCAAGACATGGAAGTTATCAAGGAAGTCAAATTCCCGAGGGCCAAATTCTATATCTGGTTTCTGGGGAGCCGGGCCGTTGGTACTACTATGGGGATTATACAGGTCCGATGGGTCAATATTGCATTCCATTGTCCCCGTTCTGATGCCTGTAGGTTGGTGGCAGGCAAACAAATTGCTCTTCCACGGTCAGGTATAATTGATCACCTAATCAAACGAGGTGTGGACCGTAACGGCTAAAGGGATCGGAGACGTTTTGGGGGCCTGTGGATTGACACAAATATATGGATGGCATTAGTCAGGCTATCTAGCGAGGTTAGCTTATTGAATAGAAATAGAATATAGAGAGTTTAGCGGCAAATAATAGTATACCACTTAAAGTCGAAGATCATGCTTAGTTATTGGCTAGATATTATGCTAGTGGCGGCTCATATGGTTGAATTTGCGAGTACGGACGTGTTTTTACATTTTTCCTCGAAACTAGGAACAGCTGACTATGTCACGATTTGACTGAAAGCCATCACAATTCGAATATCTAGCGAGCATGTGGCAAAGTAGTAAACGGTAAAATTAGCTACATTTGTCAACAGCGGCACGGTTATACCAAAGATTTATGCCGTCTGTGATTTTCTCGGTCCGCCGACGATCGACGCAAAAGTAAGAGCAATTATTACAAATATTTCAAGTAGTCATGTAGGTTACAATAAAGCTATGTCTCAAATGACTAGCTGCGTCTCCACATTCGGAGAGCATTCCATCACGATATATTGGTCAAGAATATTGGAGCAACTGGCTATGAACGGGCTATCCATATATATCTTATTCTGGTACTACACTTAACACGAAATCCATATCTGGGAGTCCCAACGACAATAGAATGCCATTTATTGATTTGATCTAGACTCTTGAGGTACGTGTGGCGGCGGAGTCTTCTTTAGAATATGGTAAAACAAACCACGTATATCGCGGGTCGATACTTTATTTCTTGAGCTATCGCTTACCTCGTTAGATTCTACCTCGTTAAAGACTAAACTATTAAATATTATAGATGCAATAACTAGTTGGATTGCTATCCGGTCGATCTATTACGGATGTCAATATCTCGAAATAGGACAAGCTATTTAAGATGAAGAAACAATTTACCCCTCCAAACAACATCTTCTTTTCCCACATAGTTCCAACTTTGAGTTGTTAGATAGTGGCCTTACATGCAATGGATGTTACAGACGAACCACTAACACTATATCGACCTAGTCATTAAAGATAAGTATAACGAAGTTAATCTACTCGCTTTACCACACCACATGCTTACCTAAACTAACTTATCTTTAGGCTTTTATGTTACTTAAATGTATAAACAAATATAAATAAATATAAATAAACAACTAATACTAAATTAAGTTTAAGATATTACATCTTCATATATTTATAACCGTTTATCTTATAAGTTTATTTTTTTACTTATATATACTTACCTTAAGTATTTAAGTAAATAGGTAAATACGTAAACTTAATGGTAATCCTCGCCTGGAAAAGTGAAAAAGGCTTATTGGAAAGTGATTAGTTTAGGTAAATTGCTAGAATTCTTTTCTAATAGCGGATTTTACATAATAATGGCATACGTTTTTTATTAGTTGTGTACTTTGTTGCGACCGTTCTCTTCCTACGGCATGAGAGCATATTAATTTTATGACATTATCGTGGCGCTGACTCTTATGTCTGGTTAGGCTATATTTCTAGTTATTTGTAAGTTAAAGAGAGATGTTAGATCATGTAAACGATTTTGTGCTCTGCCAGTATCGTATTTATGTAGGTACTTCGTAGTCATCGTCAATTTGTAACACCATGTACAATATGACCGAATCCACGGGTCTTTAGTAGTTTGTCAACTGAGGATTTTGGGCTCTCTTTATTGGCTATTCGGAGCCGGCTCCGAAATATTTTGCCATCTTCCTTGTTAAGCTCCACGTTTCTATCTATCTCCTTGGAAATAATCGAGTCACCTAAAATTCATGAAACCTACGATTGATGGCAACCTTTGCGTCTGATTGCTTCTGCTATTTTCAGCTGATCTCCAATTCTCTCTACCCTTTCGATTAACTAAGCACCTGTGTATCGGGCAGCAAAACCGCATATGCCGTGTTCTAGATATCAGCCAAGTTGTGTCTTATGGAGCCGAGGAACTTGAAGAAGCTCGCGCCAGCACAGGCCTCACCTAGCAGTGGCGAAACGCCTAACCAGACATCTTTATCTATACCAGGTCCCCGCAGAAACCTAACAAGGAATGTAAGTGAGGTTCCCACACGCCAACTAGGAGGATGTCTTCCGCCCATAACACCCTCCATCATAGGCATGCTCCCCATGTAAACTCAAGAAGGCAAAGGCAAGAACCCCACTATGATGAACATGTGTCATGACACCCCCTAGCAACTCGAAGCTGAAGGTTTCGCAGTGTGATGGAAACCGACCCACGTGCGGGAGATGTCAGAAAGCCGGCGATACGTGCCTATACGAAGCGAATAAAAGAGACATCGGAAGACTACAGATATTAAGCGAGTACGACGCAGCTAGATTGCAGAATTTTGAAATGGTTTTTGGGGTGTTGCAAAATGGGACCGACTATGAAGCTACCGAACTATTTTCTCAAATAAGAGTCGGGGAATCCATCGAAACACTTGTGCCTGCATTAAATCCTTCTCTTCCCCAACCTTCAGCGTTAGCATCGGTCAAGCAAACAGCGCTCGTGTCAGGTTCGGCAACTGGACGTAACGGGTCCGAAGACCCTTCTTTAACAGTAGCGTCGCAAAGTTTTATGGACCTCCTATTCGACCAAGATGGCTGGTCCCAGCCTGCTGATGGTATTAACGACTATGACTCCCAAATAGCCCAGGGAGAATCACACGACCATGCCCCCGATACCATCCAGAGCGATGACCAGCAGTCCCATTCATTCTAATCGACTACCTCATACGACTTTCCGATACCTCTCGATCCGATCTTAACCTCGAGAAGTCAGTCCGAGAATCTTTAGCAATCTTCCATTCTCGACTAATACGAAATAGAGCGACGGCTTATAATGCTATCGATGCGTCTTCTATGAGGAATATATGGGGAATAACTTGAACTTAGTTAAACCATCTCGAATAGCTTGGAACAAGTTTGAGCGTTGGCTGCCGCCGTAACTCGAGCAAGTCAGATGGTACGGCCTCGTGCTAAAATAGGATATCATACTTCATAGTAAGCCCTTTTTGTTTTGAAAAGAATACTTAATCATTCGGCAAGTAGACATTTACTTTAGATGATAGCTGCTGACTTTTGAAGTCTACCTAGTTGTCAGTATTCGCAGACCTGGTCTTACTCGTTTACATCGGTAGCTAACGCGAGGTCCTTCTCGTCTTCTATTACCGTATATGATATTTAAGGATGATGAAGATGGTAAAATATACCTAGCTGGGGATTAAATATAGAAAACGAGGTGACAACAGTCTGGATACATATCGGGGTTGAGTTGAAGATGGGCCGATGGTCACGCGAACATACCGCATTGCCACCCCGTGTAGGCAAATTGGATGACCAACCCGAACCTCGAGATCTACCCAGGAGAATGCCGTCAAAAAACATGACTTATACTCTGGTGGCTAGTATAGGGGACTCTTTTTGACGGTATTCTGCCTAGCAAGCTGGCTGTATTTATATGAATATGTACCTAATGCATTTTTCAGGCGGCACTTGAGCCGGCCTAATCAGCTGGCAAGGAAGATTGTCGGATTCACCAGGTTAGACTATAGAAATAGTTGAAACATTGAAGCAGCTCAAGAGCAAACAGCAGCAACGCTACATTGAGTTTGTTGCCCTATAATTTTCTTTTCATAGCCCTCCCTGATATGGAGTCGTCTACTTCGTCAATATGTAGCACCTTTCCGTCTCTGAGAATACGCGGCTCGTTTTATTTCATGCTCATGTCCAGATTCATATAATTCACCTAATAGAAGTGGAACCTGTCGAGGAATACTATAAGCGCTTAACGCGCTGACTGATGAGGACTAACCTAGCTAGGGTCTCGAGAAGTTGATCTTGGTCGAGAAAATGTGAGCAAAGCGAACTCGAGTAGGTAGTTCTTGGCTGTGATTACCTACCTACCTACCTACCTAGGTTAGGTAGGTACCTATGCCGTCCAAAAATAATATCCAATGAGGGACTTCGTAGGACGTCAACAAGCTGCGTCCCCGCGCCCTGTATTTGAACGTGCATACCCAACATTGTCTAGCTTATTGGAGATTCCTATTGTGAAGACAAGTACGATGGCTGTATAACTATGATAATTTGTCGCAATTCTTCCGTTATATACTGCATAAATCACAGCCTTCTAGGGACACGACGACTTAGATCCTGCGTGCTATAATCCGAACAATCACAATCCTCGAAGTTGAAATCGGAACTAGAACGACTGTATTAGGACCTACGATAGTAAAAAAGAAAAAAAAAGGAGTTGACCAATATATGCCAGCACAGTATACCTACCAAAAAGATGTAACTACTATAACTATCTACTTAAGTAGAAGAATACACACTCCGAGTACGCTGCGAATAACTCACTAGAGAGAACCGAAATTTTGCGGCTCAGTTTGGCGTTGTGACCTCCTCGATAAGCCAGGGGGAAGCATATAAGATACCAGATAGCACGACAGTGTTATCACCTAAGGTATGAGCCCGTCGGTCCTGGACAACTTGGCGCCACGCACGTGACACCCATCAGACTCCTCATAACCGGACTGTCTCCGGGGCACCTGATTGGCCGGAAACTACAGTTGGAATTGACTATGTACTATGTACCTACCAAAAAGATAGGTACGAAGTACATGCAGGTAAAATTATGTGGAATAGCCACGTGAGCCACAGTTGGAATGCACATATGTACATATTAAAGGTATTTACAGTTTAAAATGTACCTTAAAGTAAACCCCTTTTTTGTCCGGAAGCTTACCTAATGTAAATACTTAAGGTACATAATGTGGCTTATAAAATAAAATAAAATTTAATTAAAGTATTAACTCGTTATTGGTTTTTATTTTTCGGGGTTTTATATTTTTTAAAAAAATTATTATTTATTTTAAATCGTAATTTAATTTACCACTTATACTATATACATGTATTTATAATATTAAAACTTTTAATTTACTTTTATATATTATGGTTAAATATTTAACTTAAAGTGGTTAAAGTATAAAAGTTACTTTTAAAAGTTTTGTTTATAAGTAATTTTATTTGTTATTTATTAACCATTTAATAACTTAACTTATTTATTAATTTAATATAAGTTTTTTTTTATAATAATAAATTAATTTTAATTAAACAAATTAAATATTATTATAATATTAAATTCGTATAATTAAATCGTATAATTATTAAATCCATTTAAATAATTTATTAAATAATATAAATTATAAAATAATCGGTTATAAATTAACGTGTATATTAATGTATATATTAACGTATATGTTAATTTATATATTAATTTATATATTAATTTATATATTAATTTATATATTAATTTATTATTTTATATATAAAATTATTAACTTAAATATTAAATTATTAATTTAACAATTAATTTTTTATAATATTAATTAATTTAACGATTTTTTATAATATAAATTTAATTATTAATTTATTTAAATATATAAGTATTTAAATAATAAATTATATGATATAAATAAAAATTAATAAGTTTTAAATAACTTAATTTTTATTATAATTTATATATTTTTATTTTTCGAAATTATTATTAATATAAAATATTTAAATATTATTATTAAAATTTTTATAATAACTTTTAAATTTCCACTTGTAAATAAAAGTAATAAAAAGATTTAAAAAATTATAAACTTTTTTTCCCGTATTTATAATCGGATTTATTTTCGGGTTATTAAACGTAAATTTAATTTATTAACAATATTTTTAATTATTAAAAACAAATGGTTATATAATGTATTATATAACGGCTATTTTAAAATATAAAATAAAGCTTTTACGGATAAAGTAATTAAAATTATTAATAAAAATTAAAACGGTTAAAAAAAAATTACGATTAAATAGTTAACGATTTGTAAAACAAAGGTTTAAAAGTATTATTTATAATTATTTAAAAAGTTTTAAAAAAAGTTAATTATAAAAAAATAAAATCGACAAAAAAACCAAGTTTTATATAATAAATAAAAAACGAGTAATATTAATGGTATTTAATTTATTAATATTAAATTTTAAAAGATTAAAAAAACGTTATTTAATTAAACGAAACGGTAATAATGTTATGTTAATAACGAAAAAGTTTTCGGGTGTAACGATTGTTTTATAAAACCGTTACGAAAATTTATATTTATAAACGTTAAAAAAGTTATATTAAGTTTATATTTTAAAGGTATTTTACGTACGATAAAAAAAGCTTTTATTATTGTTAAACACCCGAAACGGCCGAAAAAAAAAAAAAGCCGAAAAAAAAGTAAAAGTTTTAAATAATAAATTTAAACCGTATTTAAAAACAAAATAAAAGTTTTAAATAAAATTTTATTAATTAAAATTACGTATAAAATTTAATTAAAAACTTTAATAAAAATTTAATAAAAAAAACGGTAAATTATCATAAAAAAATAACAGAAAAATCGATTAATATTAATATTATAAAAAAATTATTTTAAAAAAAATAATTTTTTTTATAAAAAAATATATAAAAAATCGACTTAATATAATTATTTAAAAAAATAACGCTTTTACATATTTTTATTAAATATAAAATAAAACATATAACTTTAATAACGTTATAAAAATAATATAATATATTAATTCATTTAATTTAAATATTATTAAATATATTTAATTTTATATAAAAAAAACAATTATAAAAAAAAAAACTTTAAAAAACCGTGATAAAATTATACGCATATAAAAGTTTTATTAAATAAATATATTATAAGAAAAAATTTAAATTTAAATAAAACATATTTTAATATATATATAAAAAATAATAAATTTAAAAAAAAACAATAAATATAAAAAAAACCGTAATTTAATTAAATAACGTATAAAGAAAAAAGTCATTTTTTTAATACCACCAATTAATAAAAAAACTAATTAAATTAATTAAATTAATTAAATTAATTAAAAAAATTTAAAAATTTTATTAATGTTATAAAAATATATTATATAATAAAAAAACATACAAAATTTATTTTAATTAATTTACACCGTTTTAAAAATATTCTTAAATTAAAAACGATTTAAATATAAGTAAACAAGTGGCAGGTGGCCTGTGCATACCTGGCAATAAAGGCTATCAGGTGCCAAGAAATGGCCTATAAACAAAACTTTTAAAAGCGACTTCCGTACCTAAGGTACGTATTCTCATCAATCCACAGGAGGCAACCCCGCTGGCTGCACAATAGCCCTGAGTTTACGACCATTACATCATTAATAGCCACATAGCTAGCCACATAGCCACATAGCCACATAGCCACATACTACACCACACATCATTAATCGCCAGGTCTACGATTCGATTCCTCGACCTCGCATCCCATCCCTTTTTTAACGCATTACTCCGCAGGCAAAAGTGCGGCGCTTCGCGCCGCACTTTTGCCTGCTACGTAAGCGGGTCGGTCTCCGCGTTTCGGCTTCGCCGAAACGCTTCGCCGACCCGGTGTTCCATAGGCGGCCTTCGGCCGCACAAGCCACACACATGCCTTCGACCGCACAAGCCACACATATCCAAGACCTTCGTGGTTGTGGCCGTGGCTTGGCTCAAAAATCGACAAAAACCCCACTTTCTCCAAAATGCACCCAATCAACATCTACCAAATCGACCAGGATCCTTCCTATTCCGGTAATTCTCAAATCCCAAATAGGCAATTTTTATTTCCTAATCCGGACGAGCTCCCATAGAAAAAAAATTCGACACAATAACCCTTCGTAAACTCAGGGCACAGTTGGTACGCGACTCAATTTTCTGCTTGTCATCTACATTATCGACGGTATACAACTATCCACACGATAGCACCAACCGTGATGAACCACGGCGCTAGCATTTTCGCGGCATTAATTCGGACTCATCACATAACTAGTCGCAAGAAACTTGCGCGTGTAAAGAAGGCCGCCCTTCTTCATAACTTGCATGTGCTTATCCGAAGTGGCGGGTCGCCCGGTATTATGTACGCCGAAGGACCTGATGAAGCCTCCGTCAGTAGCTGGGTCAACATGGTCCAGGCTCTGCGATATAAAGACTTTCAATGCGCACGAAAACCGGCCGCCCATCAGATCCGGAGTGCTGTCGGCCGGCTAAAAGACGGAGGCTTTGAAGAAGTTGCCTCCGTAACTGAATTCGGTGAGAGAATGGAGCAACGGGGTTTAGGAAGCTGGTGGAGAATCGGGAGTGAGTGTACTCCGGAGTTGGGTTCTCCTCATTCCGACTTCACTTCGACTTGAGACACATAATTGCCATGTGTAATTATGATATACGAGGAGCCTGTGATTTGCAGTTAGTCTAAGAGGATTTAGTGATAGGTATTGCTAACTTTTAACATTGCAGTGGGCTACGAAGCATCTGACTAGATTCCCAATGGGGAAGAGCACAATCCGATATTGCCCTTGAAAGGCTATTCGACATTGAAAACCCGATAAACCCCGAAGTGTCAATTATGAGGCACGGATTATTGCGGCTTGTGACTTATTCCCTCGCCTCCCAAATGACTGAAACAACGAGAGCATGCCATATACATTTCCTTCCCGACAGTATCAGCTCTCTCACAAAAGTCAAACACGGGTCCGAGAGGTAGTGACATTGAGTATTCCTTTGGGTGACGGAATATTTACTTGAGCCAACTGCTTGATCCGTGTGGGTGAGGTTTCCTAGTTGAAAGATCCATACCCTACCTACCTAGCCTCCTGGAGGCAACAAGGTAGAGACAAAAATAGAATGGGAACAGGCAGTTCCTCATACAGGTCATCACATTGCCGATAGACTTGTCTAGATGTGATGCGCGCATTGAGATTATGGGGGAACCTGGGGAATTTATCCGCAACTTGAGTTGTTCAACCGGTCCAATAATATCTATTGGATTTATTAGGATTTAGCTTTTTCAAATGAAGAATCTGGCCGAATACAAATAGACGGAATGTACTTATCCTTATAGTAACAATCGTGGTGTGTTGGTGTCTACGATGATAGCCTTTACGAAGGGGTGGCCTCGAAACATAAAAGCCCTCCCTGGCTACTCTCAGCTCGGATCGTCATTCGAGTTGCCTTTGCGAACCAAAACTCCGAGGCTATCCTAAAACCATATCATTGTGGGACGCTGTTTTACCAGCTTGAAACAAAAATGAGGTCTTCGCTTTACGCAGCGCTTGCTGCGGTGGCCGCCACCAAAGTCGCTGCGCATTCTCTGTTTCAGGCTCTCTGGGTCGACGGAGTCGATATGATAAGTCTTGAGCTCTCTTTACCGGCCGGCGTTAAACTAACCTACCTGTTAGCACGGCGCCCAATGTGTTCGTATGCCTGGGTCTAACAGTCCTGTCACCAACGTCAACAGCAATGACATTCGATGCAATGTGGGTGGCACCAGAGGTGTCTCAGGCAAGTGCGCTGTGAAGGCCGGTTCCATTGTGACAGTTGAGATGCACGCGGTATGAAGTTCCGTACCAAAAAACTTTAAGATGGAGTTGTTGACCGTAATGAAGCAACCCGGTGACCGAACATGTGGTAGCGAGGCGATTGGCGGAGCCCATTATGGCCCAGTGAACGTATATCTCAGCCAGGTTCCCGACTCCTCATCGGCCGACGGATCGACCCCATGGTACAAGATCTTCGCAGACTCATGGTCGCCCAAGGGCTCAGTTGGCGACGCCGATAACTGGGGTACAAATGACCTCAACTCATGTTGTGGAAAGATGGATGTCCCGATCCCAGCTGATACCCCTGATGGTGATTATTTACTTCGTGCCGAAGTCATAGCTCTACACACGGCATCGTCAGCAGGTGGTGCACAATTCTACGGTATAAAACTACCTATCTGAAACTTCCCTTAGAAGGTATGCAATCGCTAACGCTCAGTAGTAAGTGGTGATGATCCTATCATTTCGACTCACTCGAAAAACAACAGTAAGGATTCTAGAATTATAAGATTATAAGGCTAACACAATATGTTTTCGTATATTTAGATGTCGTGTTACCAGCTTAGCGTTACTGGTGGCTCGGCCAAGGCTGCTGCCCTGCCGGCTGGCGTCAAGATTCCCGGCGCCTTCAAGAGCAGCGACCCCGGCATCCAAATCAACATACATAGTAAGGTAAGCAACTACGTGAACCCGGGTCCGGACGTCATCGCTAGCGGTACCACGAAGCAGGCCGGCTCAGGCTGCTCGGCTGGTTGTGCGAAGACTTGTGCCGTTGGTTCCGGACCTGTCGGGACCGCTATTGGATCTGCCCCCAAACCTACCTCGGGCGCTGGCGGGGGTCAATCCGGATGCGCGCAGGCTATATACCAACAGTGTGGTGGTCAAGGGTACACGGGATGCACGGCATGTGCTGAGGGCCTTACTTGTAAGGAGGTCTCCGCGCCGTACTACTCCCAATGTGCTTAGACGCGGATGGATTTGTGTCGTCCTGAGACGAGTCTTGTACTTGGCTTCACTCGTTGATTAATATAAAGATGCTTCATACAAGCCATTTAGACGTGAGCATTACGCAATTATTTTAAAAGGTATATTGGTTTGCTCGCTCTACCTAGAGGTAGACATCGTTTGTTAGATACCTAAGGTACCTGATCTATAACGACTTGTCCTTATGTATTGCTTAGTTATTGAGTTAGGTATTGTTGTTAATTCCACCACAATTGTAGCACGTTATACTACCTAATACCTAATACCTAATACTTAATACTTAATACCGTGTAAACGGTAAAGGCTATTTATAGCTTCTCGTTTAACCCGTCCCTCTCCCCCGGGTGTTATATACATAGGTACATACCAAGACTAGCCCCTGTCATCTGCAGGCTGCAGCTACCCGTTCTGGCCCATGCAGGGTAGAGGAACTAGAGAAATTCTCCACAGAGACCACCGAACGCTCCGACGATCGCTCTTACATGCATCAACTTAATTCAATCCCGCCTCTTCTACTTCATCCCTAATATTCCCTATATTCATTAGGTTAGGTACTTACTAGCAGGACGTCAAAAAAGGTGGCTCACCTAGCAGGATAATTGTTAGTAGAGGTACGTCAGTTATTTTGACGTCTTTCGGCCTACCTACCTACCTACCTAGGTACCTATTCAGCAAAAAAGGAGTCAATAAGTCAAGTCAAGTCCGGTCCGCAACCATGGCTCCCCTCGACGAAGCCCACAAAACCCGCATCATCTCCCACATGAACGCCGACCACTACCGGGAGTTGGAGCACTACCTACGCGCCTTCAACGGATTATCCGCTTCTGCTTCTCGCGGCGCGCAACTAACGGACATGACTACGGACTCCATGACGATCCGCACCGCATCCGGCACCACCCACTCCGTCGCCATCAAACCGCCCCTAGCCTCTGCCGCTGACGCGCGCGTGCGCCTCGTCGACATGGCCATGGAAGCGTTGCAGAAGCTCGGCCTCAGCGACATCCGGATTACTACCATTACGCGGCCCCAGGGTATAGGCGCCGCGACATTCCTAGGTGTCGCTCTGTACATAGTCTGCGTAGCTACGTTACCGCTAGTACAGCCGGGCACTGCCGCCTGGACGCTCTTGGACGAGTACTTTCCCTTCGGGGGCGTAACGCGATACTTCTGGGTCGTGCGCGCGATCCTCGTGCCGACCGTGGTGCTGCACTTGTTCGAAGCGTGGTGGATGACGCGGTCGCGGCTAGAAAAGCACGGCGTCGAGACATTTAGTACGTTGTGGCTCTTGTGGATCGGGGACGTTCTGATGGAGGGGTATCCGGCCATGGTTCGTTTCGACGGGCTCGTGGAGGCGGAGCGGAAGAAGAAGGAGAGCGGGAAGCATTGAGGGTTGTTAGGAGTGCTTCATTGTGGATGCAATGGCTATACAGAGGAATAGACAGACAGATAGTGTTATATACCTAAGGTACTAATTAATATTAGCTAAGTGGGCAGCAATGTATTTATCATCCCAACTAATAACATCAACATCATGAAAGTAATAATGGGTTAGGTGATTAGCATTGATCGTAAACCCTTCCTACGATAATGGCAAAATAATGTGTACAGTAGGGGGCCTAGGTGTTCACGATGTCGAGGTCGGCCTTCATATAGGGGCTACAACAGACTCCAAGTTTTATCACAATCAAACGATGACTTATCAAAGTGGGAGGACAGTCACGTTATATTCCGTGTCTACTTGCTCAAAACGTAGTCCAATCCCCCCATCCCTTCGTAGGATAGAATTGCTCATCAACCCACTACAGGAAGGGCGGAATGGTTGAAATACTTTGCCGCTACCCTCCAATATTCCTAACCCGATATGTCCCAAACCCCTATTCCAATTCGACCCAAACAAATCCAAACCTACACCTTCATATATGTAGGTCTCCTATACCAAATTTGAACGCCGAATGCCCGATATATTCGCCACTGCGGGTATCTTATTGGCCATGTGCCATTGCGGGAGAACGGGAGAAAACAAATCCTCGGCTCAAAAAATATCGCTAAATGTTAATAAAAAGGCGACTGGTGGCGTCGACGAGACTACCTGGTTGCCTTTGGTAGTGCCAACGACGGAGGGCCTGGAGGTAGTTAATATTAGCGAGGTAAACTGAGGTGTCTTAGATTATATGTACCTTAGGTACCTAGAGACATTATTTACACCTTCGTAAGTGTGCGGCCGTCGGATGTATCATGTTGGAATTCTAGATGGTACATCTAGAACAAAGGACACTGCCAGTATGTATAGCTGTAGGCTCTCGTAGTTATCTTAGAGTTCCTCACGGAACAACCAAGTTGTTTCCTTGATTCTTGCTCCACCTCGTGACTGAGAAATGTGGCGTATTAGGTGCGACACTAACGTTACAATTATGTCTTATGGATAACATCGCAGAAAGACAGTCATAGAAAGAGTTGGAGGGTTGCCGGGGCAGGCTTGAATCCATCCTTATACAAACCCTTCAGAAATTCCTCCTTGGGCGTATGGCGACTCGGGAGGTGGAACGCCCCTGACCGGGCTTCCTCTAAGGCTAACTTGATGCCGAGCTCGTCCATAGCTCCGCACCGAGCCTCGTCGCAGGCGTTATGCAGAGAGCAGAGGACTCTCAACCCAGACTCCTTCACCTTGATAATAGCAACCCTTATATCCTCCAGCTTTTCGTACCCTCGGTTGTATTGCCCGAGTTCCTTCACTTCCAGAATCAGGCTCCGTTTGGGAGTTCTTCGTAGATGGCTGAGGATGTCGGTGGGACTGAGCCCTCTTTCGTAAAGTTCACGTGCCTCCTTGCCCTCAGGTTCTTTAGTCTTATCGGGACTTAGTAGGCACAAGAGCTCGGCGAACTCGAGTACGAGGCCATGCTATGACGAAATCTATCAGTAACCACTTCTAAGACGGGCTAAAGGGGTTGATGGGAAACGTTGCTTTTACTCACATATATCTCAATGACCCCGAGGAGTTCCTTATGTTTAGACCCATTGGTCCGATTGTCGACGCCGGTGATGATGCAGTCCGTGCCTCTCAATCCGCATCGCGTACATTTTGGAGAGCCCTCTCGTAATTCGCACTTGACTTTCGCCTTTCTACAAGCACTACACGAGTTATTTCGGACGGTACGCTGCTTCTTTTGGCGTGGCCCGAGACCGCCGTCGATCGGGCCCAAGTTTAATTCCGGGACCACGCTGGCCTTGCGCTTTGGCCCTGTCCCGGCCGATCTCCCCGACGGTTGCTTAGGTATCGACCGGACTTCATTGTGCAGCTGATCCGCTTCTGACTCGGCGGATATGAGTGGAGCTGGTACAACTGGAGTAGCCTGGACTGCATGTTGCTCTATTTGCGGCCTGGGTTCTGCGATGGGCTCGCCTGGTTGGTCGATCTGGTATAAATCCAGGGCCAGATCGGAGTATAAGACGGGATTACCGAGAAATACATTCTCAACACCCTGTCGCATGCCCGGCACAAGAGGCTGGGTATCATCTGAGCTTTCTTGAGGAGACCAGTCATCAGCAGGTGCGCCGGCATGGATATTATTATTAGCATTATCAGCACCCGACCCCGAAAGTCCAGAAAAATAGAATATGGGATCTTGTCGCCATGAGGATGGGGCTTGGGCGAGCGGCTGATCGACGGCTCCGTGTCCCTTGGGGTTTAGTCCCTGCTGTTGAGCTGGCATTGGAGGTGGCTGACTCGGGCCTGGCAATTGTCCCGGCGCAAAGTTCATGGGTGAGCCTCAAGAATTGTTAGTCTTCTAAACGTGATGACTGGGTAAATAATCATGGTACTTACCAGCCATGCCCTCTATCTGCGAGAGTGTCAGGGTCGAATGTTCTCGTTGCGGAGCTAGATGTTCAGTCCAATGTTGATTCCTGTTCTCAGTAACCGTGGGAGATAAAGGGAGTTCGTTGGTGATTTCAGAGTAGCCTGACGTGTTACGAGAACCCATTTTGGCTGAGGTAGTAATTTTTCGCTCTTTAGGGATTGTTGATGCTCTTGATTTAGGTATATTAGGTATACGAATAGTAATAGCAAGAGGAAGCCTATGTTGCTGGAGAATACCGGCGAAAATAAATAATAACTAAACCGCCGATGAAAAACTGGTAAGGGAGTTGTCAATACGGTTGGGTTAGGTTGTAAGTTGTTTTGTTGTTGTCTTGTTTACTTGAGGACGTGGGTAGGTAGTCCTTTTTTCGTTGAACTATATGTTGGGTTTGTGCTCTTAGACGAGCAGTATTTTGCCTTTAGGGCTTCAATGATGGTTTGAATAGCTTCATAGCTTTAGGGGGTATATGTATTCTAATGTAGGTGAATTTAGGTCAGTAGGCCCAGGAAAATAGTACCGTCCCTTGACTGGTTTAATAGTGATATGATTAATTTTTGTTGGGAAGTTAAAGAGTAGGATCAGGTGGCAGATAGGATAATTGTCCAGCGTCGACCTTCAAGAGGTGCGTGTTGACCCGGAAACAGAATGCGGTATGTTGGTAAGTAAAATGTAGTTTCTTAGGGTTTAGTTTGTGTAGGTGTTGAAGATTCTTTTTACCATCTACAATAGGTACCTACATATAAGGAGTCATAAGTTTAAGTTCTGTTTGATTAGTACATCATTGGGAGGTGATCCCATATGATCATATGTACCTACCCTACATATATCTACATATAGGACTGTAATACCAACCCTACCTACCTGATGAGACTCTCAACGTTCCTTCCAACTATTAAGCTCAGGAATGAAACTTACATATATCATTCCATCCTGCAAGTACCTCCTATAATAACTCTTTCAAATTCAATGTGGCTATTACGTACTTCATGAGGTAAAATAGGTACTCTTCAAGTTGCTCTTCCCCTAGGTCAACAATTCTCACCAGTACAAATGCAAGTATAAAGCCATAATAAAGAGGTAGAGTTTAAAAGGATCGTATTTATTACCTTATCCGAATACAGATAGAAGTTCAGGCTCGTCACCCACCCAACGATCAAGTGGGTGCGATACTAAAAGATTTGATAAATCTTTAGGATAGGCAGCCTTAGGACTGACTACCTAATGGTCAATTTAATTCAACCTCACTAAGTTATAACCCTAACATCCTGTTTATTTTCCTAGTAACAATACACACTTTCATCTGCCCCTAGCGTCCCGTGAAAAAGGGGTAAATTTGAAGATTACTCCTCACGGTAGGTAGCTTAGTACGTTAATTGACAGTATAGCTAACACACGTCCTATTGCATTATATAGTAGAGATTGAAACTAGGCTTATAGTACTACTTAATAGCTTCATGATTCCCACTAACCACACTATGGAAATCTTCCATTTGCTGCTCCAGAAATGAGCTAAATATCTACTCTATGACCTTCGTACTTAGCCTGAGGGGGACAGTAAATATTGATTATTCCGACCGGGTTGCCCGAGGAACATCAGTGCGAATGAAAGGCTTTACATGCCATCATAATAATCAGTGCATAGAAGTGATTTAGGCTTCTATACCTAGGTAGGTATATACCTACGTTATGACTTGTGATATCATCGAATTATGCACGTCCCTAAAAAGACTACCCACAGACTAAACCTGCCAGTTTTTACCAGACGATCGAAGTATCTGACAGGTGTCATATAGATTCAAACTGTAAAGTGTGGTTAAAAAACTTAGGTTCATCAGTGCTAGAAAAGGGGCTAAACTTTGCCTAGGATGATGCTAGACATACCACAATTCCACTAACCCGTATATCTTGTCTACATACGTAAACATTTCTTTTGAATTCCTGTCCGGTATTTAGGGTTTAGATAGGATTTAATCTAAAAGGCTTTGGCCCTATATATTATATTATTAGTAACCTTCTACGATGTCTTCCGATACGCATCTATCTAGAAACGTAGTTAGCCTACCTAGCTACCGAATGTGTGTAGATAATTTCAAAGTCTGTGATAGACCTATGAAGCCATATAGGGAATGAGGTGATCATATTCAGCTAACGAGATACGGGTAACGGGGTTTAGATCGTCCATCACCTGCCCATCCTGGAAGATACGAAGATACAACTCGGCTGGGGCGATACTCGTACTATGTAGAATCGAGCCAGTCCTGACGAATTAGAAGATAACGGACATCCTAATTTGGTATGTGTTTCTATGGGCGCCGCCGTACACGGGATGGGGCCGCACTGCAACTGGAGGGTCAAACCCCTGACGTCCTACCTAGGACCGTACCGGTGGCATACCCGCCTCCGAGGGTTCTGAATACGTCATAAGTAGGTAACCATGGATAAAAATAAGTCTCTTGTAATTGTACCAATCTATCACCTACCCTTCATATCATAATCTACTACTCTCTCAAAGGTATAGCGATGTAGAACTAGGCCTTTTAAGCATTACATCCATAAATATTAGTTGTTCCCTCATTTTACGAACTTGTCCAGTTGACATTAGTGTTCTCAGTCCTCCGACCAGGTCTACACTAGAACTAATCATCCTCTGACTAAGATGGTCAACAAGGACAATCATCTCCAGTTGTTTCGTTCTTCGCCAAGGCCAGATGGCTCGAGCCTATGGTTAGGCTCGTCTCCGGCGGTGCCATAGTTAGAACGGTTGCCACCATTCTCGCCGTTACCCTCAACCTGACCTCCATCCTCTTCATCTGCCGTCCCATTCTCCAACAAGCCTTCGTGACTATCAGGGCCAGTAAAGCGTATATAGCGAGCTCTGCTGTTACTTCCCGAGTTACGTAGTCCAAAGAGCACGAGATGGATTAGCTACACCTAGAATTAGTAAAGGGGGGGAAATAATGGCTAATGGTGATTACCTGGACAATGCCGATGGCTACCGCCACGCCGAACTCGAGCCCGGCACTGCGCTGCACTGTAACATTGGTTAGTAATTATTCAAGCAAGGAGTCTAAGAGATTTAGGCGTATCTCAAGAGAAATAGTTTTCCAATTAGCTCAATAAATCGTCGACATCACTTACTCGTAGCGCGCCAGGGGACGAGGCAGGAGTTGCTTCTATCATCGTGTAGCTCCTCACAACGGCCGCGGGGAGAGTCACGATCCACTACAGAGCGGAGACCACAGCAATTGAAAGTATCCTGTATACGTTGAATAGCCCTGTCATCACGTGCACTCCATAGACGTTGCCAATTCCCCTCTAGACCACAGTCGATCACCTGGCCCGACGAGAAACCCTCGGCTGCGAGGGTGGCCAGAACCACTGTCAGTATGGCCTGCAAAACCGGAGGCACTACAGGCAAGAACCGTAACAGCGTGGGCGATGATGTAACCCTCTGCCGAAACAGTTGGCCAAGTAGCGGCGTATAGAAGATGTTTGCGGCTGCTATAAAGGGTAAAATAATTGTGAGGACGGTAGTGCCGGTCGATATGGGTAAAGACAGGTTGCTCGAGGTAACCTGTACATAGCTGCGATGTGTTAGTGGTAGCAATTGGGGTGAGTACCTACCTCAAATAAGCCAGAAAAAAAGAAAGGCGAATGACTTACATTGCAACCGCCGCCAATGCGAGGAGCACCTGTTTTAAATATACGTTAGCTCGAAATTGATGATAGGGGAGGGTGAAGCTGCTAACAAGAGGGAAGGCAATTGCCAAATTGACCATGTTGGAGTTGAATGAGGAGTTGAATGAGGAGTTGAATGAGGAGTTGAATGGGGAAGTTAATTGACTTTAGCTTTAGATGAGGACGAAACCGAGGGAGAAGTTTATTTGAATAGGTACATCATTAGCGTCAGTATATAAGACCTTAAGACCGTATTAATACCGTATATTCACGGTATAATTGTCTGAATAGTTGCGCATCTTAATACGAAAGAAAAACAGTAGCTAAATCTATTAACGGTATTATTTTATAACGGTATTTTTAAGGTTAAACGTTTTTTTAAATTAACGGTTTTTTTATTATAAATGGTTTTTTTTAACCAACGGTTTTTTTTTTAACCAACGGTTTTTTTACGGTTTTAATACGGTTTAAAAAAATATATTTAATAAGTAAAAAAAAATTATATATTATATATTTAAATAGGTAAATAAGTAAATATTATTGTACGTATTTATTTACTTTAAATTAAAAAACCGTAAATAATTAAAATAAACATTATTTTATATTTAAATATATTACGGTTATAATTACGGTTACGGCTATAAAGTTATTATTTAAATACATTATTATATATAAACGCGTATAATTTATAATTATTTAAATATATAAAATAATAATTATAATTTTTTTATTTAAATATTACATTTTTTTAAACCGTATTAAAACCGTTAATTTAAAAAAACCATTTGTAAAAATATAAACCATTTAAATAATTAATTAAAAATATACCAATTATATATATAATAAAAGTTATAATAAAACGTTTATATATTCGAATAATATTAAAGCTTTAAACGGTAAATTTATGGTTTAATCTTTACTTACTGTAAAAGTACGGTACTTAGGCCTCATATCCTGACGCTAATGATGTAACCTTAGGTAAGGTACCTGTTATTTGAATTTAAAAGTGGAAGAAAAATGCATTTGCATTAAGGCCCAACCTTGTCATTTTCTCTTTCCTCCGGAAGTGACATTTGAGAATGCATGTTTCCGTTCCGAACCAATGCAATTTCAATTGCTTGTCTGTTATTGCAGATATTGTGTAACGTGGAACGTGGAAGTGGCAGCCCCTCACGCAGCCTGCTTCTTCTCTTTGTCCGAGTCCGCGCTTGACATATCTGATTTCTGATGTATCACAATCCAAGACCTGTTAATGCAATAATGTGAGTCAACATATGATCAAAAAGGTATAGGTACTAAGTGGTAATTATCACACCCACATTAGGTATAGGTACATAAATAGGCTCTGATTTCTATTAGGCTTACGAAATATATCATTTATTTATGTTGGAAGGTGATCTACGTTACTTAACACCTAGAAGTAGAAACTGATTAAGGTACGATTAAGGCACGATTGAAGCCGTAACTTATGCTATATGAGTAGGGCTTGTAAGGCTATCAGAATTGAGATCAATAATGCACTTTTCAATACTTGACCAGTCTACAATTCATCTTTAACTTACGCGGAGAATTTAATGGTCACTTGTGGCCTTAACAAGCAACTCTGGAGCAAAGTGATCGACGAGAAGGAATCGCACTGGATAGAGGCTGTGCCGACATACTTCACGAGGATTGGATGTGGCTATAAGGCTTCTTAAAATTCACTGTTACAGTGTTACCTGGCGGAATAAGTTTAATACATGGGTTCGTATAAGCTGAAGTGCTAATACTTAACTACCTAGGTAACCTAGGCAGTTCAAATTGTTGGTTGACGATTTTCCTAGCATCTTGCAGCGCCAAGTCTGTACCCCTAAGGCGCATCACCGGATTTCTAGAAAGGGCCGTCGATCTTAACTCCCGAGATCCGGTAGAAGTTAATCAATCTTGTCTTGGCAATGTCTTAACCTTCCTATCTAGGGGTCGTTGCCGGTAGTTCGCGATACGACTCCGGGATGTGATGATCCGCCCGTAGCGGATCACCGAGCACGCATACCATAATATAATAGAGCACGGGTATCCGTGAATCGTGATAATGCCAACACTTATTTCCTAACCTATTGCCTAGTCTGAAGTTGCTTCCTAGGACAGTGTAAATTATCGAACGACTAATTAGGATTTGTAAGATACAAGGAAGTTATGAGCTTCCAACATTAACCAGCTGCAGACTTCGTATTCGCGGTCACTATATAAGAAGGTGTGAGTTAGCCGTCGGGGTTTTGACAGCAAGGCCACTTCTCTAGTCAGATATTCGCAGTCTACGAGCTTGGTTTGGATTCTTCGAGTACTTCATCTTTTCGCTGCGTATCAGCATTAGTTTGAGCAAAAAGTCGATTCAAACATGGTCCGCTCTATGTTCGTTGTGGCTCTAGCCGCCGCATCAGCTGCTCTCACTACTAGCCAGGAAATCAACAATGAGCCGCTATTCACGATCGAGTTGGGACCTGGTGTGACACAGCAGGTGACTGAAGCTGAGAAGCTAGCCCTCAAGTTTGTGAGTAACACTTACATTAACCGAAATTTAGACTTAGATTACTGATCGTTTCTCAGAAGGAAGGGAAGTCGTTCATCGATATCACCAACCGAAAGAATTTTGTACAATCAGCGTCAACCGAAAACTCTGCCAAAACCGCAGCAGTAATATACCCCTACTCACTAAACCAGACCGACACTGTTCACGGTCTCATTTCTAAGCTTAGCAGGGATAATATGCAAGACAAGTTGACGACTCTCTCCGAGTTCCACTCTCGATTCTACAATACCACTTGGGCTAAGGATGCTTCCGACTGGCTTCTCTCGGAGGTTCAGGGGATCATAACGGGGAGTGAAGCCAAAGGCGCGACGGTAAAACCATTCGAGCATAAATGGGCACAGAACAGCATCATAGCTACGATTCCCGGCAGGTCCACCAACAAGATTGTAGTTGGTGCGCATATTGATTCTGTTAACCAGGATGGTTGGGACGCTCGATCACCTGGTGCTGGTAAGTACCTCTTTATTACACTTAGTGAACCTTACGAAACTGACAAGGCGTGAACTAGACGACGACGGATCAGGCTGCGTGACAAACCTGGAAGCTATGAAAGCTCTCTTAAGCGATCCCACAATTGCAGCTGGGGAGGCGAACAACACGATCGAATTCCACTGGTACTCCGGTGAGGAGCTTGGCCTGCTTGGCAGCGGCGAAATATTCGACTCGTACGCTGCTGATGGAGTTGTTGTCAAGGCGATGCTCCAGCAGGACATGACGGCATGGGGCGACAATCCTAGTAAGTACTATTTTATAATTATTCCGCAACCCTCCTTTCTCGACATAAAAGTCCAACAAACAGTCCGAGTTTGCTTAGGGGTAGTTAATGGGTGGAATAGATGAGCTCTACTGCCAAAAGTCAACTATATACTGACCTATGATTCTGCAGTGGGTGTTATAACCGACTATGTCGACCAGGACCTCACGGCTTTCATCCGCCTAGTCAGCGAGGCAAGGTCGCCCATCCTATCACAACTATCCCGTAACTAACAGTAGTAAATAGTATACTGACATCGGCTACGTCGACACACACTGTGGCTACGCCTGCTCGGACCACGGATCCGCTACTGCTGCCGGTTACCCAGCTGCTTTTGTCATCGAATCCGACAGGCAGATTTCCAACAATAACATCCACAGTGCGAACGATACCCTCGACACCATCAACTTCGACCACATGCTTGAACATGCCAAGCTTGTCCTTGGTTACGCGTACGAGCTTGCTTTATCTCCTCTGTAATTCGAACTCTTTAGGTTATCGGCTATTGTGTGGATTATTTGCATTTGTTGCCTGACTTACGATGTATATATAATTAATAGATGCCTTTGCTGTGGATAGCGAGCATGTGTTGACTGTAGAACTCTGACTATATTTAGTATCACTTACTGGAGATACCTTGAAAATCTTTACGCTTTACGAATGGTTCACATATGTAGTCAAGGGGCTTGTGATCTGAATGCTACGAAACTTATCATAAAAAACTATGCTATTCAGTACAGTAGGCGTAAAGCCATCCACCGGATGGGTATCATTCCGCATGAAAAGACCGAAAACCTGTCGTAACGATCATCCGCTGACCGTGGTGATATTTGCGAGTGAGAGCTATGTGCAATGAGAACTAGAAGCCATAGCTGCAACATTATGTGTTATATGTCTGACTAGTTGATGTCGTTCATCAATCATGATACTCAAGTGAAGCATCTTTCGTACGAAGGGCTCTCCCCTCCAAGACTCGGAACGCCCAATGATCCGCACTTGAGAATAAAAAAAAACCTAAGTGGTGACCCGATAGTAACTCAACGATGAGAACGCACTCGAATTACCATGGGGATGAGAATGGAAACCGCCGAACTACCTAGAAATAATTAGCAAAAGGCCCATAATCCTCGTACAAACGGCATAGACGGACCAATTCCAAGTTAATTAAGGCATTTGCCATCCCTCATGAATATGCAATCCCCACGGGATTGTAATAGAAGATTTGGCTTCCCTGGTCTAATAACCAAGGCGGTGGAGGGCGATAGCGTCTCTGACTTGTCTTGCCATAGTAGTCATCGTAGAGAGTCGCCCTAGAATGGGATCTGATGGAGATCGGCTGCTGATCTGAATGTACAGCTTGTCGAATCGGTCGAGATAAGAGCGCATGAGGTTCGGGACCACATCGCGAACCTGAGGGTCCTGTATGGAATTCTGTTTAGAGTTGTTATGTTTGGAATGAGGTTGGTCACTAACTATGTGTGGGAGTGATGCATGTAGTATACGAATGACTGCTTCTACCCAGTTGATTTTCTCCCGGAGGAGGGGGCCGTCGAGTTGTTCGGCAATAACGGATGCCACGGAGAGTGAAACTAGAGCTGGCAACTCTCGGAGGAACTGAGGATCCAGTTTGACAAGGTATTCATTGAAGACTTCTGGGTGGCGGCCTTGTTGAATCCATCGGACCAACCCAGTCTCGTATTCACCCCTTTCCATGAGGGCTGCGACGTTGGCAATCATGTGTTGAAGCTCGGGGTCCCTAGCATTCGACGGCTCTCTGACGCTAGAGTTGTTCGATGCGAATGGTATCATCGGAAGAGAAGTGTTCGCCGTCGGACTTCCATGCAAAAATGACTGTGACTGCAGAGGCTGGGCGTAGTGAGCCTGGGGTGGCTGGTGCTGCGTGTTAGAACTATGCTCACGGGGGTTCTGCTGCTGCATTTTTAGAAGGCTATCCTGAAACTGCGCCTGTGTAGCGGCCATAGCGGTGACCGTGTCGGAAAGACCAGTTACTAGCGCTGTGAGCTGGTCAATCTTATTACTGTCGGCAATGTGTCGCTGTTCGAGCTCTGCGATCTGCTCGGCAGTCCGATCTTGTATTTCTTGCACGATCGAACGAGAAGCCGTGACTGCTGTATCGTTGATGAGAGGAGTGAGTGTAGCCACGAATGACTGGCGGAAGTTCTCTAGATCAAGCGCTACACTGCTGGCGACCTTGTCGGAAATAGACTTGGATAACTCGGGCTTTTGGAGGGACTGATTAACAGCATTCGGGAGAAGCTTTTGCATCTGATTTTGAATCGAATGCGAAACTCGACCGATCATCTTACCATCAATCTGTTCCGAAATTGTCTTCGTGATCAGAGTGCTTAGAACAGGCACCACATCACTCTCAAACTGATCACTGATGGTTTTAGTAAGCACAGCCTGAACATTTGCATTCAGCACATTGGACACTTTCTCAAGTAAGAGGTGTTGGTTCTTGGTAAACTTGTCGTCGCGAGCACGGAATTCGTTGTCAACACTTTCTCGATGGTCTTTGAACTCGTTATTGATAACTCCAGTCAGCTTGTCGCCAAGGCCAGATACTATCTGTTTGACGGTCGACTGAATAGCTTCTTGCGATATGAGAGGTTGGGGTGAAGACACGGTGGACTTCTCTGATTGCTTGGAGGGAGTCGAGTCTGTTCGTGACTGCGAGCTACCGTTGGATTGTGCATTCTCTGTAGCCAGCTTTTCAGCAACGGCGGCAGCTTTGTCTCGCTTCTTCCGAGCCTTCTTCTCGGTCTTTTCTAGTTGGCTAGCAGGCGTTACTGGAGCCACGCTCTCTTTCTGCTCGGGTTGTCTAGTGAGGGACTGGTTATCACCACTCTTTTGAGATAAATCTTGCGCAGAAGAAACTGCTGAATATTGTGGTGGGGGCGTCTCTTTTCTAGGCCGAATTCGAAGAGGGATACTATGCTCTTCTGCTAGCTGAGGTTCAGAGACCAAAGCGCTGGGCAACTCTTTCAGCTTTGTAATCTTGACCAGGCCGGCTTCGGCAGCATCGAGACCGTCGATAACCTTATTATCCTTAGACCACCCCAGCTCACTCTGCTTTACAACAATTCCAGTGACACCCTTCGAATGCATCGCATATAGCTCAAAGAGACTTTGCTCATCGTTATCGGGAGAAGTGGCAGGGTTAGTTAATATGTCGAGGCTGCGAAGCACACCTTTGTTGGCAAATGAATACTCGCGTATGCCACTAATAACCGCGGTCGAGTCGGGCTCTGGGATGGACGGATCCTTTGCTACCAACTTTTGAATGTAGTCAACTTGAGACAGACCCTTAATCGTGTATTTTGGTGCTGACAGGTGAAGGAAATAGATCGAGTTACGCGTCGGATGACCGACTACGATCATGCCTGAGGGAGGGTGATACATAACGCTACATACCGGATCCGACTCTTTGGCATGAGGCAGATTGAATTCCTGCACGGGTTTGCCTAGGGCGAGATCCCAAAGCTGAAGCGTATGATTCTGTTTCATGCCCACGATCATGTAGCGCAGTGCCCATCCCTTCTGGTAAGGCCGTTGCTTATCCAGCAGTAACACAGAAGTTGGCCATGCCTTCTCGCCTTCAGGGGTGGTATTCAGGGTCATAAGTGGCTCCTTGACCTCGAGGGAAACGTGAGCAGGCATGGGAGACCAAGGGTCAGAATTCTCATCGGCTGTTGTTAAATCTCGCACGTCCCAGAACTTGACACGACCGGACTTGTCAAGGGATACAATAGTAGTATCGTCTTGGCTAAAGGTGAAGTCCTTGCCCGCCTTGCCCGTGCTGATTCTGAGGGAGCACTCTCTATAGAGCTTCTCGGTATCAACAACGCGATCATGGCCAGACTTGAAAATACCGTTTGCCATAATATACGATGGCCAGATGACGTTGATCGTCTTTCCACGGCCGACAGCGAAGAATTCTGGGTGAGTAGACGAGGTCCTTGCCCTAGTCTTCAAAACACCTCCATTATCACCACCTCCCTCTTGAGATATGACAAGCGGGGGGAGGATAAACCCGTACTGTTCCGGATGAGCATCCTCCAGATGGTCCTTTTCGCCGTTTTTGATTTGAATGTAATATACGGTTCCACTAATGCCAGTGCCAATAATAGACTCCTTTGGCGTGGAGTGGAGATCGGATAGAGTAGACGACATAGCTACATTGAAGATCCGGTCTTTCGTGTCAGTGAACAGTTTAGCGTCCTTACCGTCATCCTGTCGTATTACGCGAAGCCCACCAGCCTTGGACATGCCGTAAACCATGTACGATTCCGTGGCAGTGACAAGGTTTCGATCGATTTGGTCAAATTCCTTCTTTAGACGTGCAATGTCAAGAATGACCTCGTCGCGGAATTGAGGACGAGACTCTTCGGTCTCCTGCATCGTGATTGAAATCCATGGCTTCATGGGGAAGTTGTAGACCTTTACGGGATTCGGAGTCTCTTCAATCACGACGATCTCGTCAGCTTCGGCGCTTTCCCAGCTGTCCGCAACAGGGCCGTGAGCAGCATCCTCGACAATATCACGAATCGCTTGTGCAACTCCTGGCGAGTATGCATCCTCAAGCACATGGGAATTCTCTTCCTTGTTAAGTTCTCTCTGGATGTCCTTTGCTGCTGCCTCGGCCAGATCCTGAAATTCAGCATCAGTTTTTGCCCTCATCATGTGTTGAAGTTCGGCGGCGATCTTAGCTTGTACCTCTTCGGTTTCAGCCCTCTCTATTGCTTCTTGGGCTTCCTTGTCCACTTGTTCAGCAAGGCCGGTAATTGCCTCTGACACAGTCTCTGTATTTTTCTCCCCAGTAGGTGAGAAGCCATGATAGATAGCCTCCCGTTCGGTGATAGAATGAGGAGAAGTGTCAAGCTTTCGCCTGATACGTTCGGGGCTCGTGATTGGGCTTCGCTGACTGCCAAGTCGCTTATGGTCCTGAACAGCTCCAGAGGAAGAAGCAACACTAGGGGTCTTTTTAGCGGCCTTGAGAGCAGTCGGCGCGGGAAGCTCGGTTGGCATCTGACCGGCGTGAATCGGCGCATTCGGTGTTGAAGACTTGGATGCAGTGTTCTGGTGAGAAAGGGCACCGACCCCCTCAAACGAATTATAATCAAATCTGGAAGACTTGCGACTACCCTCATGTTGAGATAGCTGAGAGAACTGGGATGCCGGGGAATGATATTCAAATTTGGTTGTAGGGGATTCGGCGTGCTCCTTTGATCCGAATCTAAAAGGCATTGGCGTTGCGTCATGCGAGCCAGCATCGGAATGCCCCTGCTTGATAGGGGTATACTCCTTAAGGTGGTCGACAGAAGAACCGTTGGCTGATTGGGGGGTCAGTGTCGGGGGTTGGGACGATTCATTTACAGATGGCGGTTGGTCATTCTGCGCAGGCTTCGGTCGATGTAGCAAGTTGAGGAGGTACGCTTGAGTATCCATCGAAGGTGGACCTGCGTTCCAGGTTGGCTGGGAGGGAGCCTGGGGTTCTGCTCGCGAAGACTCATTCTGCATGTTTCCCTTCATAAGAGTAGCCAGAAGACCCTGGGGATCAGCAGGCATCGGCACCGGGGCGTGAATAGGTGGTGGGTTGTTCGACTGAGTCATGCTTGAGGGCAAGTCGAACGAGGACGCTTGCGCCTGTGGATGACCAGGCGGCGAGGTTTGCGATACTGATTGAGCGTTCTGTCCGCTGAACTTGAGGAGGTTCAAGAGGTGTGAGCTCTGGTCAGCTTTGCTAGGAGCGCTTGAGGGCATAGTGCCAATTGGACCCAGACCCATTGGCCCAGTAGGATGGTGCGAATGTCCAAAGTTGCTCGAGTTAGTGGGGGGTGTCGGAGCAGGCGGAGGAAATTCGTCCAGGCCTATTAGAGGAGATTCTGTAGCAGAATGGCTATGACTGTAGTAATCCTGAGAGTCTATGCCTTGATTGTATGACGAAAATCGTGAAAGGAGCTCATTAGCGGCATTAGAAGAATCATCACTTTTCTGCGCATTGCGTTGAGCTTGCAAACGAAGAAGCATTGCGTGCAAGCCGTTTGCATCGCTGCTACCCGGCGGGTTATAACCCGCCATGATGCGCGAGGGGTGTGAAGTTGTGGAGCTGCCTTAGTACCGATGCCTTAGTACTGATGAGGTGAGGTATGTGTGTATTGTTAACTAAGATCTGTCTTCCGATGGAGAAAGACAATTCCTAAAACGCGGGCGGATTATTAAAATCGTCGCTAATGATAAGCGCGAGAGATTGTAAACGAAGAAAACAGTAACGGCGTTAGGTGGTGCTCAACGTCGAAAGGATGAAGAAGAAAAAGTTTAGAGATCTTCCAATCCGATACGTACCAAGCTCTTACCAGCCTCGCCAAAAAATAAAAAAATAAAAAATAAAACCCAGCTCAAGCTCCTATCGGCAATCCGGAGATAGGTGCGATAAGAAGGTAGAAACCAGAGGCAAATTATTGGATGAAAGAACTGACCCAGCTACCGTAAAAACAGAAGAATCAGTTCGATAATGTACGTCGAGAGACGCGAGACGAGAACCAGGGAATTTTTTTGTGGGTGAGAAGAGGAGATTGATTTAAAATCTCGTTCAACATGGAAGGAATTAACGTTGAACGATATGTGACGGGTTGAATCGAGTTGGGCGGCGATGCAGCGCACCTCCAATAATCAAATAGGTACCTACCTACCTAGGTAGGTACATGCACAGCATGGACTAAGGGTTTAGGTACAGGTAGGTACATGTACGTCTAGGATATGTACCTAGGTACTTAGGTGGGCAATTGCTTAAATGTGTGTTAGGTACCTACCCAATGTATCCTTGTGGGGAATACATATTTTATGTAGGAAGTGTTACGTAATCGGAGCATTGATGTCAGCATTTTAGCATTTTAGCCTTCAGTCTCAAACCGTACCCAAGCCAGCGGGCGCATCGCGATAATTACCTCCTTAGGTACTTAAATCTATAAACTACACTATTTCGCGATAGGTTAACCTCGATGCCAATTTTTGCTCTCCACTCTCGTTATTCACAATATATTATCTGGTCGAACTGTTTGTGGTGAGATTAATATTCGCGACATCCTTAATTATTTATCAGCGCCGACCAAACGACCAAACGATCAAACGACATCTCAGCCAAACGTCTCACCCGTAGCTCTCCCACTAGCAAACGCTTCCCGACACAGCGCAATGTTCTGTCTCCGAAGGTATTAGGTCTTAGAACTCCCTTAGAATCATTCGGTACATCTCTTCGCTAACATTCCTTCTCATTATAGTTGGCTCCCTCTCCTCTTCATCCCAACAAATGCCTCTCCTGCTTTCATCTTCCTTTTCTTCGTCTGCACGTACTTCTTAAACCGACCCTGCGTTTACTGTTCCGTCCTCCTCCTTATACTCTTCGTGACCTCGTGCTATTGGTCAGATCGGTGCTTCTTCGATTTCAGCAGCAACTGGTTCGCCCCGCGACTCTCAACATCATCATGTCCGATCAACGGAACTACGATATCTGAACCTATGGTTGACAGTTTTAACGCTACCGCTGTTGAAATGCTGAATACTACAGCGAGTGCACTTGCGAGTGCTGCAGCCGACGAGTTAGCCAAGAAGAAAGAAGAATGGACAGGACTCGGCATAGAATGGCTCCGAAGCCTTCTAGGACGCCGGGAGTGGAGGATCGAATGCATGGACTTATACATTCGGCTATAATCGCATATTACCTATACTTCGAGCGTGATGTGGTATATGATATCAGCTACGATACCAGCTACGGCCTTGAACATCCCAAGCCCTGGGGTTGTACAAACACAATGAGTATAGATATGAATGTATAAATGCATGGCACTGGCGTTAGTTGGACTGCGGATATGGCCTTGTTTCTTGAGCACTCACCTCATAATAGTCGTAGGGTCACATCACATCAGCATCTAGATGAGGGCAATACGCATTTCGAAGAGCCGAGGGGATACCATAAATGTAGGCATAGAATAATAGGCATTGATCCAAGCGAGAATCCTTGACAGAAGTATACGCAAGTATTAATATAAAGAATACACTCTCAAAGCAAGGAGTTGTCCGTTTTGAAGTTTAAAAATGGTGACTTATTAACATGGTATTTCCTACGATACACCTTGCCTAGATATCTTACAGAGTGTCTAGTTTCCATCTTATTTAGCTCTCGTGAGATTCATATCCCCAACCCATGGCTTCCAGTAATTCTCGATCGTATCCGGATCCTTCCAGGCAGACCATTCTGCGTTAGTCAAGCCCCAGGTATCAACGAAGTTCTGAACACCAGATCGGACGCGATAGCTGCCTGCCAAACTCCACATCATCCAGCCGATGCTATGTTTCTTGGTGAAGTCGCGGATACAGTTCTGCACCGTGCTGTTGTATAGCGTGACGTCCTGGGCGTTGCCGAACTCGGAGAATATGACGGGCGTAAGTCGCTGCGTCGACTGACAGTCTCCAGTAATGCTGCATCCGGGTGGTTTGTCGATACCCAGCGCGTTAAAGCCGTTACGGTACAGGCCCGCCTCTATCACCTCGCAGGTTCCCGTGTCTACGTCCTCGCTCATCGGATATAGGTGCAGCTCCCACACGATCTTGTCCGCCCACGGGTAGCTATCGAGGTCGAAGTAGACAGGGTCGCGGCGGTATGCGTCGCGAATCGCCGTGCACTTGTAACAGGGAGCCGTAAGAATATTCTTCTTAGTCGTCAGGGCGGATAGGTCCTCGTCGTATTGCATACCTGACCACGTGATGAGCAGATCCGAGTTAGCCTCGTGAATTGCGTCGGCTCCCGTGCTCATGTTACCCACGAGTGTCTCCCAGTTGTAGTACAAGTCAGTGCGGTTCCAGGATTCGCGCAGCTCGTTTCGTAGTGACAGAGAGACGACGTTAGGGTGGTCCTTAGCCCATGTTGCCACATATGAGAGTCCCCTCCGCCAGTTGGAAGCGTTAAAGTTTACGTCGTCAAACCAGGCGTTTCCGTCGGTATGGCTGCAACACCATTGCGCTTTGCCGACGTGGACATCGGGGTGGATATATACACCTTTGGACGCGGCGATGCTAGCGATATCAGACCAGATCTCAAAACGAGTTGTCTCACGGGTCCAAGTAGGATTCTTGGAAATAATGTCGTTGGTGACCTTTGTACCGTTTTCGTAACCTAGAGCCATGATCATAGCAACCTCTAGGGGCACGTCCTCGCCTCCTCGATCGTATATTTCGTCGACCATCTGGATCGCATAACCCCTTACATAGAGTCAGTAGTGAACCGGTTTAGCTATCCTATCTTTCAAATCACTTACATACGGAGGAAATTGAAGCCAACGCTAACAACGTCATCCAGGATTGCCTCAGCGGATTTCCATTCTAATCCTTCTGGTATCATTGTCTCACCTACAGTACCAGTATTCTAGTATTAGTCCACCATGTTTATAGGACGAGGCTCTTATCTCTAGACTCGATGTTACATACCACTCATTGGCCAATTGACACCGGCCCAAGTGATCGTCTCGTCTCGACTGTTGACGATATCTCTGCCTTTAGTTCTAAGGGGACCGTAAGGCCATTGCGAAGAGGAGTTTCCTTGACGACGACTTATGCGCTTCTGCCAATGTGGCTCGTGGTCTCCAGGTAGCGCTGCTGAAGTGGGAACCCATGATGCATAGGCTAGGGTCGCGGAGAGTGACCATAGGGTTACTGAAAGCTTCATCTTGATGCGCAAGCTTTGTTCACGATAGACGCAATCACAGATTTACGGAAGCGCAGCAGGAGACTAAGCACCATTCAAAGGCGATACTAGCTCCCTTTAAAGTGTGTCCATGTCTTCACAAAAAAGCAAGCACCTATTGGTGCATCAACTTTAGGTCAGGCCAAGGAAATCCTATATTCTTTGTGATCTCGGAATTATAATACATCTGACTATCTTCGACGGAAGTTATACCTTATTAGGCAATGTGATCTCTGCTATTGCTAGGTAAATGTTAGGACATAGTGATATCTATCCCGACATACATAATGCTGAAATGGTACCTTGCAGGTGACGTTGGTGATGAGGAGATACGAGGGCCTCTGGGGTATATCTCCACGACTATGGGGAGATACTCCACCAACTCGGTGGGGAGCACTAACCCCAACCTCTCTGTGGATAGCCAACAGACTGCGAGGGTCGCTTTCTATTAGTCCGAAATTCCCATGGCATGGGCTAGGGCCGGAAATTTTAGATAGCAAAGAGTCGAGTCATATGGAGCCACGACGTGAGATCTAAAGAATTACGTTTAATTTATCCCGTAGTATAGGTTTGGATAGGGATTGTAAGAAAGAGCAATGATAATAAAGGCATATATAAAATTTCTACCATTTAAAAATGGAGTAGTAAAATTTTTACTAATATAATATTTTACCTTTATTATTTTATAGTAATAAGTTATAATATTTTTATTTACGTTAGTTATTTTATTGCGAAGTTTTAAATATAAAAATATATATTTTTACCATTTTATTAATATTTTTATTTTATTTTAAAAAATAGCATGATTTAATTAATTATTAAATTTTATTTTTAATTTTTTAAATTTAAATAATTTATAATTATTAAAAATGTTATTTATAATTTGTTTAAATATACGAAAAATATTAATTTTATAATTTATAATAAATTATTTAACCGTGTAAGTAAAAAATTATAAGTAACGGAATTATTAAAAATAGTTAAAATAATATTTAAAAAAATAAAAAGTATAATATAATATTAAAAAAAAAATAAATATATTTTGGTAAAAAGTTATATAAAAGTAAATATAAAAAATGAAAAAGATTAACTTTTGCAAAAAGAAACGAGAAATGATTAGGAAAAAATATATAAAAGTTCGATACTTGTTTATATGTGTGTGGCTAAGTTGTTATGATTATAACTTGCCTAAAGAGTGTGGCCGGGTATAAAAAAAAGCAATGATAATAAAGGCATATATAAGATTTCTACCACTTAAAAGTGGAGTAGTAGAATCTTTACCAATATAACATTCTACCCTTATTATTTTAGGATGTAGCAATTAGGTTAACAGCTAGGTTAGTAAAAAGGACCCTTCACGGAGACGAAAGACCTTAGAAGTGGTTTATATGCCATGGAAATTTTGTGATGTTAAATGCAATTGACCCAAAGGTACCTATGTCGATGCAATATCTAATAAGAATTGACATACCACTTCTCATAATCCTTAGGCCACTAGATATGGACAGTCGGTATGCTCTGCAATCCATTAAACGCCGTACCATGGAAAGAATATATCTTGCAGCTCCCACGCTTGTGAAGCCGACATTATACTTGTACCAGGAATATTTAACTTCGCTAAAGTGGTGTACATGATGAAGCTACATCTCAACAGATTTATAGCCTCGCCTTAATCGCTGATTGAGGAACGCTTGATGCCTCCTCGTTAACGAGCACCGCACCAGTTTTCGGACCATCGCCGAAGAAGACAACCTGCACTGTTAGGTCATCCCTATAGACTGTCAGCTTCCGTATAGACATTTTAATTTCAAGATTTTAATTTTCTCTGTGACTGACCTGTATCTTCTCGAAAACGGCGAGACTAACGTAAGTAACGCGCATACCTGCTCCTCGTTTCTGCCGCCGAGAGCATTGCGGATTAAATGTGTAGCGACATTCTTGTCTTTTACGACGAACCGCTCCTTCTCGTCGGGAGAGATGCCCCATTGTCGTAATCGAATCGGGGTCTTCTGGCCATCAGGTCCTGCCTCCTTGCCGGCTTCTACGGGAAGATCTCGACCGGGGCCGAAAAGTTTGGCCCATACAGAGCCCAGCTGAGACTTCGAAGACTGCTCTGTCGCTTGTGTCTCGATCCACTTACCGACGAGTCCGACCACCTCGTCGTTAGTAAGCATTTCCCAAAGCCCGTCCGTCGCCATAACTAAGAAATCCCCCTTTTCGGGTTGGATTTTGGTTGTACTGACAACAGGCTCGGCTGTCACGTAAGGAGGGGTCTTGAGATAAGGCGAGGAGCTGCGGCCAAAGAATGACGCTCGGAGGCGCTCAGAAACTTCCTTGCTCCACTTATAGCTAGCATCGCCAAAAGCTCGAGTTGGCTCAAGGCCACCGAGGACACGACCGTTGTGAATAACGCGATCTTCCCCCGGATGAGCCTTTCGCATGCGCGCTACCTCGTTAGGATTGCTTCCGGTCTGGTCTTCGGACAGAGCCGTTGCCGTCCACTTTCCAGAGGAACTACGACGGCCTAAGACAGCCCGCGAGTCACCCGTACAGGCAACTCGTAGAGTCTTGGTGCTACTATCATAAAATGATAAGAGGGCGCAAGATCCGGACAAAGCAGGACCAAGTAGTTCGGCAGCCACTCGCTTCGAGTTAGACTTCAACACCTTCTCTACGCTCTCGTGCACGATTTCGTGATCCAAACGCGTAAATCCAAGCTTAATAGCGGTGTCAATAGCCTCTGGCGACGGTACTGCTCCAAGAGTTCTAGCGGCCTTGTATGTAGTATTCAGCTCCCGTGCGACAAAACTGATTAAAGTTTGTCGTAGCTTCGCTGAAGTTGTCCAACCACTACTGAAGGTTAGTATTCTGTATATTGTTGCAAGATTCCAAAGTCGGTAGCACATACGCATGGCCATCAAAAACACCCCAAAACATCCAGTCATCAATAGGTTTATTATCAGTGTTCTCGCCTTGCCGTGAAGCTACTTCCACGATTTTCTCTGCATGATCATCCTCGATCGGGTTATTGCTCGCAACTTGTACGACGTCATATCGTAGTACGCCTTGTCCGCGGTTGACTAGAAACGAGGCCTCGTTCTGGCGTAATTTCTCGGTTGCTTGGTCCGGAGTAAGCATCTCCAGCACGTTTCTTCCACTACCGTCAACGTTCTTCGCTATGGGACCTTCGCCGACGAAAGTTCCGGTGTGCAATTCATCGGCACCAACTACAAGGACATTCCGCGTTGTGGCAGCGCTATTCGTTAACTGCGTTGGTGCCGTCGCGTATGATTTAGCCCCAACCTGCTCTAGGGTATTTCCTCCCTTGTATGTATACCAGGCGCCGTAGCCAACTAGGCTAGAGACAATGGCGAAGGAGAATCGGCGGATATACATGGAGGATCGTAAGGGCTCGCTTACCGCATAATTGGGGCGTGTATAGGATGGTGAAGTAGATGCAGCTGACGTTGCAGCTGAGGACGAAGCAGCGGATCGAACACCAAGACTAGCATTAAGATGGCTTGAATGGTGGGAAAATACGGTACGCCGCAGGCGACTAGTACGAGCAAGGCCCCGGACGGTGCATTGAAATGTCGTCCGAAGGGCTCTGACAGGTACGCGACGCATTTGGGAGAGGGTTGCCGTCGACGTGAAATTGAATCTGGGAGGAAGTTTCGTCGTCGCAAAGTCGCAAAGTCGCTAAGTCGCAAAGTCGCTAAACGAGCCACAGAATATCGGAATATGGCTGGCCTCTAGAGTGGAGCTCGTAGCCCGTAGCCCGTAGCCCGTAGCCGAGAACAGAATGGGTAAGTGAATTATTAGGTAAGCCTTACAAGGATATACCTAAGATAATGGGGAGAGGAAGGGGATCCATCGTGACCAATTTCTGTTTTCGGCGAAATGCGGGAGTTCGTTTGGGTAGAACGGCGAGATGCAGGAGGTGTGGGGCCGCAGTTAGTCTGTTTATGTACTTCGTAGTCAGTCATGTCCCGCCACATGCACTGTACCTAAATACGTATGTACATAATCCGTGGTGTTTGCCTCCTAACCTTGTTATCGATAATCGCAAGCGCAACCTCGGCATCTATTAGCAACAGCCATTAAACGTTTACTCTCACTACCTAACCTAGGTCCTACATAGGTAGATACCTGCAAGTAGGTATTATCTAAAGGGGCTACAAACTACTTAATACATGTAATATCAATCTAATTCATTCTGAATAATAAGATGGCTGCGTCGGAAGCAAGTATAGCTGGCGTCCAACGTCTTGCCGCCGAGAATCCTGATGCCCTATACCAGGCCTTTGATTCTTATCCATGGATTAAAGATCGGGTATTCACTGTGAGTCTCCTATATAGCACCTGTATAATATCACAATAACTAAACGCTGAGAAACAAGGAACAACTCTCAAATGCTTTGACCAACTCTCAACCTAACGACCTCAGTCTTTCCGAGATCGCTCTCCGGACTCGAATCCAAAGGTTTGAGCAACAAACGCAGATCAAAGTTGACGGTGATGCATACAACCAATGGCTTGCCCAAAGCAGCCACCAACCCCCAAGTGTCGTATCTGAGCAGGCAGTTGCGGTAGAAGCAATGACTATAGTACGTCTTAGTCCCGTCCTCGTTTACGCCTTAAGATGATGCAGTGATAGGCTACTGACCAGCCAACAGTCAAATCCCGCGGACAGAAAACTGGCACATCTCCTGGTTGAACTAGGTGATCCACTAGGTCAACTCGCTCTTCAACAAATTACTCCTGATTCAGCCAATGTTGAAGTGCCTGGTTGGCAAAGCGCCGCACCAACGGCAGAACTTTTCATTGAGAAGGACCCCTCCTCAGCAGACCCCGATAAGGAGCCATATCCTAAGAAATTCGAGGAAATAGTGGCGTTCTTACAGACGGGACAGCCTATACCTGGAATAAGACAGATCCCCGATACGGTTATCGAGGACCCGGCGTTTACGACTCATGGCCGCCTTGCAGCACCACCAAAGCCTTGGGAAATTGGACGAACCCCTTCTACCGGTGGTGCAGGTATATCGACTACAGAAGGCGGAATATGAATTTGAGCAGTATTTATTCTCCGCCAGGGGCGTCAGCACCCGAGACAAGGGCAGCTTTTGTATATACATGTTTCCAGTCAGCGTTAATTAGTATCCATGATATCTGCAGGCGCAATTTTCGTAGAACTTTGACTCTCCGAGACTAGCTCATTCTCGAGCTCCTTGATCTTCGCTTCCCTTACATTTTTGACATGTTGAGCGAAAAGCTCCAAGTTCTCAACTCCATGCTTCACCAAGTTCATCAACATTTTCTCGGCCGTTTTGCGTGGCAGTTCTCCAGGTATTCCGGCCTCCTCATGAAAGCAGTCAGCGTGCGTAAATTCACGGGGTACCTCGTAATAGCCTCGACTCGGCTCGGAGGTGAATGATCTAATATGTAAGATCTCGTCCATTTCCATCCCGCTCGAAGGAAGTGAGCGCTCCTGACATTCCGTTAAGCCTGGTACTGCTCTAAGGTGTGGAGGGAATTTGTCTTCTCTCCATTTACACTCTTGGCGGATCCTTGTCTTTTCGCGGTTAAGCATGTAGTACATGTTGTCGTGTACGGCATCTGCATGCTCATCGATCTGAGCGAGTATCTCGTTACGTCGTTTGCTTGGTTCTGATGATAGTTCCGGTGGTGGTTTTGTGAAATCAGTGTGCGCGGGCACGAAGATGCTTGGTGCATTACCCTGATACGCAGGGATATCCTCTTGTTGCAATTGTCTCTCTGGTGCTCTCTCTGCGCCGTCGTTGATTGCCATCCTCAACTTTTCTGTTTATGAGATGCACTGATGCACTGATGCACTGATGCACTGATGCAGCTGATTCGGAAGTCGAGCTTATCAATGAGATTAATGAGATGATGTTAACGGCGTTTGGGATAGAGATATCAGTTACTGCCGTTTAAATAATTGATCACTTTACCGCCTGATGCTAAGTTCCGATATGCATTTAGCCATCACACGAGTAATTACATGGATGTCACGCAATGATGTTAACTCTCCTAAGTAAAGAGGTTAGGTACATATATGAGATAATTATCTACCGTCTACTTGGCAACTATTTTTCTATGAAGAATCTAACTACCTAAACAATAAGAGGTAAATCGGACGGCTACCTGTGGATGTAATCTCTCAGCTCTGTTATCCTAAGTAACACGAACAATGCTTAAGTGGCTTATTCACTTAAGCGTTGTTCGTTTTTAATACGGCCGTCAAGGGCCAAGGCTATTCAAACATAATTAACTATTTTATCCCATCCCACGCGAAAATCCGCAGAGGTAGTATTCAAGTGCCGAGAGAGCTTTGATGGCGTGCTTAAGTTGTGGAAAATCGGGCGTCGTGTATGTCTTCGTATTGACTAGCCTCGGCCTACCGAAGCCAGATGTTACGGTGGATAACCGGAAGGCTTGGAGTTCGTGTGAGAAATATCTTGACATAAAATAGTAGAAATACTCGATATCTCTATTTGAAGTTATTTCAAAAAGATCGCCTATAAGGATGGCCGCTAGAGCTATCACAGCGTCCGGTCGACTATCGCTGGGCCTTCTAAAGAGAAGTGCAATTTCCTTGATCTTAAACATAAGTCTTGACATATCACTCTCAGAAAGGTTTGATATTGGGGTGAATGTTTTTGGACCGTCGCTCAAGTATGCTCCCATAGGTGCGATGTCTAGACCTACGCGTGTGATATCTAGATACTTAACGCAATGATATGCGGGGCCAGTAATCGGGCCATACGCCAGATATTCGTGATGGTAATCCCCAGAAGCCAAGTCAGCGTTATAAAGAGCCGTAACATGATATATCTTCACATAATCTTGAAGAATCTTGGTATCGATAATCGCTATATATCCCGACGGGTCCGTTAAAAATTGAATAGCGATGTCGAGATCTGCTGCCCACGAACTAAAGGCGGATGGAACATGAACTCCGCGTAGATGGTCATTGATCATCCTCTTCAAATTATGGATATCATATATCGTTGTTGGTACCTTGCCATTAAGAAAAGTATGTGGGATGATGCCTGTAGTAGTATTAAGACGAGAATATCCACCTCCAGAACCAGAGCAAAAGCTTCGAAATAGAAATCGCGGAAGCCTTTCCCAAGATTCTATTTGCCAGTTAACCTTGATGTTGTGGTCTCGCGGAATGTGGGTTCTGCTGAATTGGCTTACCTTCTAGTATCCGGCGTTGTCTGTTGGTTACAAACATGTTACCTATAATTTCGTGGCCTTTGTTACTACCTCAAACATCAAGAGTTCCTTCTACCAGGGGATCGATGGGTTAATCTGCCTCCTAACCTTGTATCCTTAATCTCACGTTCGAAGCTTTCGACTCTTACAAGCTTACGTCTTTCGTATTGAGTCTATTGTTTTCTGACCCTAACTGTACGATAATTACTATCTCGCCGTAAAAGCTGTAGCATTCAGGGGGGCTTGACTCAAGAACCCTTAGCAGTTCTAATGATTACTTACGATATTGGTATGGATATAATATTGAATATTGAGCCAACGATATATTAATCTTTCAAGCATGATAACTATATTTACCACTCTTTATATATGTCTGTAGACTATTTACTTTCTCTAGGTATTATTGCTGATTCGAGGCTGGCAGCATCTCCTCCTAGCAACTAGAATAATACCATTGTGCGATTCTAGAACAAAATCTCGCCTTGAACTGAGGTAGTTGTTCGAGATAGATAAGTAATAAGACATGTCTAGAAATCAATGGCTCATAAAGAATGTCCTAGACGAAGGTACCCTTTAGAAATAGACCGCGAAAAATATCTGCAAGGGAACTGAATTCTAAGTAATTGAGAAAAATACAAGAACAAAGATATATCATAGAAAACATGGCCACTAATGCTGTGAGATATGCTGCTGAGAATGTTAGAAAGCATAGCATACCCTTGATTCTCAGCACACATATGGCCTTGCTCAGTTGCGACATGTAGCTCTACCAAATACTAGGTACACCGCCGCCACGATCAGCCTAACGAAAGCTGGGATCTTAAAAACATGAGGTCTTGAAGTGGTTCCCATAGAGCATACCCACAATCGGTTGCTATAAATGTGGAAAATTCATAGCCGACCTGGTATGTAATATACGCCGCAAGGAGCGAGAGTTTCATACGCTTCGTGATTCAGAAACCACAAGACTGAGTGAGTAGTTAGGTGAAATCCTCCCAAGGTTAGTCCTTTACTTGTAGTGTATTGTCGGTTTGTCGGTGGCCGGTAATGGTGGCGGAGTCGCAATTCGTTAATGTAGGTAAGGACTCGCGTTTGGACAATGCCCACAATGAAAAAAATCCCATGAAGGTATCTGTACTACGAGGTATAAGATGGAGCTTGACGTCATGCCCAAAGAGGTAGAGTTCCAGAAATGTTCGTTGCATAGCCTCCCTCAACGGGGCTCTGGGGAGGATTTTGCTCGGTCACTTGACGATATTCGTGCGCCCTGGATTTTAGACCGTCAATCGATTTGATGGCACATGTTCAAAATGCCAGAATGCCTCCTATGTAAAAGAGACCTCGAAGCGTGTTACCGGATGGAGAAACCTTTTTATTTTTTAATCTGCCTAGGTAGTGCGTAGTTTGTATTTGCTCATAGGAACTGGGCGCCACAGACGACAAGATTGGATTGAGGCAGTGAGGCAGTGCTGGGTCACGCTCACTACATACCTAACCCGCATTCCCCAGTAATACTACCTCGCTAGGCGGACTGGGCGTTTGCGGTACGTTTCTCATGCCGAGATATGATACGGAGTTAATACTTAGGTACCTATGTACCTATGAGTTTTAAAATGTATCGATACATTTGAGGTACCTAAAGGTTTCATGAGCATTTGTACATGTAGATAGGTACCTAGGTAGTAGTTAGATACATACTTTTGAATTTACCACGGAAACGGAGTATCACGGACAGTTACGCTATGCTAAGAGTTAACCTGACAAATTCCAAATCCTGACTTAGGTAGGTACCTAGTACACTAATCCAAATAAAGACGTTAGGTACTTATACGGAATACGGAATACGGAATACGGAATACGGAATACCTACGGCAGGCTCACTGACTGCTGTGCTGTAGGATCAGCTCGCCAAGAAACTACATAACTTCGCCTCAGAGTCGATCTTACGATATTAGGTTGTTGGCTTCAATAAGCCAGTAAGCATGGTTTCGATTTGACATTAGCAGAGACATTTCTTCGACTTTGACTTTAACTTTGACTTAGGTACTTGGATATCTGGATATATAAGTTGGAGGTGTTGCACACCTACCTAGGTAAGGATTAGGTTATTTTGTTTAACTCCTTCAATCCACCTTATCTGGCTTCCCCAGCTTTCCAAGCTTTCCAAGCTTTCCCGCACGGACAAAACCTACCTAAGGTACCATTTAAAGTCTACGGATTACCACCATAAACTTTAAAGGCAGCTTCATCAGCTCTCAGATAAATGTACGTCGCACAGCATTTCCCAAGGTGACATCTAGGTACCTCTCTTCCCCTTCCCCTTCCCCTTCCCCTTCCCCTTCCCCATCCTCATCCTCATCCCCAACACACGATTAAATGAATGGGACGACTAGGTAGGTAGTATTTAAAGAAAGAGGTACATCTTAAATCCACATCGTCTGACATTTTTTTCATCTCCCACCACCTGATCTCTTCTCCAAGTCTTCAACTTTTTCACCCTTTCATCTAACATACACGACCCTTTTTACCTAATACTCGAGGTTTAACTGGATCTAATCTCTTCAATAGACAAGTAGAAGCACGAAAGAACTACAACTACAACATGGCCGACTCCAGGAACAAGGGTGTCGAGCGGACCAATGGAACCAGCTCAAGCCAAGCTGGCTTCCAACCACAGGTCAACATGACGGTCGAGCGCCCCAGACAGGAGGACCTACAACAGAGTTATGCGTCCATCGTCGGTACTGATGCTAACCCCAAGGGCTGGTATGGATCGATGAGTATGATTTCACCCTAGCCTGGATGATATTGGCCCTAACTTTTCTCATAGTTAATGCTATCGGCTCTTGTATGGGTACTCTCGGGGCTATTCCCTGCATCATTTGCTGCCCTAATCCCTATAAGCAAGTCGGTCAAGGCAACGTCGGACTTGTCACCAAGTTCGGGAAATTCTATAAAGCTGTCGACCCTGGTCTTGTAAAGATCAATCCTCTCAGCGAGAGACTGATCCAGGTTGATGTCAAGATCCAAATTGTTGGTAGGTCAAGCCTTTCCCCTTCTTCCCCTTCTTCCCCCCTGACTGCTTCTAATTATGATTGCGAAAAATATAGAGGTTCCCAAGCAAGTTTGCATGACCAAAGACAATGTCAATGTCGAACTAACGTCGGTCATCTACTACCACGTCACTTCGCCGCACAAGGCTGCATTCGGAATTACCAACCTACGACAGGCCCTTGTCGAGCGGACACAGACAACCCTGCGACACGTCGTCGGTGCGCGCGTCCTGCAAGACATTATCGAGCGCCGCGAGGAGATCGCGACGAGCATCAGCGAAATAGTTGAGGATCTGGCGAGGAGCTGGGGATGTGAAATTTCCGCCATCCTCATTAAAGATATTTACTTTTCTACTGATCTTCAGAATGTAAGTGTAGAATCATGGATAATATTTTCTATTGCCTTTCATGATATAAACTGGACGAAATTTCACCAAGGGATATTGCTAATATGATATTAGTCCTTATCTATGGCAGCGCAGAGCAAGCGTATCGGAGAAAGCAAGATTATAGCGGCGAAAGCTGAAGTAGAATCGGCCCGGCTTATGCGTCAAGCAGCAGATATCTTGTCGTCCGCGCCGGCGATGCAAATCAGATACCTAGAGGCAATGCAGGCTATGGCAAAAACAGCGAACTCGAAGGTCATTTTCCTCCCGGCCGCGAACCAGACGATGCCAAATATCAACAACGCCATGGCTCACGCAGCTAAACAATATGAAATCGGCGAGTCAAGTGGGACTCAGGACGACGACGGTTTCTCACGGGCGGTCAACGCTCACATCATTGAGAATATCTAATGAGGATATCTAATGAGGATATCCCCCCCCCCTGATTTCGAGTTTATGTCGAATATTGTATTCTGTATTTTAATTTCCTAGTTTATGATCGACAATGAGGCTGTAATGATGGGGATTGCTTGTTATCGGGTGGACATACCCCACGAAAGAGCCTTGCTGGTTACAGACCAGGCGAAGGACACCATATACCCGAAAACGATAAACTATGTGAGAAGATGGTTGATGTGGCTGAATGGAACAGGTTGGGCTGAGGAAAGGCGGTTACCGATACCCATTATGGATACCCATCGTTCGCTTTTGAGATACGGTTATTATTGCGCCTCTATTTATGTAGTTTTTTCCGTGCGGAAGGTTCTGTTACTTGGACCTAATAAGAATATCAGATTTAGTTGTATCGATTCACTTTCTTGCCTGTGCCTGGTGTAGTTTATAGTGGTTATGTATAACCTACGTATACATATTCCGTACTAGACACTTTATTTGCGGTTTACAGGTATCGTGTGATCACGCCTCGACTTTGATAATCCATCGTATATTCCGGGGGTATCTACATCTACTTTCATATTTAGTCAAAGCCCTCAAATTCATCATCGTCGCCATTCCCAGTACCAACGGCGCCTCCTTGTGCCGTAGTACCACCACTCTCAGCAGCCAACTTCTCCTTATTCCGTCTCCGCACCTCCTCAAGCAAGCGCTCGAGATCCATCTCCTTCGTTCTTTCATCCTCAGTAAGCGTCTGCCGCCGCTCCGCCTCGCGTTTGCGTCTTTTCTTATCGCGACGCTCAGCCCGTTCGTCTTCCTTTTCGTGTTTCCCGCTCCAGGCCTCGGTATTGCGCTTGCGCCGCTCTTTCTGCCCCTCGGCCGACTTCCCTACGTTACCTTCGGCCGCTTCCTCAGCCATCTTTTGTAATGTCTCTAGTCGCTGTTTCTCGCGATCCTTTTTGGCATATGCATACGCATTCCAGTCCATTTTTACCCCCAGAAATTTGTCACCTTCGAATTTCCGTAGCTCTGGCATTTTCGGCAGTCGCAACAGCCCCCATGCGTGTCCTAGGTCTGCCCAGTCCAGGTCTGCGATGCGGAAGATAGAACTTGCAGTATGTTTGCTATAACTACGAAGCCAGCTAACAAATGCCTTCTGCGCCTTATCGTGCAGTGCACGATCGCGTTTTACTGTTTCGCGAATCCGCGAGGTAGTCGTGTCGACATCAACATCATTTACTGAGATTACTGGATAGGCAAGTGGCATAATAGGCGTCTTCCGTACTTCCAAGAATGGCACGTAGTCCAACTCTGCCGGCTGCAGGAGGATGACACTGAGACCCCGGCGCCCCGCGCGGCCAGCACGACCGCACCGATGCAGAAATGATTTTGGGTCTGAGGGCGGGTCGATCTGCACGACGAGGTCGACCTGCGGAAAGTCGAGGCCTCGGGCAGCTACGTCGGTGGTGAGCAGGACCGAAGGCTGTGCCGCGTTGAGGAACTTGGCGAAATTCTTCTCGCGCACTTTGGCTTCATATTTTCCGTGAAGAGAAACCAAATCGAAGCCCTCAGGAAGAAGGGTGGGGAGAAGGTGCGCAAAGTAATCGACGGCGGCGCATGTAGAGAGAAATACGATACTCTTCTGTGGTCGGGGGTCTAGTTTCTCTAGGAGCTGGACGAGACTTGGCAACTTATGGCTGGCGGGTGTAGTTAGGTAGCTCATCTGAAGACTCGCAGGTGTTCGTCGCTCCTCGATAATTCCACCCGTCTTTAGACTCTTCACTTTAACCGCAACCTTGACGGGATTTCTTAGACCAACTCTGATTATTTCGCCCACCGCCTCGCTGACGCTGGCGCTAAAGAGACCTGTCCTCCTTTGCTTCGGTAGTCGCGAAAGGATCTTCTGTAAATCTGCCTTAAACCCCAGATCAAGAAGTCTATCCGCCTCGTCTAGGATTAGAAGTTCGAAGGAGGACTGCGGGCAGTGCACGTGCGGGGAAGAAAGAAGTTCGACTAGTCTACCAGGCGTTGATATCAAGACGTTTGGTGACGCGCGGAGAAAAAAGCTAAGATCTTGAGCGGGAGTCGTGGTGCTGCCGCCGGAGAGGAGTTGCGGGATGATAACAGGCGAACTTGTATCTAGCCGCTTTTCCTCGCCAGTGAGATGAGGTAGGAGTTCGGAAGATTGAGGGTGGAAGGCGACGAGCGAGGTTAGAGTACCATGGATCTGACCTGCAAGCTCTTTGGTGGGCGCGACAATAATGGCGGCTACATGATGTCGTTTCGTAGGTTCGTCTTGTCGCAAGATCCTGTGAACGAGAGGGAGGAGGAAAGAAAGAGTTTTTCCGCTACCGGTAACTGCCTATTAATTATAAGTAAACCTGTATCCTATATGCTCGTATTCGAGGAAGAAGTCTTTTAAACTCACCTCTACAACTACATCCTTATTTCCCCCTCCAAAAAGAGGCCATACACTGGCCTGAACGGGAGTAGCCCGGGCAAAGCCCATGCTTGAAACGGCATCTAGTATCCATTCCGCCAAGGGAGGTGTCAAGGCATCCCAGGCTCGGGGGTCTTTCTTCGCCGTTTTTGATTCCGGCGCCATCATTCAATGGGTGAGCGTGGGTACATGTAGTTTATTTTCTTACGAGAACTTTATCGAGGCCGACCGGGAATTCTTTTTGGAGTTGGAACTGAGAATTATTATCTTATCGGGTGCCGAGGGTCTTATCTTATCTAAGCACCAAACTACCTATTATTTACAATGTCTTATCGCTTCTAGAAGGGACCTGGTAGATCGGACCGTTATATGCCAACGTTGGATATGACGTCGCGTTAGGAACAAAAATTGGATAAGAGCCGTCATCAATCGGCATATTGCTCGTCTCTTCCATTTCACGACTCCATTCCCCCTCTGGTCGGTGTTTTCTCTTGCACCATATACACCGAGGACGCGCCTCCTTAGGCACAAACGCGCCACAAGTGCAGTAAAATAGAATATCAAATTGATGATCCATCATGACCTTGGTCGCATCGTAATCCTCGAGGTAACGGTCGTAATCGTGTACTTCTGCAACAGTGTGTTTCTTATAGTATTCACCCGTTTCCTTGTCCTGTTCTTTCGTACATTTCAAGCAGATCCAACGCTTGGCTGTGTCGCAATCACACAGCTCGTTGAGGAACTGCCCGCTAAGCTGCTCTTCGAGTCTCGCGTCGCAGACATCGCAGAGACATATGAGGTTCTCGTTTTGCCACGGCTTGTTGAGATGAGGACGGCGTGTACCAGTCCTTGAGGGCACTCGTAGACACTCCCTGCACTCTTCGCAGATGTTGATACCACATTTGAGACAGGGAAGTGCGCCGGCCTCGTCGCATCTAGTTGCAAAGAGCTTGACCTCGATTTCCTCATCCTGGTGGATTTTTCTACCGTTTGGACCCCATATATATGAATACCGACTGTAATTCCACACATTCTGCCGGCGAAGCAATCCGCGTCCGTCGCAAAGACAGTTACGTCGGAGAACTTCGAAGACTTTGGCTGAGGATAGGATATAAGCATGAGAACGGCGACAAGTCAGGCCAAGATGAAATAGGTCAAGTGTGGAGAGATATTTCGAAATAGTTGTTAGGACAGGATATTGACCGATGAGGTCTAATAATAAAGGTGCCATCCTGACTATAGAGGTAAGTTAGAGAATATGAAGTTTTGAAATATTACGGTACGCATTGCGGAACATGGGATGATATTTTATTTATCTTGTATTTAATCTAGCTATGAGTCAAACCTGTTGCTTACATGAGAACACATGAGAACATGATGGATTTGCGTTCTAAGCGGCGATTGGATGGTTGACTTAGTTTAGGTAGCTAAGAGAGGTAGCTAACAGAACAACACATCAGGAGCCAAGTCTCTGCTACAGTACCTCGATTTAGTTGTAATCAACCATTAATACCTAACTGCACAATGAAATTTCTACCACGGATAAAATTATACCAAAATTTATTGTAAAGGCATCCATCTAAATTATTGAGATATCGACCTCCAAGGACTTACCAAAAAGTAACTTCCAACACAACTTTGCTCGCCACTTAAGGGAATACCCATCGAGCCCCTGCATCACTAGAATCCTCGTTCTTTTCTTCTTCTATTCAAGTTACATATTATGCCTCCCCAATGTAATAAGCACAGCAATGATCGCCCCGGCAAATATCAAATTGATACCTGTTATATCAATAAGTAACTAGCAGCTTCTGTTTCTAAGTTTGGGTATGGTGAGACTCAATGCGGGGAATACGAATAAGAGTAAAGGCAACTATCGAGTAGTTAGTAGAGGGTATTTACCTCGTAGCAATTGGCTTAACAGCAGAAGAAAACATGATACTCACCTCCACCTCTAGGAAAGTTTAGGTAGAAAACCCATATCCACATAGACTTGTTGGCAATTGAGCCGCCCATGAACGGGCCAATGGCGACACTAATGGTATTAGCTACCATGGTTAAAGCTATAAACAATTCTCGTTCCCCTAAGGGTACTAAATTGGCAATGACAGTCTCCGTGAGAAGTTGATGCCTCCACCCCCTATACCCTGTCTATATGAAGATCAGAACAAAGCATCAGCATACCCGTAGACGACCTATATAGTACGACCGACAATCAACATGCCCATAGTGGATAAACCTCAACACAGGTCGCTTCCAAGAATGAACAAGGCCACTATAATAGGTAATGAATAGCCACCGGCGGCGAAGATATCCCCTATTCGAGCGTAAAGGGGTAGAATGACAATAAATGAGAGCGAAAAAAGCATTTAATTCCTACCTATATATATAGGTTCCCACCACCTAATGATTATATGATGGTCGGAAACACACTAGCAGTAATGGTGCCTTCAAGAGGGTATATAGAAATATAAGGAAACACTTATAAACCATATGGACCGAAGCTAAATTTGATAAATGTAATAAAGGGGCTGTTTGGCTGATCGGCCGCTTCTTGACAGGTAATCAGTGAAATTTGGCCCCTTTCTCCCCTATCTCCGCGAACATCTAAAATTTCTCTTTGGGTTTAACGCGGACTTATAATATCTATGATCTATAGAATTGACGCATTAAGTTCTTAAGCGTCTTTAGATACATAAGCATACCTACAATGTTCTCCTTTAGAACGTTGGTATCACGATTAATAACCGATATATTTAGATGAGCCTAATAATAGTAACTCCCACGGCGTATATATGTGACATATAGATATTTCCCAATGTTGAAAAGCCTTCCATACACCTGACACATGAATCATAGTTAGGTAGCTGTGGGGGCATAATTGCCTACCTATTATATAAGTAATAAATGTAATTGCATCGCTACCACTCGCGCGAAATATGATATCAATAAGTCCAAGTACGCGTCCACACAGGATTAGGGGATGCTAGTATTTTCTTGTTTTTCTTGGGTGGCTAAGATGATCTTGCGTACTTTCCGTCTAGGGACCGGACGGAAGGGACGGAAGGGACGGAGGACGTCGGGAACGGAGCCGTAGTTGCTTATAAATAGTTATATACCCAATTCTAGTTCCCGGAGTAGCTGCTGACCTAACGGCGGCTCAGGTAGAAGTTACGATGGGGAAAGTGGTGGGACTTCTAAAGGAACAGAAACAATTTCTTGAAATATTTCATATGCCATAGATTACCTTAGGTACCTAGGTATATTACACATAACTCAAGAATGCTTTCAGAACATCTTTTAATATAGTACCTGTACTGTAGGTACCCTTACCAAAACCTGGAAAGTTTACCTGGTGCGCTATTAGGACGTACAGTGTTCTAGCCGACTTTCGACTGTACGTCCGGTACTTTGATTGCTCTGCTCATTCCAGAGGCTTAATAAAGTAATAGAAAATATAAAAAGCAGGTCTTACGTTCTTCACCCTTTCCGATCCACTGCTCCTAAAATATTTAAATTTATCATGACCTATGTAGTGCTCAATATCGCATAGTCCAAGTCTATTGAATTTACGCCAGTTTAACCTGCACTCAGCATCACGTTGACTTTAAGCATTTATAAGCAGCACCCCGAGCATCAAACCATATGGCCGGCCTAAATACTAGAAAAGGCTTGGGAATCAGAAACATCCCAGCTTATTATCGATGCAGAGGCCAAAAACTTCGTTTTATATGGGATGGTAAAGTACCCAAGTGTCGTAAGTGTACGAGAGCGGACGCTGTACACACTATGGCACCACGCAGACGTCTCCAACTGGGCCGGCTTTTTGTTCTGACAGCTCAACTCAGAGGTGTAACGGAATAGGTGATATATCTTGCGGCGGAAGAAATTTCACATTGAATACATAGAGAAAATGTTATGATTCAGCTTGCCCTTAGCTTCTTTAGTAGTGCAAATCGATGTACGATCAAAATAACCGAAACCAAAGAAAATAAAAATTAGCCAGCAATTATATGTGCGAATGGATAAGGTATTTCGTCAGGCCCTTCTCTGATCCAGTACCCATATTCAACCTCCTCTTCGTTTTCAGACTCTCGCAAAGGTGCGAGTGGCCGCCAGACACGATCAGACACATGCCCAGGTTCAGATTCAAACTTATACCCTTGTCTAATACCATACTCCCGCTGAGGCCAGAATATATTAGCGGGTACCGCAATGCTGCATTCCTGCAACTGCGGACCAAGATTCCTTATCATTTCATCCATAACTTCTAGAACACTGGTCTCCAACTCCCCTATACAATTATCAGGATTAATTGCTGGTGGCTTCCAAGAACCACCGAGACAAATATAGAGCTTCCTCAACCCAGAAAAAGAATTTGGAACCGCACGTACTAAAGCGGTAAGATGATCCCAGCCCGACGCCGCATTTGTGTGCAAGTTGAGTTGCCACATCATCTCTACTGAGGTAATCATGGCTCGGTGTTCAGCTCTAATTAAACCAGGGAAGGCATGAATCATATCGCTGTTAGAGATATGAAAGTTGTTTGTAGAGTAGAGGATTTCAATCCCCTCTATATACCTAAACCCAAAAGAAAATGTAAGCTACCTTACCAGGTTTGATACAAACTCCGAAAGGGTGCCGAATGGCGCGTAAAGAGGAAAGACTTACGCCTGTCTACAAGTAAGAAGCCATCCCATAACGCCTATAAAGCACTTGTACGGGAATTTTCCGCGCCATCCACGACAGGATCCAGCGGTACCGCCAAGGCAGATGTCAGTATATGGCTCTGAACTGCTGCCGATCCCAGGTACGCGAGATTCAGTGTCTCGATGACATACGCAGCTGAACCACCTCCATGCCTTAGGACGGGTGGTATCTCGCTTTGGGCGGCGGGCCTGTCCAGGGTCGATACCACAATGACTACGTTGCTTCTGTGCTTCCTCGTCGGATAAATAAACCATAGGGTGGTCGAAAGAAAAATCTAGATGCACAGTACGATCCCCAAAAGCCTCAGTGAGAATCATCCGGCGCACCTCAGATGGTATGCGCTGAAAAAAAGAGCTGGTAGCCGTAGATGCCATGATACATTCGTACGAAGGAGACGGCGTTAGCATAAAGGCCCGCTTGCTTGGAAGTACCGGTATTATAGTCGGGTCTTCTAATGAATTTGGTTGCTTTTTCCTGTCATGTGGAGTTCCTTTACTCCGTCGGAACCACCCACTTGGTTTGTTGACCACCATTATCGTTCTTCATGCAAGCCGCTTTGTGTTACCTTGAGAATCGAAATTCAAAAAAATAAAATAAAATGACGCGACAATATGTCATCTTCCTTTTATTGCATAGCAACGTTAAACTAACCCCATTGCTTTATATTAATATATACCGTAGTAGCTTTAAGATAGTTATAGGCTGTCATTATGTCAATCGGAATCTCCCCTTTTAAGGCATTGCCGCTTATAAAACAGTACTTAGATAAGGTACGACTGTGGCACGTAATTTGATGCATGAAGTATTATCGACTTTAGGTCTTCAATCATTAATGTATTATATAATCCAAGTTGAACTGATGAATCCTTTCTCACTACATAACCATGTAACTAAACTTGAAAGGTTGGCGAGTATAAGTATAAAGCATTTACGAATGAGTCAAATGTCTGTTTTTTATAACTACACAATTGAAAATATCAAATATCTAAAGTAGTGAAGCAAAGTAACGTTTCACTTTTTACAACTACTTAGGTAGTTTTAGAAATTAAACTTGTATTCCGTAAAGAACAATAAACCCCTGTAAATACGTACGTTACACAAAGTAAGCGAGTACCTATAGAGTTGAATAAAAAAGTTTTAAAGGCTTCAGCAAAATGTTACACTCATTCTTCGTCCACATCAGTACGTTTAAGAAGGTTCAATGTTGGTATTGCACGATTTTCACAAGTATTACAACCTTTGAGCTTCTCTCATTATATTAGCACCAAAGCTTCAGATGGGTCTATGACAAACAGCATTCCCAGCTACCTAACTTGAAAGATTTTTTGTTCGATACCTTAGGTATTTATCTCAACCGAATAATGTTACATGAAGCCTCGAAAGCTTTGACCAATCAAGGCCGGTTACCCTCAATTTTGAATGGATACTAACTACTATGAAGCTATTTATACCCTTGCAAAACCCCTTTTTAATGAAATTCCTAGCGTTAAGCCCTTAAATATCAAATTAACCCTGTAATGGTTTACCAAGGCTACCAAGCCGCAGTGGTGTATCCGGTAACCCGAAACCCCTATTGGGAGCTTAAGTCTTCATCAACGCTCATTATCACATGTTGATCACATAGGAGCGATTCGGTGGTTGGGGAGGCTTCAGGGGCGTCGGCAGTCAACCTAGACCTTGTGTTGGTGGGTGACAAATTCAAGCAAAACTGTAAAGTCACCAGTAGTAACATCGGTCCAATTCTTGACTTTCTCTGGATTAATGCAACGTTTTTTTTTCTTTTTTCCCCCTTGCTTTTCTTGGTAGTAACGCTGATGACAGATAGGAGTCGTGTCTGAGGATTATTATTTACCCGAAAAATTGTTGAAGCTTCCATTTAGAATTATGGGGTAGTGAATGTTCCAATCATCTCTATAGATCTTGTTATGGCCATTGAATACTTGTTGGGAATTGCGTACTCAGAATTGCTTGAGCTCCAAGTCCAGCTTGAACAACTTTTTAGCATTTCCAAACGCAAACATGTCCAACTCTTCCCTCGAGAGCGAACTCTCTTCTGCCAGCTTCTGGAGATACTTCCACCCCTCAATACTCTTGCTAAACGGTGTGTCGATACTATATAAGATTCGGTCCTTCTTTGTTATCTTCAGGACCATTTCAAGAGTTCTGACGCTGAATATGCCGCTCGAAGTCACCCATATATTCCTGTCCCAGACGTCACGGAATGGTTCCAGCCCGCTCTTTTCATAGAAGCGGATTGAATCCACCCTGTCGATCATTATGGGGAGCAACTCGCCCATATGCCCGATTATAATCTTCAACCGGGGGAAGCGGGCGAATAGACCTGCAGAGTAGAGTTTGAGAACGTGGATCCCGACGTCCTGGTGCCAACCCCATCCGCCCGTTGCCAGCCCTTGCGCAATAACAGGGGAGTAGTTGCCGTTGTAAAGCCCTTTCTGCACAAACTCTGGGGGTAGTGCCGGATGAATATAGATGGGCACATTGAGACGTTCAGCTGTCTCAAAAACAGGCCAGAATCTCTCGTGGTCATAGTGAGTCATGTCCCCTAGGTGGCTATCAATCATGGCACCGAAAAATCCCAACTCCTTCACTGTTCTCTCTAACTCTGCAGCTGCAGCTCGAGGGTGCGCCATAGGAAGGCCAGCGAAGCCACCCAGGCGACTTGGGTTCTTTCTGATAGCTTCGGCCATCTCGTCATTTGCCTTTCGAGTGCCCTCTGGGTTGTAGTTACTCAAACCCGTAACGTGAGAAAGTATTTGGTACGATATATGACCCTCGTCCATATCTGCCAAGCGGCCAGTCGAGTGGTCTTCAAGGGCCTCTTTCGTCTGTGGGAATACCTTCCATATGTCGTCGTAGAATACACTTTCAGTGCCAAGGGATGGAAACGCAGTGTGCTCTTCGAGCGTGATGGCGAACGACGGAGAAGACATTATATGAGTTTTGCGACTACTTTCCGAGGGATCTGAAAAGTTGCAGTTGTGATAATGAGAGATAGATAGATGTGAAGAATTAGGAACCCATATACTCGCACCTTCGTGTCACGCGCGGTATTTATAACCTCCGAAGGTAAGACTCGTGTTTTTGGTCGTCTCTTCACGTCCAATTTGGGTCAACCTGTCTATCTGGAGATTATGCAATGATGGGACGGAGATACGACAAGGTCGGGAACACGAGGGGCCGACTTACCCAGTTTGCACTTCCCTTTCCCACATGATCATCACGGCTTATATGCCCATGAACAAACACACCACACCTGAGAATCGCCGATTACCGTCCTATTAGTGAGATACAACCTAGGTCCAATATCGTTGTAACTTGAAGCTGTGGAAACCCTTACCACCGAATCCCTTACCCCAATCCCGATTCAACAATACCTACTTATATCAAGGTAAAGTGACCATGATTCCTAATCACGGACGGAAATCCGTGTTTTTAACACCGCTAATTATAAGCTAAATATTGGAACGGTGGGTTTATTCGACCGAGATTTCTAATACAATATCTGTCCAAACTTTGAGCAGTTATTATTGGCCTGTATAGCTGTGTTAAAGTATACACCTCCACTGGTTGGGTAAAATGGAAGACTCTTAATAAACTAATGTTGATTACATATGTAGAACAGTGTAAGGATCCTAGATGAGACATCTAGAATAAAGTATACTTTTAGTATGTACAGTCGTAGGCTCCTGTAACTAGCTTAGAGTTCCTCGCGGAACAATGAAGTTACTTCCATACTTGTTGGTCCGCCTGGTGACACGCTTCCATTGATATCACTTGATCATACTAAAAATATAGTTCACTATGAGATCCTAACAGGATATTAGCATGATTGAGCCCTCATTACGAGTGCTAGGGTTTCAGTCCGAATGATAATTATTGGGTCTTCAAGCAGTATTAGTAGTTGAGCGTTAAATGGGATGATAGTTTTTCGTCTAATAGCTAGCTGACTTACCTTTCTACAATATCATTCAAACGGCGCAGGCGTATCAATAAGACTATGAAGAAATTAACAGCACCTATGTGTCATAAACGGGCAATATGCTGGGTGCCTTAACTGCAATCGAAACTAGTCCTTTTTCTAAATTCTTCTTCAGGGTAGATTTAATATCTCTTTAAATGGCGCCTACTTTAATTTGAATTATTGATAATATTGGTTAATCGTAGCCACCTCGTAATAACCTATAAGTATCTAGTCTAACTATGGCCACCTACTCATATATGATTTAATAACAAGGAACTGGAGTTAAGTTAAGAGAAATTCAATACATTCGGTGGCCTGCATAACTTTCGTACTCTTACAGCACTGAGGACGTATGCAAATGTCGGCAGCCTTGTATACAGTCAGACTAGCGATGCAAAGTGGTGACACTTGACGCGCGTATCGACCTAGACAGTGTGATCTAGCATGAGACATTTGTCCAGATTGCCTTAGGAGATCTTGAATCTACGGGTATGCGGAGTGATTGGTTGGCTAAAGTTTGACCCAAGGTTTTGGTGCTTGCTTGCATATACCGATGAGGCTGAGACGAGTGTAAGAGTTATGACAGAACTGATAATCTCCATACTAATTAGATTTGTAGGCTTTTTTGAGGTATGAACTTATTTGTGTGTTTACATATAATGGCACGAGAGGTATCGTCAAGGAAGATAAGATCGTTACTAGAAACGATAATGAGGTTAGGGTTTGCATATCAATACTTTTAATTATAGAGGCCGGTCGAGGAGTTGGAAAAGGAGACTAGATGTACCTAAGTACATTGAAGCTAGGTACCTAATCGGCCGAGAAAGTACTTCGTACGTGAGATGTAAAGGGAAGGAAAGCACGAGCCACGTGGGGGTTTAAGAGACAAGTTACAACTGAGGGACAAAACGCCAAGATTTTTGTATGACGGCTTTTCGTTTTCTTCGGCCGTGAAAAATTGAAACCCGGTCAATTTTCAAATACATCACGCGAGCCTATCATTTATAGCATTCCTGACTGCGCCGACCGAATGCTTATTGCTACCGTACATATACATATACCTATCCATACATCTATACATCGATCAGTTTTAAACTGTACGGCCATCGTTGTTCCATGTGTGCGACATCTGCCCAAGTTCGGTTTACAAGGGCTGCAAGACTAGAGCCACGACCCGAATCGAAGCAACGAGAAAAATCACAATGCGGCGGAGCACAGCTCTGTTGCATCAAGACATTTCAATCTGGATTCGGTAGCGCTTCTCACTTCCTTCATCACCACCACCCCATCCTCCACTGCTCGTGAATCTAGAAGGGATAAGCAACTCCATTCCTTCTTTTGGCCTTTGCGGTTCTACGACTTGCGACAGATCTTTACTGGTGTCATCTCCTCCCCACCTCTTCCCGACTTTCCATATAATATGTCTTTTCGCGGCAAACCTATCATCCCTGCAACACCTCGTGTTATATCACCAAGCCCTACGCCATCCGAAACTCAAGATACTTCTCAAGATTCCTACCTCGGTCCGGTTACGCGCTCGGCTGCTAGGCGCCGACAAGCCGGTAGTGCTGCGCTACAACAGCAACCCCTCCACGAAGATGCCGACGAAGATTCAGATCCGGAGCTCCGGAGGGCCCGGACAAGATCTCGAAGCCCCATAAAATCTCGCAGAGTGGGTAGTCTCACATCTACGAAGACTCCTCGCGCTACCAGGTCGAAACAGAAGCAAAAACAGAAAGAAGAAGAGGTAGAGGATGTCAAACTTAAAGAAGAGGTTAAGGAGGAAGTCAAGGAGGAAGTCAAGGAGGAAACTTCCAATGGTCATCTAGCACTACCAACACCCACCATATCCGGATGGGATTGGCGAGACTTCAGCCGGAGTCCAAGTCCTCTAGGCCTTATTCCGATACATCGGCGTTTCAAGATATTCATACATAAGCATGAGGTACCGAGAAAAGCGTTGCATGTATCCATCGGCTTTCTCGTCTACTGGCTCTACGTCAGTGGCACCCAGACCTCGGCGGTCACACCCGTTTTAATGGGGGCTCTGGTCCCTATTGCGGCCACGGATTATCTACGTCATAAAAATGCTTCTTTGAACCGCTTCTATGTTAAGTGCCTTGGCGCCTTGATGCGCGAAACTGAATATTCCGGCTGGAACGGCGTCGTCTTTTATTTGCTCGGTGCGTGGACTGTGCTTCACTTCTTTCCTAAAGATGTCGCCGTGGTAGCTGTTATGCTCTTAAGCTGGTGCGATGCTGCTGCCAGTACTTTTGGCCGGCTTTACGGGAGATACACGCCGAGAATCCGACGGGGCAAGTCCCTGGCCGGGTCTTCAGCCGCATTCTTGGTTGGAGTGGCTACGGCTGGCTGGTTCTGGGGTTGGCTTGCACCGAGAACCGGCCCCTTTCCCGGGGACGAACAGCATCCTTTTATGTTCAAAGGCATATTGCAACTCCCTACATTTATCTCGAACGCGCTCGGTCTTTCCAACTCTCAGAGCGTTGTTGGTGGTCCAGTTGCCGTTGTATTGTTGAGCTTGTGGTCGGGTCTGACTGCGGCAGGTAGTGAAGTGGTAGACCTTTTTGGTTTGGATGATAATCTTACAATTCCTGTGCTCAGTGGCATCGGGATCTGGGGTTTCCTCAAGGCTTTTGGGTAAACGAAAAATCGATAAGACAGTGAAGCTCTTTTTACAAGACCCAGGGCGCGTAATGGATTCGGCGTTAGAGGAAGGGGAGGGAAATCGGCGGGTACAGGTTTGAGGTTAGCTTGGGTAGACGGTTTATGACTAGATATTACGAGGGCAATGGGTATGGGAAGACTTGCTCACCTCATATTGCTTTAACACTTCTCTGGCTCGCCTATATAATCTTTTCGTCCGGGAACACCGAAACCTGGAAAAATCGCATGATCCCTGGTACACATAGTTATAAAGTTTTGCAGATGCGGGTTTCCAATTACAACAAAGCAAGGACAAGGGAGTTTGACATCGGCGCAAGGGGTAGCTATTACGGCTGAAGACACGGGTGTATTCTGCAAGTTTGCCACGGGCGTTGGCTAGATCTGTAGTGGCCGGGTTACGGGATGTTGTGCGTATCTTAGGTTTGGTATTAAAAGGACGATAGAGAAGAGTTACGCAGGCCCTACGGACGTGGCCGCTGATTCTATTTACCTCCGACTTACACCGCATGAACCTCCGACGAACTGATGTCCAAGGTGTCAAAATTGGTCATGATTAATTTTCATAGTCTTAATAACCTACCATGTATGAGAAACATGGACTAGGGCTCTTTGTATTGTATGAGTTTGACTGCCTCATTTCAAAATGGGGGGCCATCAAGTACGCGAGGAAACTCATGGTAATGAATCCGCCACTTTAAGACGCAATCGTCCTCCAAAGCTGCCGTCAAGGCATGCTCGGCTCCATCTTCCACCCTATGAGAGGATGCCCCATCATCATCGGCGCGCAAGTCCTGCTTGACTGCATACTAATCTAGCTAGGGTACATTCGCGTGCCAAACAATCAATATATCCACACAATCTGTGCCGCCCCTCCACATGTGTCTTCCTTCTGTCTTGTCCCACAACCATCACTGCTCATGGATTTTGATGATACCTTCTCATATGTACCCTAATCACTGATCGGTCCGTTGGTAACTCGGATTCGTGTAGGCCTTGGGTCCGCGATGAGTTGTCTCATGGGTGAGGTAGTATCTTATCCCCGGCCCTGCATATTTAGAACTGGTGATACGCCATTGCGCCTCACATCTTGTGCAACCAGTTACTTTTCTTTCTATGATTATTTTGCTGAAGAGAATGCCATCGTTTCTTGACACAGCTAGTTCTGCTTCGAATACGTAGAAGCTAACAAAAGACAACCAGAAGTCATTTTCACCGTTCAACTAGGACCCATCTACCGGACTCAACGGAGCTACAAGGCAGCTAACTAGTTTCATTAGTTTAATATTGGATGGACCCAACGTCTTGGGATGCTCCCTGCAACTAGTCTGATGTTGATAATCCCGAAGGCATTCGCATGCCGTGAAAGTCACGCCTCCCCACACCCTCCCAAGTCGGTGCATCTGTCATGCATGGATTATAGACTAGATCATCTAGATTTCAACCTATTATACGATTAGCCTCTTCGCCAAAGCTGCTCTATCATGAATCTAGAAAGACTGGCCCTTGCCTCGCCCTGTTTTGCTTGTTATTATAATCGAGGCCGATTTTCGTCTTATAAGGTAGTCTATGTCCGAGATTGTGTACTGATATGTATAATTACACTGGATCCGACTTATGGTCTTGGACGCGTATTTATGCTTTCCTTGAATTCATCTTGCTGGCTTGTTAACCCCGATATTCACATTACAATAAACCTAGTCTCCGTATAAATTCTTCTATACTCGCTGCATACGCCTTTGACGCTTACTCGTTTCAAAAAAAAAAAAAAAAAAAAACCCCCCGACGAAGAATTAAACCGCCAGGTAACTCCAGTTTGTTTCGTAAGACAATATCGATCAACGGAATCTAACCCGAAGAGGCGAATTGCTGTTTTCTTTCGCATCAGGATACCAGTGCCAGCGCATCATGCCTCATTGTGCATGTATGTACACTCCGCCCCAGCTCCTAGCTGGCTACAACCAACCACTTACACCGAAGCTTACCTATACTTTCCGCCGTACTATATTATGTTCTAGAAGAAAAAGAAGAAACTTCGGCGAGATGAGGATAAGTAATAGGTTAGGTAGTTATCCTGCATCTATTTGTGTTTAATCAGCCTCTGTCTCAATTCAAACAGCCGACTTCCGAGACCACGAGTTTCTTCAACACACCATCTATGAATACATGTTGTTGCGGACACGTTATGTACGCCAAGACTCTTCTTGAAAGCCAAGGGTGGTGGGGCAGAACGTTTTTCTTTATTTTCTTCCCACCTCTAATGGCTTATGATGGCCGTAATGGAGGGGCAAGTCCAGGGCCAGCGGAGTCTTCCCCCTTTCACTACCAAGGAAATCGTAATTCCTATCCATGGACCCGTTACTATTCCCCTTACCCTTCTAGGTCTTTCCCATTAGAGAATATTCTGAATTTCCGACCAATGAGAAAATTCAAATTTGCATTTTCCATAAATTCTTTTCTCAAAAAGACGAGCGAGCCATACAAAACCACGCAGGACGTTCCCAATACAGAATAACAGGGTCGCTTCAGAACGTATTTCTTGCATGCTAGCCCCTGGTTCTGGGGAACAGGTATATACCTATAAAGACAAGTGCGTCCATATTTGTAAATGTATAAACGATTGAGTAAAAAACGAACGAAGGGGGTTAGGAAGTATAAATAAATAAATTAAACAAAATAAAAATTAAATTGATAAGTTTCCCAAGTTTCCCCAAAATGACGCTCTCAATTCATTCGGCTGGCTCCAGGCTTGACAACACATCATCACACAAAATGCCCGATCTTGCTGCACTTCTGCCTGACTGACCAGTAGCGAGCAACGTTGACATTATTCCAACGTCTGCTTTTCTGACGGCACCACTCCTGCTTCCCTCCTTTACTATGTTCTTGTCCTGATACTTGGGTTTTTTCTTCTTTTTTTCCGCCTTAATTCCCACCCCAGGATTAAAAAAATAGTAATAAACCTTGACCAACGACCCGTCAGCCTAAAGCTGCAACATCTCCCAAGGTGCAGATGCAATCCGCTTCCTACTACCACCACCCCTACCTAAGTACCTAGCCAGTCTCCTCCCAGTCAGTCTACCCCTTCGAATCACGGATGGGCTCGTTGATAAAATCTGTCGCTGCTTTTGTGGACAAGTACTACGTGTTAGCGTTAGCGCGTTTGTTCGCGAGGGCCGTCCGTCTCTCCTAATAGGGCTTAGGGGGGCAGGGCACCACCCGGCAGGGCGGTCTGCGTATCTACATCTATCTATATAGACCAAGAGCATCGTCAGAAAAAAAAAGAAAAAAAGATATTACATTGCTCTAACGGCTACCCGTCCATCTATATGCTGCCACTTAAAGGATATGACGGCAGACACTATGTATGTGCTACGTCTAATCCTGAAGGGTAACGTATACGCTTGCCCCCCTTCTGTACCGCGCATTCAATAGTCTATCCCGGAAGGGTCGTTTTCGTTATACTTACTAGTCCGTTGGCTTACTCGAGGCAAAAAAAGAAAACACTACTTCGATGACTACATACGTATAGTACATAAGCATGTTACTTACATGTAGGTATGTAGAGAGGCCATATTCGGGTCCGGGTCCCTTGTCGTTCCCGTCAGACCTAGAAGCTGCCTTGCCAGATATATCTCGTTTTCTTATAGCTGTCTACCATGATGATACCCTTATTCATCCTTTCGTCTCCCGTCTCCATCCTGTTCCCCATCCGCAGGAAGCCGGTTGGTCCCGTCTGTCATTCTGCAACCGCTTCCCCGATCTTCCCCCTTCCTGTCTGCCTCCACATTGCAAGTACTGTACCCACGCCTGCATACGTACGTTTTTCCCTGCTTACATATATTGGACGACGACTATCATACATATCAGACATAGGCGCCGAAGCTCTGTACTGCCCGAGCTACCAGCTAGTCAGCCTACTTCCCCCCTGCCTGCAGCAAGTGGCGTGTCTTCCAGATACTCCTGCATCTGATATCTCCACTCCCCTCCAGCAAGCTACCTGTTCAAGCTTTGCTGTCCCATCCGAGGAAGACCTTCCCTGTCGTATCCTGTGCCCCCACAGCATCTCGTTCCTGACTGGAAGTGATAATCGCCCCTTCTCGGCACATGCCAGAAGGGAAAAAGTGAAAGCTCCAAATATCGTTCCTTTTCGAACGAGTTTCATACTATAAGCGGTGACCGAGAGCATAGTCGTGCCGGATCGATACCAAATTCCTAGGTACCTAAGCTATATATTATTGCCCCCGTCTAAGCTATTTGAAATATGCACACACCCCGTGGAGACCTACCCACATACAACATGAACATGGCCAGATTACCTATCTCGTCATGCATGTATGCCTTTTTGTATCTTCTCGCTATTTTATCGTCTTACCTATCTTACCTAGCCAGTCCCCTACAAGCTTTCTTCAACCCATCCTCTGTGAGTGGCCTACTCACCTAGGATGGTGTTAAGGTAACCCGCCACCTCGGTAAGCGAAGGCATATAGACAAGCCGAGGGAAGTATATACGTATATATCTCATTACCGGTAAGGACCAGGGCTCCGCGGAAGGGGGGGTGCGAATACTAGACTCCAATATTATAGTTCGTCTATGCCAATGGCTCGTAGTACCTTACGTACACTATCAGTCTTGTGTGTACTTGTCTGCTCTCTCTACCCGTCTACCGTTTGGGGAGCTAAAGCTCTTGCCTCCCCGATCCTTGTCCTCCCTTGGTCCAACGATATATCCTATATTGAGCGGGGTCACGGAGAACTATTCTCGATCGACGAATAGAGTCATCGAGACTTATCCCCTATAGACGGGACTAGAGATGGCCCGTTCTCGTTATGCCATCGAGCTAGGCGAGTCCTTCGAAAGGTGAGAAGAAAAAAGTATAAAAGGGGGTGTTGTTGACGGGTTGAGCTTGTCTTCTTCTTCTTCCTTCTTCCTTTCTTTCAAACCACCTCAAACTTCAAAGTTCCATCTATCTTGATTGCTTGCCCATTCAGAAGCTTCCTTCTGCTATTGTCCTTGTTTGTCAAGACCTTACTCTGTTCTTGACTCACCACATACACACACCCACACCCACACCTCATACAAACAAAGGACTCCTAGGAGTCTCGCACAGAGTCACATACTCACACCCTGTCTTGCAAATCCATTGCAATCAATTCGTTCCCGTATTCCTTCTAAGACGTTCCATTGCTATCACCAATTGGCACTTAGCTACCATGGCATCCTACAGCACACAATACTACACCGCCGCGGCGGTACCCATTCCCAGCAAAGCGGATCAGTACTACCAGAGCGGTGGTAGCAACTACTCTGTATCTCCGTCTGAGGATGACCAGCGCGAGCGTGACGCCTCCGTCACATCTGGTGTACCTTCCTACGGCAACAGCAGCAACGCCGCGAGTTATGCTACTAGCTACACTAGTGGCGACTACGGCGATGGAACGCAGAACGGCGGCTCTGTTAACGGCGTTGACTTTAACGAGTACATGCAAAACCGCTTCGACGAGTCCTTCGACCCGATTCCGCTAGATCGCAGCTTAGCTCGCCAGGCCCAGACGTAAGTTCTAGATCTTAACGTATTCTGCTCTTTCAATTTCTACAACTTCGTTCTAGAGCACAGAACGAGCGAGTGTTGGAGAGCGAGAAAAGAAATCACGCAGAAGAAAATTAGCTAACGGTGACACTCCAATTTAGATCTGGTCAACTCAACAACAAGCACCGCGAACTTTTAGAAATGCAAGCAAAAGCGCAAGCTCGTCTAGCCAGGTCGCGCGCTCGCTTCCAACAAGGTCTAAACGACGCGCGGGAAGTCCACGCCGATCTAGAATGGACATCTAAGAAAGTATCGTAAGTAGAAACATATTGAATCCACCACTTCCTAGAATCGAGAAGAGAATATTCTAGCTAACAAAACGGTGTTACGTAGGTCGCTAAAAAAGAAGGCAGAGAAGCATCACCCCAAAGAGTACCAGAAGGCGCTCGAAATATATCCCTCGCCTAACTAGGTATTAAGAAGTAGTCTTTATTTTTTTTGCTATTCTTGCGTGATCCGCATGGGGAGGCGTTTTTATACCTATCCCGTGGTTTTCTGCACATGTCGTTTATTTTAGCTTTTTAGCGGCTGATTTATGGAATGGGGGAGGGCGGGCTGCTGCTACCACGCGAGATCTGGGATTTGGGAATGCAAGATCTGTCGGGATCGTTTCTATCTGCGGTCTCCTTATGCACACTCCCCTCCCAAAAAGAAGGTGGAGGAGACGGAAGCTGGTTTGACGCTTGGGCGAGTAGGGCGGCAAAAATAGACGCCTGTCCATCTCTGCTCCTCATGCTCCGCACGCGCTGACGCACAGCGAGCGGGCCGGCCGGCTTTAGCTGGGCAGGGCTGTTTCACGAGGTTACGAGTTATGATTGGACAACACCGGACGATCTTGGGGGCGTTATGGGCTAAAAGTACATCAACTTTGTCTCTAGCAGGGTATGGGCTCGTGTGAGCTACGGGATGATGCGCATCTGACCGGTCAAGTAGCGCCCGAGGTTCGCACAGCTGCAAACTAAGTTTATCTCGAGCTAGGGGCTTAGGGCGAGTGGGCGGCAGTACATCGAATTTCCTAGGGACACACTCGGGGGCGTAGGAAAAGAATGTATTCCTAGATAGATCACATAGTCTCCCCAGTCCCCAGCATAGGGATGACACTTGTCCGCTTCGGGACATGGATATTGCCCTTTTTGTAATAAGTCGGTAAGGTCACGGGGGGGTGACTGACCTATTTGGGCCAGGGGTTTCCTTAAGGCGTCGTATTGGGTTGGTATCGTACTTCTCTTAGACATAGTAATACAGCAATCCACCGTTCGGTGACCTAACTCAGTGCCGTGTATGTACGTCTTAGACACAATGAGCCTTATATCACCCGTCCCCTCTTAAGCCAACGAAGGCTGAGGGGCCACAGTAGTTCTTCGACCTGTCATGTAAGATACCGGGTTGAATCCACCACGAAGAATAACTTGTCGTATGTCGATTATTGTCACGTGACATGGTGACGCCTAAGGATTGCGACATGTTCATAACGTATTCCACCTGTCGGGCATTAATATTTTCTAGAGTAGAAGTCATGGGAGAGCATGCCATATTATTTCCTCCTCGCTTGCCTTTGGTTTAAATAAATATGGCTACTTGGTCGAATTGCCCAGACCAAAGCTCAACGAAGTTTTCACATGACCAATGGTGACGATACTAACTCATCGTTTAGCCGCCTCCCAGGACATCCAACTGCCCCTCGGCCCTAAGCCCTTGATATTCTCAAGTCGTTCCCAAGGATTGGTGTTCGAACTCGGGTCATAGTAATCATCCCACCATTTCTTCCCTGGCTCATGCCCCTGACTCTGCCTGGCAAAACCTCCGCTGGTACTCGCCGCTGATGACTTGGCCGCTACAATATGTCCCGCATAATCCCCGGTTGTAGCGTCAGTTTTAGTATTAGAAATAGCATCACCCGTTGGATCGACCGCGGCTATATCAGGCGGGCGTGAAGTGTCCAAATACTGAGGCCCCGGCTCATCATCACCCGGTTCATTGAGAGGGGAATATATTCTGCTGTCCGTAACGCTAGCCGCTTCATCATCTTCAAGGGTGATTTCGTCTTCATTCTTCGATCTAACTCCTAAGGGGATCGCGTTGGAACCCGACTTAGCCTCACTGATGCGATGAAGAGGAATAGAAGTAGAGGTCGACGCAACCACAGCGTCTGCACGAGGATTGAACTTGCGTCGCTTGTTCGAGCTAGGTTGAGCCCCGAAGCTTGAAAAGCCCATAGCCTGTGCCATAGCTGCGGTAGTGTCCTCGGTTTCTTCCATGATGGACTGACTAATCGATCAAGCTTGTTGTACGGAGGCTTGGCACGGCTTAGATGCGGTTAGAATGAGGATGATAGAAGTGATGTAATTGGTGAAATTCAATCAAAATGAGAGAAATAAAGGGTATGCTTGATAAAATTGTATGAGTCAAGTAGTTTTGGGATTTTCTCTCATAAATCCGTAGATAGAATAGCCTAGATTGAACAGGGCTTAATAAGACTAACTAGATGATGTGAAGTTGTGAAATTGAAGTTGTGAATTGAAGCTGGTAAATTTAGCTCCGAGACGAAAGGGACATTAAACCGAGCCTTGGCAGCCACTTACTTGTCCAGCCTTATTTAAGCGTTATGGACATTATAAAAATGCTTAATAAGGATGTGACGTTGGACTTTGCTGACTTATCATGATAACATTTTTATCGACCGGATTTGTAGGAGTTTTATTAAACTCTCAAGTACCTATACTGATTTTGTTGCAGCTCGGAAATTATTTATTCGATTTCCACTCGGACCAGATAGTTATAAAATCAGAATATAAAAATGTATGTGTACCTAACCTATCATATTGTCAATACGTCATCGATCTAAACCTATGTGCTTTCAATGATTCCAATGCCTTAACATGACTTTACACAATTAGGTAGGTACACGACACTAGAATCACAGTGCGGCGATAATCAAATATACCGTGACACTCTGCGTCTTCAAATGGCCACTTCAACTTTATATTAAGCATTCCTTTCTTCAACTTTACTCAGCAGTCATAGTTCTATAGGTGTAAATATCGCCTACTTCACATCCGGTATGCCTCTGTAAGTACCTCCTCTACAGCTGATTTCGAACTAATCAAATTTGGTCTATCTTATTAACAAGTGGCCTTGCAGACATCTTTTAGGCAAGAAATCGTGGAATGTCTACAACCCCAAGAATATCGAGCGCGTGAGGCGCGACGAAGCAGCTGCCAAAGCCCGCGACGAGGCCGAAGAGCAACGCCAGCAAGAAGTCGATGCCGAACGTCGTCTAGCCATCCTACGAGGCGAGATCCTCCCACCTTTGCCCCCTCCCTCTCCCCCTCAGTCGAACGTTGAAGATGAGTCTCGTAGCCAGAAACGAAGTCGCGATGAGGATCCGGCAGCACCAAGTCGGGGTAGGGAGCGGAGGAAGCGAAAGCGCGTAGGAGAAGATGATACAGATTTCGAATTGCGCCTTGCGCGCGAGCAGGCGAGTGCTACGCAGACGACAAGCGATGCGCTTGTAAAGAGCACCAGTAATGCCCCACTCGTGGATCACACCGGTCATATAGACTTGTTCCCCGAAGAGCGATCGCGTGTGCCTATACAGAAAAACGAAGAGGCCGAACGAGAAGCTGCCAAGAAGAAGCGGGAATATGAAGACCAGTACACTATGCGCTTCTCTAACGCCGCTGGCAAGGAGGGATTGGTTGGCCCTTGGTATGCAAAAGGTGGCGATATTAAGGAAGTTGTAGATGGTAACCTGGACGCACCGAGTAAAGACGTATGGGGTAACGAGGACCCGCGGCGGAAGGATCGGGAGGCTGCACGCGTTGTAGCTAATGATCCTCTTGCAATGATGAAGAGAGGTGCCGCGAAGATTAGGGAGGTTGAGAAAGAAAGACGAAAGCTGAACGAGGAGAGAGAGCGGGAGCTGAAGCAGCTTCGAAAAGAAGAGAAGAGACGGGAGAGGAGAAGGCGACGAGAGGGGAGAAAGGATTATGATGACCTTGAGGGGTTCACTCTAGATGGTACAGCCTCCAGTAAACCCCCGGCCCGCTCTAAGGATGACGACGATCATTATCAACATCGACGGTATCGCCACTCCGAACATAGAGAACACAAAGAGCACCGATATGATAATCAGAAACAAAGTTCCCGATCAGACCACCAGGAGCGAGATCAGGGATTATCGAAACATGACAGACGGCGAGAAGGGAGGGCAGACAACTACTAGCATTGCATCGGTATACAGGTCCAGGCGTTAGTTTTTCGACTATTAGATACCCCTCTTTCCTCGTAGAGGCACCAATATCATTTGCGTATTCATGATTAGACGGTTATCATACTACTCCCCCGTCCTAACAAGTCCTACTCTATGGGTATCATGAATAATATACAGCCCACAAACCACCATCTAGACTTCCAACTTTTAATACTTTAGGTGGTTATTTCTTTCCTTCTTTCCACGGTAAGCTAATTTCAACCTCCTGCATGTGCTTCTCGACCAGCTCGATAACCTTTGGCGCATCGTTAAGTTCCTTCAGCGCCTTGGTGATCTCTTCCACTGTCTCCTTGCTTAGGCCCTCCTTGCGGTCACTGTAAATATCTACGCCCTCCTGCGTGAATAAAGTAGGTGCGAACCAGGTCACAGCCCAGCGCTCAATGCCTTCTCCCGTATCATCTGCACCACCGGCTGCACCACCGGCTAGTGGGCGCTCGCCCCAGCCCAAAATCTCCCAATGGCTGCTAGCTATAACGAGCAAGCCCTTGCCCCGCCAGGTCCAGGCGCCGGGGATAGTCGAGTCGGGCTTCTCAATGCCTTCGACACGCTTCACGCCTCCCTTGCCATTGCTCTTCTCATATTCGACTAGGTTGTCGTTTGCAACGGGTTTAGACTCGGGCTTATACGGCTTGTAGGTTATTCGCACGTTCCGGGCTGAGCGCCACATCGACAACGTCGAGTGCGTGACGGCCCAGGTGCGCCAGAGCCATTCGAGCGGCGGAGAGACGAATGGGTCGCCAGTGGTAGTTGATGGCTTGGAGGGGTCTGCGAGGTACTTGGACGGGGCGCGGAGGCTAATATTGCTTGATGGGTTTGTGCTATTTGGTGTAGGTTCTGCCATTACGAGTATATGTAAGCTCTGGCAGTGTTCTTTGTAATTAAAGCATCTAACGTTCCAGAGTCTAAAGAAGGAGAGCAAGAGTTTTGAAGGAGTTGTACAAACGCGGACCATTAGAGCTTCCAGGTCGGTGCACAATGTTGTCATATCCATGCGCCCAAGCTCGGGAAGTCCTTATCCGGAATTCATCGTAGGTTTCAGGGGTAAGAGAGCGCTACATAGGTAGGTACCTCCTATTTAACTTATTTAATACAGAGCTTAATTCAATAATCTGATTGAAGTTAAACACATAATTCTTAAGACGTTCTTTTACCTAAAAGCTATCTTGTATCAATCGTATAAGAAAAAAGGTTGAAATCTATTAATAGGTACATGTAACTAACGATTTTTAAGTACAACTTTAATTATTTTAACATCACGTGGTAAAGTATTGCCCGAGTTTACGAGGGGTTATTGTGTCGAATTTTTTCCATGGCCCAAATAGGAAAGTAACTCAATGGGCAGTATCTGGCACGTGCGCAATTATGTAAACTCGGGCATATTGTGCAGCCCGCAGGGCTGCCTCCAGTAAAGACGAGTAACGTTAATGAAAATAAATTTTATATTATATAACTAAAACAAACAAAAACATTCTTCATAACTACAGCGATTAAATAAGACCCCGGGTATTTAAACCAACCACCTAAACAACTCCTCATGGCCATCTGTTAGCCATAGTATTCGTGCCTTATTCCCAACCCATCGCCAACATTACCTTCCTCTTGTCCAGCAGAATCTGCCCTTGGACTGGTCGCAGCCGTTGAAAACCGCCGTCTCGTTCTATCTATAACGCGAGTCTGCGTTGCCCTGAATAATCGCGAAATATTCTGCCTCATGCCTAATATTTGGCCGTCTCCTGGGTTTTGAGCGATGTTTAACAATGGTATGTTTGCTAGCTTGAGCTTTTGCCTAAATGTGTCGTTCTCCATGTCGAGTCCATCATCAGAGGCATTATCGTCACGTTCTGGTTTACTATCATACCCTCGAGGATATTGAACTTCGGGGATCCAAACCCACGTAACAAGAGCGCCCAGGAGCATTGCGGGACAGAATCCTAGTAACATTGCTGCGAACTTGCGGTTATATAACTCATCACCATAGACGGCAAGGTTGGTAATCAGGAGGATTGTTATTGCACCAAGCTTCCCCGAAGCTGCTGCAAGACCGTAGAATGTGCCTCGGTACTTTGTTGCAAAGAGCTCCGCCGGAAGCATGAATGTGATAGTATTCGGTCCGAGGTTGAAGATAACCTGTGCAAGTACGTACAAGGTCACCGTGAGCGCATGCTTATCCGTCTCGAAAGTGACGAAGAACGTTGCACCATTGATGGCAAAAAGCCCGGCTAGTGCGACAAACATCCAGCCCATCCATGTAGTCCTAGGGATGTAGTCGATAGCAAGTAAAATGATAATACTTCCGGGCAGTGCTCCGCTCGAGATGGTTATAATATCCCGTATGCTGTCTTGTCGAAGCATTTCATATATCGTGATATTTGGTTGGGATGGGTCTGCTCGCCATGCCGCATTGTTGCATACAAGTTCTTCCGGCGATGTAGAAACGTTCGACCGGAGCGGCGGCTTCGAAAGCCAGATCGTAGAAATCGTTTTAGGATTATCAAGGCCAAGCCCATCTATACCAATGAATGTCAGCAGGTAATCGCTTCCATGAGGAATGCTAACGATATTGGGCATTCCTTTATCATAACGATTGCTTGACCATCCCATTCAGACATTCTGAACCCTGAACAAGTTATAAGGGGGATATAAACAATCCTAAAAAGCACATACAATAGGCCAAGTCCAAGAGATACCAAGTTATCATGACTCCTAGAAGCGCACGCCAACGCCCCTTCTCGGCAAGGTGCTCTCTGACTTCGTAGATATATTTTACCACTGATGTCCACCAACTAGTCCGTCGGTTTCCAAAATCGGGTATAGGGGTGTCTATCGAGCGTCGAGGGGCCGCAAGCCCGGTTTGGTCCACGGGCTGGAGAGTCGGGTTTATTGGAATAACATGGCGAACAGCTTTGACAGCTCCTACAAGCTCTCCCTTGGTCACTAAATATTGGGGGGTTTCGGGAATTATTCGCCTCAGTATGAGCGAGACAAGAGCTGGGAACGCCCCAATCCCAATTGTCGTTCTCCATACGATGTCGATGACTGGCGATGCGACCTCGTAGTTAGTTTCAGTTGGGGATAAACCACGATAGTCACTAAGCCCCTTAAGGATAGCTAAGCCAAAGGCATAAGCAGCTAGTTGTCCAAGAGATTGCATGAGGAATACCGCCGCTATCATTTTGCCTCGAGACCTGGTAGAGGACCACTCCGACGCAATTATAGCTGAGAGCGGGTACTATGCACTGTTAGCAATGACATATGCAAATAAATCTAGACTTGATGGTTGTTTCTGACCTCTGCGCCGAGCCCTATACCCAATATAGTACGCCAGAAACCAATCCAACCATACACATTCATCGAATTTCTATGGCCCGAAGATGCTGTTGTCATCCCCACTGTAGCAATTACCACGATACTTAACTCTAAGCCATAGACAGCCTTCCGGCCATATCTATCAGCTAGGTATCCGAATAGAAGCATGCCGACCATCGTCCCAGTCAACGTAGTCAGGTTGATGACCAATGAGTTGGTTGACATGCCTGTAGTACATCCTGGGTAGACATAACTTAAGGACGGGCTGATGACGTTTACAGCAAAGAGGCTGTAAGATGCCGTGAAGAATCCCGACGCAGCAACCCACCACACTTTCCACTGAAACTTATCCAGGCCTGGGTAGTCAATCACAGATTGCACCGTTCTTTCGGGATCGTCGAGATCCTGTATCGCCGCGATGAGTTAAAAATAAAGCCTGGGTCATGGCTTGGGGGGTTCCATTACATACACAATCTATCTCGTGGGCAATCTGGCGCGTGCCAGCTTGAAGACTGGAGAAATACCCGCCCATCGTATATGATTTAGAGGCCGCTCTAATAATCTAGAAAAGACAATGGTCCATATCGGAAGGTGATGGGCTGTATCTTATTAGCTATATAAGTCTTGAGCTACGGGGATTCGTGCTTTGGAATACGCCTAGCTGATCATTGGTGTGCCACGGCATGATGCCGCCGTCATTAGCAACAATGCCCGATTAGAAGGAAAAGAGTGCCTTATGGGCCCCAAGAAATCCATTGCGACTTCGCTAAAGAGGTGAAAGTAGGTTCTAGAGCGTCGCGGCCGTGTCATCTATTTAATTGAAAGTGATGTCGGTGACGCTTTAAGCCACCGACTGTCACCTAGGAGCTGGCAGTGCCACTCTTACGACTAAAAAATATCCGTATCTCTCATCCAATGGCAAGTTATGATGCAGGCTACGAAAGATGCCTCGATCATGCAAAGCACGCGGCGCGACATACCTAAACGGCACGGGATCTAAGACATGCTGGCTACCTCTAGATACTAGAGTTAAGACCCAGGGGTAACACGGGTATATCGATTTCAATACCTACAATAGTCTCTTCAAGAACGTGGCCTAAATAAGACCTCCTATTGGGCGTTCTTAACACATCCCTGTCCGATCTCCAATTCACTAAATTGTAGCTATGCTCGCGTCCAATCCTCATTGGAAACAGGGTCCAGCGAGGACCCTCTATGTTCAGTTCCCTTATGTGAGACCGGGCTCTAGTCTAGGAAGAGCTCGCTCGCGTGGCAGTTCCCTTCTCCTGGGTCTATAATGGAGCCTGGAGCGATTCTATCGATCGTCCAACTTTCATTTTCCGTTTTCGAACTTGGCTCTAAGATCGCCCGTGAATTCTTTGGAAAGAATGATAGAGTTCCGGATAAACTCAGACGTCTCAATGACCGACTTAAAGAATTTATCACCATTGTTGATGGAATTATAGATAGTGTCCATGAACATAGCGCCTCGTCAGGCCTTATCTACCCCGGAGCTGACGCTATTGTTGAGACTCTGACCGAGTGCAACAATTTCCTCCGTCAATATGAGTCGGCGTTATTAGCAGATCGAACTTTTGGTGGAACTAGTCAACGACTCGCCCTCGTCGTTGGCCCAGATAACTCTAAGATCCAGGATCTTGACAGAAGAATACTAGATCACTATCCAGCACTTCAACTATGGAAAACTACTGGCCTGGAAAGGGCGGTTATGCAGCTTGGAGAATCGTAAGTTCTCTATTAGGGTTACCCCCGGAGCCCTGCTAAACGGGCGTTAAAACAGAATTATCGCGAAGCACCAAAGCAGCAGCCAGTTAAACCGAGCGCCTAATACGATAGCTGAATCACCGCTGCAGCCCGAGTCATCCGGGAGGTCCGTCGAAGAAGCATTTATTAGCTTTTCTACTACTCAAGTAGCAACCCCTACGCTTAGAGCAGTTTCTCGGAATCCCTCTCTCCCTTCGATAAACGAGCTTCCATCACCACAACTAGGAGAATACTCATTCTACGACGCAGGGTCATGTAGACAGCGCCCATCAGGATCAGAGGTCGGTCCTGTTCTGGCACATCTTAGAGGCTATGGCCGCGAGAATGTAATAAATCCGTCCACGCGCGCCGGGCCTACGAACAATACAGGATCATTATCTCCGGTGTTACTATCAACTTCACCAACGTCGCAATTCCGTCGTCTAGGACATTCGGTATTATTGTTTGTAGCCTTATGCTTGTCGTTTTTCGATTCGCTGACACTAGAATATTAGACGTATCGGCTCCCAGTCATACCAACTGAGTACTAGCGACTATAGAGTCCTTGACATTGGTGGAAATAGAGTGATAGAATGGTCCAATACTAGCTCCCTATTTACAATTCAACATTTCGGTTAGACGATGAAACCGTAAATATCCCAGAAACCATAGTACTGACTTAGCATAGTTCCTGATACACGTGTTATTCCATACACGATACCTGGGGACTCAGGGGCCTACAAAGTGCGATTTCTCCCAATAAACGTCAGGCATCAGTTCAAAATCGTGACGATAGATAATGGAAGCGAGAGTCTCCAAGAGAAACCAGAGTACCGATTTCACCGCAAGGCTGACAGGGAGAGTTTCCAGCAAGCTGTCCGAGGTTGCGACCACTTGGAGATAATACGAGCCCTAAAGGTACATAGTGCTAAAGGAAAGGACATTGCCATGAAATTCCATTTGAAAGTTTGGCGACACAGCCCCCAAGATGACAGACCAACTTTTTCTTTCGCGGCGAATGAGATCGCCCACATGGAGTTTCATATTCGATGGTTTAACAAGAATCCGGAACTAAGAGGAGTGTCTAAGCTGATACTGAGATTATACTCGAAGGGTGATGACTTGGTGGATGAGCCCGAACCTGTCGAGTCGCGAAGGTTATCTTTCACGTTTGGAATGAAGAGATCGTCTGGGAGTTCGACGCAGACGAATGCTTCAGATTCACATTCAACTTTACGGTCACGGTCTTCTTCAACCAAACCCCCGCCTCTCATCCTATACGAAGGCCGAGGAATAGAGCCACCAGATGATGTTCGAAATCTAGAATACCTGGAAATAGAGTTCTTAAACTCAGAGGGTAAGTTTCTCTTAGTTTCTCTTCCCCTTACCTCCCTCTCCAGATCCTCTACGCTGACTAGTTCACCGCTAGTTCGGAAATCCTTCGTACAGGCGTGTCTTGAGGCACATCGCCCAGCCTTGGAGGCTTCGAGGAGAAACAGTACGCCGAGTTCCTCTTCACAGCAATCGTACTCGAGACCCCCTAGTTGGACTTTGGGACCGAACCAGGGCCCGCACGAGCTAGAAGACTCGGGTAAATACGAACTACCAGTAGACTCCGGAGTCTACGAGATGATGGGAGACTCGGGGTTTCAGATGCCTCCTCCGAGTTTGACAACGCCATATTCCCCGGGGGAGGTTCGGTTCAATACCCTTTCCCTATTCGCACCATCACGAGCAACCGATTACGAGAAAATTCAAGAGGCGGATGAATATTACGGATAAGGAGGACGATGCTCATGAACCAGGATAAAAATTGGGTATATCATTTTTGCTATGAGAAATACCATATTCTGGATGTTAGATAGGGTTCCTTAGACATGGATGGTACTGGTAATGGAGGTAATGTACATGGTATCTGGATATAGGGTATTGGGGAGTGGTATAAGCGATATTGACATTAACATGCCGTTGTAAACGATGCACATGATGGTTAGGTGTTTTGGGGGGAGGGGGCTAATTTTTGAGGTGAAGAGATAGAATGTAAATCATGCATTAAGCCAAGTGATAGATATTTCTGTAGATGGAACGGAGTCTTTCCTCCGAGTTTTACAGACTTCCTCTCAAAGGTGTAAGGTGTATTGTCTAATTGTAGGTATGTAGATGTCTTATCGCGATGTGACGGTCACGGGTAATTTCTAAACCTAAAACTCTTTTGGTAACAGGTAACTAGCCAATCAATAGCTAAAACCTTACCCCGCCAGCACCTAAGCCACATCAAGGCTAGTGCGCCATCGTTAGTTTCAAAGCATCATCAACCTGTCAGCTCAAGCTGCGACGTAACCGACGTCAGCTCACATTTCATGGCTAAGCCTCATCTCTAACAAACCGCAACCTGGCTTTTTGACTTTTCAGTCTACAAGGTTGAGTCCACAACTTTTGAATCCATAACAAAGAAAATGCCATAGGGTCTGGAATCCTATTAATCGTCCATTACATCTTGAAGACTTGTCTGTAGGTGCGCTCCTCTGCTAACATCATGTAGTTTGGCATTGGTTTCTTTTTGCTAACCGGTAACCATCTAGGTACCTAACTTAGTAACAGCGCACAACCTCCAACACATTCGTTCTCTTAACCACGATACCGGAATCATGGATTTGCGAAACAACCTCTTCGGTAGAGGGCCTCGTGGCGGCGGTGGAGGTCTGCCTGGACGACCGGGTCCTGAGCAAGGTAGTTACAATCAAGTTCCCCAGAACCGACCGCCGAGAGATTATAATGGCCCTCCCGAATATGATCCAAGAGGTGCTTACGGAGCCCCGTCGCCAGGCTACGGTGGAAACAATATGACACCCCAACAGAGGAATACACGGCCCAACGCTCCTCAGGGTCGACCCGTCCAGCTTAGATTAGCAAAATTAGATAAGGGCGATCTATCTCAGCAATATATATTTGGCAACCTTGTTGCCGTCTCGCCTCAAGATTTCCCTCCCGACCAATACGGTAAAGACGTGCATATCCTACTGAACGGAAACTTCGTTGTGACCGCTCGTCCGACCGAGTATATCCCACCGGGATGCATAAGCTTGTCCGACCCCCAACGGACGTGGTGCGGTATTAGCATGACCGACACAATTATTGCTGAAAGATATGACCATAAGGTTCCTCTGTCGGCTATGGACGTTGAGGTTGGATTTGCGTCCCAGAGGAAGATAACAGATGTCCCATATGACCAGGATGAGCTTGCCGACTACTTCGTCAAAATGTTTCAAGGCCAAATCTTTGCCCCTGGCCAACGATTATTGATGGACTACAAGGGAATACCGCTGATGTTTGTGGTTAAAACGGTTCAGCTTCTCGACCTACTTGGAAACGAGAAGGGTCAGGCTTCGGATTCGTCTTCGAGGCCCGATACCAGGGGTCTGCTGGTGGCTGGCCAGGGTCAAACCGAGATCAATTTTTTCAAAGATGCTAAAAATCCTATCAAGCTCAAAGGCTCGACAAGACGACCTGCCACAAATGCTATCCTAAGGCCGGATTTCAAGTTTGCCGATATGGGTATCGGAGGTCTAGACGAAGAGTTCAGCACGATTTTTAGACGTGCTTTTGCTTCTCGAGTTTTTCCTCCGGGTTTAGTCGAGCAGATGGGCATCTCTCACGTGAAGGGTGTTCTGCTCTATGGCCCGCCGGGAACGGGTAAAACGTTGATCGCAAGACAGATCGGCAAGATGCTAAATGCCCGCGAACCTAAAATCATCAACGGTCCGGAAATCCTTAATAAATTCGTGGGTCAATCCGAGGAAAACGTGCGAAAGATGTTCGCGGATGCAGAGAAGGAATACAAGGAGAAAGGAGAGGAGAGCGGTTTACATATTATTATCTTCGACGAACTTGACGCTGTTTGCAAGCAGAGAGGTAGCACGTCTGGAGGGACTGGCGTTGGTGACAGCGTAGTCAACCAGCTTCTTTCTAAGCTTGACGGTGTTGATCAACTCAATAACATTTTGCTTATTGGTATGACCAACCGGAAGGATATGATTGACGACGCGCTATTGCGACCAGGACGTCTTGAGGTGCACGTGGAGATTTCATTACCAGATGAACATGGCCGGATACAAATCCTTAACGTAAGTCACAACTGAAATTAATATCTCTCAATTTACCTTGGAGGAAGTAGCACCAGCCAGCTCTCCGAAGACTAATCCTTTCGGGACACCCCCAATTACGTCTTGAGAGGATAGTTACTAACTCGCTATAGATCCACACTGCCAAGATCAGGGCTATCAACAAACTGGCCGATGATGTTAGCTTAGATGAGCTCGCTCACCTAACCAAGAATTATTCGGGTGCAGAGATTTCCGGTCTAGTAAAAGCTGCTTTGTCCTATGCATTTACTAGGCATACGAAACTCGGAGACGTCACCGGTGTCCAGGGTAATCCCCAGGATGTGATGTTGACACGGGCTGATTTCATGAGAGCATTGGAAGATGTCAAGCCAGCCTTTGGAATTTCCGAGGAAGAACTCAGTGGTGCTGCCCCGTACGGGGTCATTGACTATAGTCCGCACATCCAATCCATCCTTTCCACAGGCCTCAGCTTTGTCCAAGCGGTTCGGACTTCCGAGAAGTCTCCTCTGTTCTCAGTCTTGGTCCACGGTCCTCATGGTGCCGGAAAGACAGCCCTGGCCGCAGAGATTGGACTAAAGTCGGAATTCCCATTTGTCAAACTCATCAGACCGATTGATGTTGGGACAAATGAAGGAGCTAAACTCGAATATCTGCGTCGCGCCTTTTCCGATGCGTATAAATCGACTCTTTCTATCGTCATTCTAGACAGCGTCGAGAAAATCATCGACTGGAACCCTATTGGACCGAGGTTCTCTAATGCCGTGGTGCAGTATCTAGGTGCTGTACTAGAAACCCGACCGCCTAAGGTATGTCGTTCCTAAATATGATTGATCTTTCTAGTATACTTACAGCTTGCGCAGAACCGCAGACTCCTCATTATAGCCACGACGAGCCAGCGATCCATGTTAGATCAGCATGGCGTATTCGCGTGGGATAGAGAGATTGCCGTGCCGGCTGTTAAGGACCATCGTGAGCTTCAGGCTCTCCTGGCCGCCTCGGGCAAGTTTGATGGGCCAGCGGAAATAAACGAAGCTCTGAACGAACTACAGACTCTAACAGGGAGCCAAGATGTTGGCGTAGGTGTCAAGGCAGTATTCTCGGCGCTGGAGACGGCCTCGGTAAGGGATCCGCTGCCTACGAGCTTAGCGGAGGACATTAGCGCTATTATGGCAGCGCGGAACCCGCAAGGGTATTAAGGGCAGTGTCTCTACAGAGTGCTAGGTTCAATGAATTGCTATATAACGCGAGAATACCTATAGAGGACCTAGAATAGAGACGACCGACAATGATATTGATGTTACAATGCTTAAAAGGGGGTGTTGACCCTCGAGAAGTTATACATTAGTACATATCAGTGCAAGGCTTGTGCTAGCCTTAGAATGGATTGCCACAGCATACGATGTGCCTAACGGATCTATCCGCGCGGTCCGAGCCGATGCCTCATGTTACACCCGGAGTAGGACATACAGTTCTTGCACATTCTTGTGTAATGCACCATGTCAAAAGTCGTACAAAGTACACACGGTCCAGTATCACATAATAACCTTCCTAAAAGTCAGACGATCATGGCATCTTCGTCAGAATCACTTCTTCGTGCGTGTACTTTTTTACCGCACCATCATCCTCGTTCTCAGACGCGCCGAATCCCTCGCCCCCGCCGCACAGGATACCACGCCGAGTCTGAGTTGCTCTGATAGCAATATCAATTTCCGAGTCGCATTTATAGGTCTCCATATATTCTATAAATGTTGGAACGTTCATCTTATCCAGCTTGTGTGTCAGGCCGTTGGTTGCAGCGACACTGAATAGTTGGAGGAAGAAATCAACCTTGGTAGGGTGTATGCAATAGATGCTATTATCAGCATCAACCATGTGTATCGCCCAGCGAGTTCCACGAGTCAGGTCAGGTCAGATAATCGTATATACCTGGCTCGATACGAGTCAAGTCAGATATATTAGATTTGAAAGCTTACCCGGCCGTATCGTTGACTTGGCTTATATACCCTTATAAAGCCACACTTAGCCACATCAGCCACCTAATATATTTCACCCCAAACCTTTACTAATAGCCAATAATATTGCCTTAAAAATATTCATATAAAATACCAAATAAAAAAAAATTGCGCTCAACTCGGATAGATATCCCTAAAAAAGGATCTACCCAGGCCAAGTCAGGCCAGGCCCAAGTCAGGTCAAGCTATTATCTGACTCGTGGAACTCGCTGGTATCGCCCTCCCCTTAGAGAGGTGCTGCGTCGTTGAGCATGATAAATCAGACAAGCCTTAACCCCCCCGGTAGTTTGCCCCGACATTTCTAAGGGCTTGATACCACTTCGCGACCAGACGAGGAAGTTTAGACGCGTCTTCTGCTCTATCGCTTAATGGTGGGCTGGTTAGGGCGGAGACTTGGCCCGAGCAATGTTTCGTCCACGATGTCCCATCGTACGAACTGACGATAAAATCCCACCACGCGCTGTCCAGAGCATCTGTAAGCGGTGCTCGACGTACAGTAGTGATGATCTCGGTTGATTTGGACTCCGTTAAGACCATGGCCGTATCGATGACGACTTGGCGTAAAGCAAAACCTGTATACAGACCCTCGCATAATTGACGAGCTGCTTCACCTACCATACCTACGTGTCCTGCGCATGGGAAGATGACATCCCCTTTGATATTGTGGTCTTGTATCCACGGAATATGAGCAAGCGACAGGACATTCCGGAACACAGGCTCGCCGTCTGTGCTTTCGGTAACACGAATGCCTAATAGTTCATGCTTGGGGAACTTGCGGAACCGCCATTCCTTAGCGATACGATTCTCCAGCATAAAGGAGTCATTATGTTGCCAAGGATAGGCGGGCAAATCCGGGACAACGCGAGCGGTGCCGTCCGGATTAGTTAGGCGGTTGAGATTAATCTGTAGATTATGGATCCAAAGCTGGCCGACAGCCGAAAGGAACGTCTCGCTCCCATTTTTACCACGGACGAGACATGACATGTACGGATAACTGGCAAACGACTTTGCAAGAATTTGACGGAGTGGTCCACCCAATGCCGAATGAGGCCCGATTTCCAAGAACACGAGGCTCGCCTTACTATTAGCATTATGATAACTGACTAGATTGGCAACTCCGGTGTTGAAAAGTACCGGAGACTCAAGATTTGATTGCCAATATCTAGAATCTGTGGCATCGGTATCAAGGAGAAAAAGACGGGTTTGTACTCGATGTTCTTAGAACCTGCGTATTTCGATTTGCTCCCAACATGGAGAGAGACTAGGCTATTGTACGTCTCGCCAACCTCCCTCATATGATGAGAGTGATACGCCTTTTTGACCTTTAGAGCGCGAGCGAACATATTAGGCTTCTCTGAATGTATCGCCTGCAAAACGTCATTTACTGCTTCTTTATCGCCAGATATGGTGACGCTTAAAGGCGAGTTCTCGCAAGCGATAATGACGCCTGGCACTAGGAACGGTGTCGTTTCTTCCCGACCTAGGCCAACGGCAGCCATGGCTCCTGGTCTTTTCACCTTGCCGGATACGACACCACGGTCGTACGCGAGAATGATGGCTTCTTCGGCAGTAATCTTCTTAGCAGCATACGCGGCTGCTATCTCGCCGGACGAGTGGCCAACCACCCCAAAAGGTTTGATGTCGAGCTCAGACAACGCGTCGACTAGGGCAATCTGTATCGCAGTAAATAGGGGTTGGGATAGATAAGATTTGTCCAGCTTACTTGTCTCAGCTGGCTTAGTCAATTCATCAACTAGAGACCAAGTAGGGGGATCAGGGAGGCTTTTAAGGATTTTCTCCATGTAGTGGATCGACTTCTTGAAAGTGGCGCTTGATTGAAGAAGTTCGAGGCCCATCTGCGGCCACTGTGCGCTCTGGCCGGTAAAGACCATAATGAGATTAGGTGGTGATTGGCTGCCTTGCTAAAAGGCGCCGTACTGCCTACGATGCCTTCGTCTACAACCGAAAATGTTCGGTGCGGTAAGTGTGCACGCCTCACACCAAGAGTATAAGCCACATCGTTTGCTGCCTCGGGAAACTCTTCGATATATTTCTAATTTTAGATAACCTACCGTCTTAACGAGTCCGAAGTGTTAGCGGAAAACAACAGCAATTGAGTCTCTATAGGTGACAATCTCTGGTTCAATGTTTGAGTATTCCCGAAATACATTCTCGCCGATTCAATGACAACATGAGCGTTGGCACCACCGATGCGAAAGGAATTGACCGAAGCACGTTCGTATCTATTTTCTGGCCAAGGGTTAGGTTCAACAGGAACTCTGAGCTTCTTCTCCTCCAATAGAATTTGGGGGTTGGGCTTGTTGAACTTGATGTTAGGAGGGATAGTCCGGTTCTCCAGTGCTAAAATTGCCTTGATAAGCGACGTGATTCCAGATGCTCCTTCTGAATACCAACGTTTGGCTTCACGGAGCCGATGTATACCCCAGTATCGCCGAAAACATTAGCCACGGCGGCGACGTCGATTGGGTCCCCAGCTGCGGTTCCGGTACCATGACACTCAACGTAGGCGGTCTTTGCGATGTCTGAGATCCCAGCCACGTGGTATGCTCTGCGAATCATCGCTTCGTGGCATTGGGAGCATGTAACGCTGAGACCGAGTGTCTTACCGTCGGCGTTGTTGGACGTGCCTCTAATCACGACACGAATAGGGTTGCCGTCACGGATCGCATGGTCAAGCCTCTTGATGTAGACCATGTTGACAGCTTCTCCGCGTGCATATCCATCGGCATCGGCATCAAATGTTCTGCTCGAACCATTCGGAGATAGAACTCCTTGCTCGGACATACAGACAGTAAGTCCCGGAGCCATGATTAGATTGGTACCAGCTACGATTGCGGAGTTACATTCGCCGTGTCGAATCGACATACACGCCTCATGAAGGCCGATCAAAGCTGAAGAGCAACCGGCGCGGATGACCATACTAGGTCCTTTGAAGTCATATTCGTATGAGATTCTGTTGGAAAGCACAAAGTCGCCATTGTCAGGATTCTAGATGAGACATCTAGAACAAAGGAACTGTTCAGTATGTATAGACGATAGATCTTCATAGGTAGTTTAGAGTTCCTTGCGGAACAACGAAGTTGTTTCCATACTGTTTCGTTCCACCTCGTGACAGCCATAACCAGTAATCTTATAGGTACCATATAGCTGGGGATCTTTAACGAATAATTCCAGCTAGTCCTCACCGAACGATCCAACAAAGGTTCCAATAGTCTTGCCGCGGTAGTTGATTTCTCCGGCGCTTTCGAGGCACTCCCTTGTAAGTTCCAATAGAAGTCGCTGTTGCGGGTCTGCCCGTTCTACCTCGATCTTAGGCATTCTGAAGAAGCTCGTATCGAGGGCACCGATATCTACAGATTCATCAAGAAAGTATCCATATTGAGTGGCGACGTGGCCGGGCTTGCGAGACTTGGAGTAAAAACTGGAAGAATTGTATCCCGACTTAGGGACAAGACCCCGTGCATCCTGTTTCTTGACTAGGAAGTCCCAGAACTGATTGGGCGTGGAAATACCTCCTGGAAGGCGAAGAGCCATGCCGCAGATCGCAATTGGTGCTCCATTATCGGTTGGGTCATGGTAATTGGCGTGGGATGAGTCCGATGCCTTTTAAGTACAGTCAGTTGGGAACTTAATGGTCACTTAAACAGAGTATCATCTTACTGGGGAAGTAGACCCGGACGGGTGACTTTCTCTGGATTCTATTTTCTCGATTTCTGAGCGGGGTTTCGATACTTAACTACCTATACACTCGACTATAGCTCTTATCTCTATCTATCACACATTAGGTAGCTACTATGAGTACCTAACCAACCCGAGTAACACGCGGTTTGATGCGTTAAACTAGAGCCGAGTCCCGCTGTCGTAGGCTCCCGATTGACGATCCTACCGACAAATCTAAATTGAGCTGCAACCGTGGGTGCCAGCGGATGATACAGCAGGCTACACAATAAGCTCAAACCGAGATCGCATCAGTTTAGTCTATCATTAGTATCTTAAGAATCCATCTGATGAGATGACTTGAAAACGTCTACTTCATATCCGTGGGACTTACACGGAAATGGCTGTAGCACAAAGATTAGCCTACAAGTGATCGATTCCAATCAAAAGGTAGAGTAAAGAAGCACATCATGATCTATCAGGTCTTCTATTATATATAATTTACACAAAGCTATATGTTCGCGTGATTACGCATAGAGAATAGTTTTTGACTACCTAACTCCTTGCCTAGTAAATTGCAAAGGATTATCTCTCGATATACCGATATATCTATCAAACACGGGGTATAGGTAGTAAGTCACCATAACCTTGATCCCGCATATCTAGTTCCGGAACTGGAACTATCCCGTATAACTCCTGCGGCAATAGATTAGGGTGTACCTAGGTAGTGACTGTATCAACGTTGATGTCATCGCCGCTGTCATCCACAATGAAGCACCGGCTCCGCGATTGAAGGTTCGCATACGATGTCAAGTCCAATTCCGTGTACGGACGAGATAATGAATGTCATTGTACATTGATACTTAAATGTTGAGTAACTATTCTACCCGTGGACGTCCCGCTTTGTGGTATGAACCTGTATAACCTAGCCGCAGATATGTAACTGCTATAAGCCGATCTTATCAAGAATGGCGGTGGTACGATCCCTAGACGCGAAAAGCTATTTGGGGATTACCGATATTAGAGCAAGGGGAAACTAATCGGTCGGCATGGCGATATTCACTTCGGGAATGATTCATATCAAGAGGGAACACCGGGCGCTTACATGCACAGCATAGTGCATGTCGTTCAGGGGACAAGATTTTCGTGCTCTGGTTACACGTCGAACCTTTCAACGGTGGTTCTATCATATTGCATTATAATAACCGAAGCCTTTTTCAGTACTTGTGACGCCAATACGTCTTTGTAGGTATTAAACATCATTACTGACGAGTTATTGAAAAACTTTGTAATAAAGTTATAATAAAAAATTAAATTATTGTATTAAATAATTATAAAAATAAGTTTTTTTGTTATATCATGTATTTAAATTAATAAAATATTATTAAAATGTTTATCACGCGAATTTATTTTATTGTTATTATTGTAAATTGTAAATATTTAAAACAATATATTATTTACTTTTTTACATTTTTAAATTAAGCCTTAATACACGGAAATTCCCATACTTAGTTAAAACTTAAATTTTTAATGAAACATTATAAAGAAAACTGTATTTCGGGACATTAAAGGTGTATTTGATTTAAGGCCGGGAATGGGTTTTTTTAATGGTGCGAGTAAAGTACAAAATGACATTTCAGATTTTATCCCGACTGTGCTAGTGTTAATAACTCGCGGATACGGTTTTACGGGAACATTCGATAATTGTGTTATTACTTTTCCACTTCAATTTATTCGTTCGACTAATTACGATAAATATATTAGCCGAGAAATTTATCACATAAACACCAGTAACATTTCCGGGTTTTTATATAATGTCAAGTTTAATAAAAACGGGTAAAAAGTATTAAAAAACTTAATTAATAATATTAAAAAAACGGTAGGTTTATTATAACTTTTTTTAATATAATAAATAAATTAATGTTTGTTAAAATATTATAACTCGTTATTTAAACGTTAGTAAAAAACATATTGGAAAAAAAATACGGAAATGATATTAAAAACCGTTTCGGTAAATTTTAAAAGTATTTTAAAAAGTTAAAGCGATTAAAAAGTAAATTATTAAATTATAATTAAATTAATATTTACAAGTATTTATATAAACACATTGTATAAAAAAAGGATGTATAATTATTTACATTAAAGTTAACAAAATAATATTTAACATAAACATGAAAAAAAATAATACTTAACCGGTGTTAAGTATCTTATGGGTTAATAAAATTGTATAAAGCTTATAATTCACCGTTTTAATCAGGTATGGTATTCCCAAAAGGGTCTTTAATATTTCACCGTTTAAGTAATACCCGGAACGGATAAGCTCTTAAAGTCAGTGGGGGTTGTAAGTATATGCGGGTAGACACTTATGTTGTATATCTTGCGACAAGAAACATAAAGCTGTGCAATACTTGGTATACATGGACAATTCCTGATCTATTCGGTCATGTGATAAGCCTCCGGGAAAAAGAAAGTGCTCCATAAATAATGTGTTAAAAAAAACCTTTAATGTATATTATATGTAAAGTAAATATTAAAAATAATAGCGAAGTTATTGTATAATAATTGTATAATAATAAAAATTTATTAACGTTTAACTTTTTATTTTTTTATAAAAACGCGGAGTGTTTTTTTATATATTTATTTTATATAAATTTATATTTAATTTATATTAATTTTATTTATATTTTAATAAAATTATTTTTTTTTATAATATTTTTATTTTTAAAAGTAATGATTAATTAAAAAGTTATTACGATATATATACGTTTTTATGGTATTTTTTAATATTGTTTTTTACGGTTTTTATAAATTTTTTATAAATTTTATCGTTGTTATATAATTTTTTTGTTTTATGTGTAAATGATAAAAGTGGCGATAATGTATATAAATGTTATTGTTTTTTTTTTTTTTTTTTTCCGTTTTTTTTACCTTTTTATTTTTTTTTTAATTTTTTATTTTTTTTTAATATATTAGTATTTTTAATTATGTTTAATTTGCTTTTTATTAAAGTTTATTATATAATATACCAGTAATGTTATTATATTTTTATATGATAACGTTTTAAATTTAATTAATTTTTTATTATTTTATATATTAAAATTAATAATAAATTGTTTTTTTTATAACTATTAAAGCCTTTTTAATTATATTAATTTATAATATAAATATGTTTTAAAAATGTTAACGTTGTTTTAATATATGTAAAGGTTATTAATTAATTTACAACGGTATTTATGTTATTAAACGTTTACGTTATATTTTTAAATAATATTTTAATTTTTATTTTATATATTATCTTTTATTTTTTATAGTTTTTTATTAATTTTTCCTATTAAAACAAAATTATTATTACGTAAAAAAAAATGGTAAAATTTTTTTAATAAGTTAAAAATTATTAAAGTATAAACAAAAAGTATGTTATAAAATATTAACGCGAAAAAACCAAAAACCGTAAAAATTAATTATTAACTGTTTATAAAAACTTTTATTAATAAATTATTAATATAATTATTATTTTTTAAGAAATTTATAATAATATAATATATTATATATAATTTTAATATATTATAAATTTTTTTTTTTTTTTACTTTTAAAGTTTTTATTAATTTTATTTTTTAAAGGTTTAATTTTAACGTTAAAAAGTTTAAATTTAAATTTAACGTTAAAGATTTTTTTTAAACACTTATTATAATAAAGGTTTTAAAGGTTTTTTTTATTATTCCGATTATTTTTTTACGTTATTATACTTAATTTTAAATTTAAAATTATTATATTAAAAAATTTATTAAAGGTTTTATTTATTATTTTATAATTTATATCGTAAATTGTTTTTTTAATTAATTTTTTAGTTTTTTTATAAATCTTTTTAATAATAATAATATTATTAATATAAATACTTTAATTATTATTATTTTTATTAAAAATATTATAAATAATATTATTTTTAATAAAAATATATTAATAATAAATTAATTATATTATTATAAAGTTATTATTACACGTTTATTATATAATTTTTACTTATAATTAATTTTTAATTTTTTTAAGATATTATATGCCTTTTTTTACAAATTATTATTATTGGTATATTTTTTTTAATAAATTAAATATTATTTATTTTTGCTATTTTTTTTATATTTTAATATTATTTTAATTATAAATTTATTATTATTAATAAATATTATTTATTATTTTATAAACTTTTTATTAAATTTTTTATTATATAGTTTTAAATTATTAACATTAAATATGTTTTATATTTTATAACGTAATGGTAATTTTAATTTATATATTATTTTATAATATTTAATAATTTTTTTAATTTTAAAAGACTTTAAATATTTATTTACAAGTTTTTTATTAAATTTTTTTTAATTTATATTTTTTATAAAAATTAATATTAATTATTTTTTTATAAATATATATTTTTTTTTATTTTTATTATATTATTTTACGTAAATTTTATTAAAAGTTTAAAATAAAATTATAGTTATTTTTTTAATTTATTAAATTTTATTTATTGTTTTTATTTTTTTAATTGCGTTATATTTAAAGTGTAATATTATAAGATTTATAAAATTTTAAAAATTATATTTATTATATAAATAAACTAATATTTATTTATAAATTAAATAAATTAATATATTATATATTTATTTTATTAAAATTAATTTTTTTATTTAATTATTTTATTTAAAATTATAAAAAGTTTATAAATAATATTTTAAGTTTTAATTTTAACGTTTTATTTACTTATTTATTTGCAAATAAAATATTATGTTTAATTGGTATTTTATTATAAAATAATAATATAAAATTAATTAAAATTTATTTATAAATAAAGACTTTTTATTTAATATAATATTTTTAAATAAACTTATTTATAAAAATATATATTTAAAAAATATATTAATTAATTTAAACGTTATAAATTTTTTTATTATTAAAATATATAAAGTATATTTCGAAAATTTATTTATTATAATTAAAATATTATTATAATTTTTATTATTATATATTAATAAAACTAGTAATTTAGTAATAAAGTTTAATAATATTTTTTTATTTAATTTATTTAATATTGGAAAAAATTTTAACTTTTTATAAAATAAATATTTTTTTATTTTTATTTTTTAACAAATTATATACGTATTAACATAATATTTAACATTTTTTTATAAATTATTTTAATAATAATATTTTAATAATTATTAAATTATTTTTATTATTTTTTAATATTTTAATATTAAAGTATTATAATAATTTTAAAATATTTTATTATATAATATTAAAAATATATAAATTTTATTTTTAAATTTAAATAAATTATTTTTTAAAAATTATATTAACATTAATAAATTTTAGTTATTTTATTAGTTTTTTTATTTATTTAAAATCATAAAATTATTATTTTTTTATTTTTTATAAATTTTATTTAATAAAAGTATATTTAAATTTTCGTTATTTTTTAAAGCTATTAACGCAAAATTATACTTAAGCATTTTTTTTATAATTATAATTTTAAAATTATTATTATTATAAAAACTTAAAACATTTTAATTATTTTTAAATTTTATTAAAAATTTTAATAATATTTTTTATTTTATTTTATATATATTTAATAATAAAATATACATTTTTATAACTATTTTTTATTTAATTATTATAAAATTACTTATTATTATATTAAATATTTTTTAATTATTTTTAAATTTTATTTAAAATTTTAATAATATATTTTTTTTAATTTTAATTTTTTTTATAATATTTATATAGTTAAATTTTTATAACGTTTTATTTATTAAATTAAAAATATTTAACTTATAAATAATTTTAAAATTAAAATTAATTAATTTTTTTATTTATCATATTTATTTATTATTTAACTTTAAGTTTAAATAATTTATAATAATTTTTATTATTTTTAATAAATAAATTAAATAATATTATTATTTTTTAAAAACGTTTATTATTATTAACATTTTTACATTTAAAATTACATAATATATTTTAATATTTTATAATTTTTTTAATAAAAACGTTATTAAATATTATATATTTTTATATAATTATAAGAAAATTACGTTAATAATTTATTATAAAGTGTTAGTTTTTAATTAAGTTTATAATTTTATATTAAAATAGGTTAAAATAAAAACTTTTATAAATATTAACTTTAATTTTATAAAAGTTTTTAATATTTTACCTTTTAAATTAAAATAAAATAATATTTTTTTTTTAAAATATTTATTAATAAAATTATTATTTTTAAATAATTATAAATAAATTGTTTATAAAACTTTATAAAATTTAAAAATATTTATATATTATAAATATTATAAAATATTAATTATTTTAAAATTGTTAAAACTTTATTTTTATTTATTTTCATTTTATTTATAATTATTATAAAATTTAAAAATATTATTTTATTAATATAAAATTTATATTTTTTTGGGTTTATATAAAATTTCCATTTATATAATCTTTTAAAAATGTTATAAACATTTTAAATATATTATTTTTTATTTTTTAAATAAATTAAGATATTATTTAAATATATAATACATAATATATTAATTAAATTTATAAAAGGTTTTATTAATATAATTTTAAAACAAAATTAAAACGTTTAATAATTTAAACAATATTATTAAATATTTAAAATATTTATATTTAATATAAAATATTATTTTTTACTTATTTTTTATTTTAATATATAATCGGTAATATATGTTTTTTAAATTTAATTTTATAAAATATTTCATTTTTAAAAACTTATTTAAAATCTTATTAATTAAAAGGAAAACAATACGGTTTTTTTTTGTAATTTTATTTAAACCGTAATAATTAACGTATAACTGCAATTTTCCTTTTAATTTCGGAACGAATAATACCGGGGCTTTTGTTAAATTTTTAAAAAGTTAAATTTATCTTTTTTATAAAATATTATTAATATATTCTTTAAAGATTTTTAACTTTGTTTCCGTTAAAAAATAAATTAAATTAAATAAAGGCTTTTTACTTTTTTTAAAATTAATAAAATAATTTTAATTTTAATATTTTAAAAAAATAAATGTTTTTTATATGTTAAAAATATTTGTAAACTTTTTATATTTTTTAAAAATAAAAGATATTATTACCTTATTAAATATCTTTTATAAATTAAAATATTATGGAATTATAATGTTACTATTATTTTTTATTGTTATTATTATAAATACTATTATTTTTTTTATTTTTTATATAATTTTATATATTTTTTTTTTTTTTTATATTAAGTTTATATTTTTAAATTTAATGGAATAATATTACGTTTTATTAAATCCTTTTAAAATAATGTTAATTTTTATAATTTATAATATTTTTAATATAACTTTATAATTAAAATTTTATTTTATTACGTTAATAAAATTAGCGATTTTTTATATAACTTTTTAATTGTTTTTAATTTTTATAATGGTATAAAATTACGTTAATATCTTTTTTTTTCCGAAAAATCTTTTTATTTTTTTTTTTAAAGTAAAGTCTTTTTATATTTTTAATAAAACGCAATTAATTTTAACTAAATTATAATTAAATCTTATATTTATAAAGGTTTTAAAAAAGATTTATTTACTTTTTATTTGTAATTTTATTGTTATTTTAAAACAGATTTAAAAAAAGGTTAAACTTTATTAAAAGTTTTAAATACTTTTTATTTATATTGAAATGTTATTTAAGTTAATTATTAATATATTATTATTTAATTGTAAATATTTATGGGCAAAATGTTTATGTTTTTAATATTTATAACAAATAATTTTTAAATAATAAAATTTAATATAGTTTTTTTTTTTACAATTAAAATAACTTGTTAAATATTTTAAACTTTTAACGTTTAAAATAAAAATAAAAGTAAATTTTTTATTTTAATTAATAACGTTTTATTTATTTTTAATAATGTTATAACTATTATTTCTTTATTACGTTATTTTAACATTAAGTTTTTTAGCTTTTTTTTTAATATTTTTTATATTTTTTTATTAACTTTTATAAATAAATTCAAACGATTTTACTTTATTTTTTAATTTACCATATATTATTAACATAAATTTTTTAATATATTTAATTTTTAGTTTAAAAGTTAATTTAATTAATAAATTAAAAATTTTCGTTTTTTTTAAATGTTATTTTGGATTTTTTGCTTTAATTATTTTATATTTTTTTAAAAAAACCGAAAATAATTTATTAAGTTTTTAATGTAATTTTTATATTATTATAAAAAAATTAAATGTTTTTAAGTTTTTATTTTTAACCATATTATATAATTACTTTTTTATTTTTAATTATAAAATTTTTTTAAAATTTTTATTATTATCGGTAATATATTAAAATTATTATTTAATTACTTTATTTTTTAAATAAAACGTTATATATAAAGTTTTATTTTTATTTATATAATAATATTATAAAAAAAACTTAACTTTAAAACCTTTTAAAAAAATTATTAATTTTATGCCGTTATCGTTTTTATTTCTTTTATAAATAATATTAAGTAATAATAACTTATTAAAAGTTAAGTTTTTATTACAATTACTTTTCCGTTATTTTTTTTTATAATAAAAGTTTTTTACGGCGTAAAAAATAAATTGCTTTTTTTTTAAAACTATAAAATATTTGATTTTATATTTTTTTTAATTTTATCTTTTTAATTATTTAATATATTTATTTAATTTTTTTTTTATTATAGTTTTTAAATTAATAATATTTAACGGTATTATTACGTTAATTATTATTAAAATAAAATTTATATTTTTTATAAATATATTATTATTACCTTTTAATTAGTTTTATAACGTGTAATTTAAATTATTATTAATTATTTTTTATTTAAAAAACGTGGCGTTTTATTTTTTAATAAAAATTATTATAATAATTTAACGGCAATTTTACTTTTAATAAATAGTTTATATTAATAAATAAAAGTATTAAACTGTTAAAAAAAATTTTTAATATATATTATACGTAAAGTAAATATTAAAAATAATAACGAAATTATTATATAATAACCGTATAATAATAAAAATTTATTAACGTTTAATTTTTTATTTTTTTATAAAAACGCGGAGCGCTTTTTTATATATTTATTCTATATAAATTTATATTTAATTTATATTAGTTTTATTTATATCTTGATATAATGACTATTCTTATTGATTGGATTTGTTCTTTCAGTAATTTCGCTTACTATTGTCACTATCACTATTTCAACCATCACGTCCATACTATCTTAACACAACAGTATACGTAAAGGCTATTAAACACGGTCATACTAGCTTTACCATGCCTCAAGTACAGTTCTTCGGGTCTTAGGTCGGAGGAGGGACTGTGATCAACTACAGCTACACTGATATGCCGTGGAAACTGGTGTTCTGGGATTTTTGGAATTTTCTTAAGTACGCCCGATATCTGCCCTGGGTTGTATGGCCTATATGGCCTTGCTATGGTGGAAAGTTTGACGAGCTCTCATTCACATTTCCACATATGTGGTGTGTTTTTGTGCACATCATCCTCGCTATACTTCAAGTTGCTTTCATTCTAGCGCTGCCATCGGTGTTCATCCTTCCTGGATGGCTCTTCATATCCGGATTCATTACTTTCTTCGTCGTCAACCAGCTAATATGCCGAACTTTGAATGGAAGCACAATACAATACACATCCGAGCTAAGATACTCACCTAACTCGGAGAAATTTGAGCACGAGCAGTGGATTTTCTTAAACGGTATTTCCGTCGGGTATGACGGTAAGCTTCGAGTCATATACAACTATTACTAATAGAGAGTAGGGAAGCCTGGCTCAGGGGTAACCTTAATCGCCTAGCACTTACCTTCGGGCGACCTGTTATAGGCATTCATAATCGCACAAGCGGAGTCATCTTCGATATACTGGAAGCTATAGTTCAACGCTGCTTCGGATATGCAACCACTGATATTCGTCTAGCTTACAAGATTCTCAAGGATAAGCTGTATAATCCGCAGTATACAACAGTGGTCTTCATTTTACGTAAGTAGGATTTTATAATTCTTATCATTTTAACATTGAAGAAAGTCTTACACGAGTTCACCTTTCGTTTCTCATCAATGCCCATTTCTTCGATACTGTTCAACTAATTATCCTTGGGAAACAATTATTAACACTCGAGAGTTAGACTCACAAGGTGGTATCGAAGGGGGGCTTGTTATAGACTGGCTTTTACAGGAGGTTCCGCAGGATCTTCTCGCCAAGCTTGAAGTTTACACCTTCGGCAATGCGGCAAATCACTTCAATAACCCACATCGGCATCAAAAAAGCCAGGAAGCGCAAGTAAAGAATCCCCATATCTTAGACAGGATATTCGAGCAGTTTCCTTATCTCCCAGCCGACATGGACCAGACAGCAGCCAAAAAGAGTTTTGACAATGCACAACCTCATACACTGATTCCCAACGGCCAGGGTTCAGGGGAACTCGAACCTCATGGTGCCGCCTTAGATCGAGCTATCGGATACATAGAACACTACGCTCATACTACTGACTTCGTTGCTCTTTGGGGTGTTCTACATTTCATAACCAATACTCGAGCTTCACCGGAGATTCCTCGTTTTGTTGGTCGGCTCTTCGCTCATGAATCTCTTGGGGGCCACCTGCTAAACCAACATTACCTTAACGATATGTTTCCACTGGCTAAAAATGAATTCGGGGAGTTCACGGGTTGCGCAGAAAGCAACGAATTTATGGATAGCGTCATCAGCCCACCAGGGCAGGGAGAGGGTGATAACCTTATCCAAGCTATCCGCGAAGGCCTCGGTCATAGCTTCGCGGCGCTGAATCATATCGCCCTAGCTAAATCCGATGTTTCTGTACAAGGGAGATTGGCCAAGGAAGTAAGTGATTTGGATGGACCGGTACGAGTTAGGGACCTCAGTCGTCTATGGCATTATAGGAATGGGCAAACCCCTGGTAGCTTACGAAAAGTCTGAAAGGAGGACGTGCTATTGGTATTGGCATTATTTTTCATTTCAACTTGCCCGTTTCGATCAACGAGAGGCATGTGCGGACTTGCATTTTCTTCCACGGAATGACTCCCACCATTTGATTTTAATATGCCCATCAAAAATAGAATTTAGGATTTTCTTCGAGCGTCGGTATAATTTTCGGCTAACCTCAACCCATCTTCAAGACTGACTAGCGAATTCCATATTATTCAATTCATCTAGGAGGAAATCAAAGCCGTGTACGAAAGCATGATCAAATTTATTTATATTAGATATGAACGTCAAGAAAAATACTAGTTGAGCGAACCTGTACAAGACCTGCCATATAAGAGAACACATACTCTAATAGGTAGGTTAGGTACCTAACCTACCTAAGTATTTATGCATTAGATAAGTCTTACTTCTCTTCGAGAGAACAAGTCGATAAAAGTACCCAAATCGGCCTGACTCGAATTATACAAAGAAACGACACTAACTCTAAGAAATGTATCATTCCTCACATGGTGCAATGCTAGCCCAGATACCTGCCATCCCCCTAAGACTACCGCGATGGTCCAGATACACGCGAACTTATTACGAAAGTCGTCTGAAGTATCGAAGATGACTGTTGGCTGATGCTGCCAACTCTCATTGGCTCTAACTTTGACTGAATGGCCACTGCCGAATTCTCGAAATGTCTCTACAGCGTATTGATTGCGCGACAAGGCGTAAGCGTCGATTAAACAAACCGGCCCATGTAGCGCCAGTATGCCCCCAGTCACTTCTTCGGTGTCATCAGCGCCAAGAAGGGTTATATTAGCGGACAATAACGAGCCAATATCGACCGCCCCTTCGCGGAATGTATCCGGAATGATAAGATGGCCGTAAAGACTAGCCCAGGACCACGAAGGCGCACGATAACAGGCCGCCCGGGACGCCGGGATACCGACTCTAACATACCAACCCAATGTTTCTATCAAGCGATCTTCCCACAAGCCGGCTAGGTACCTATGCCTCCCCGGTATGAGACGTTTTAATGCGTTTCTAACATCCTTCGCTAGCCCAGATACGGCCACAAGCTTATCCCTTGATACGATGAGCTTCGTATTTGAATACAAGCTTATGGTAGCACTCCAATCGGCAAGGATCCGTGTATGTAAGTCTCTTGTCATACACGGAGTGGTGGGTATAGCGACGAGCTGCTTCCAGAGCGGGAAGCCAATATCGACGTGCTTTTCGTGCTTGTCCGCGTCGGTGGGGATCCCTCAAAACCTCTCAGATGCGTCTCACAAGCATGTGATTCTGCACACTCCCAAAACACCTGTTTTCTCCCAAAATATATAGTACGAGGAGCCATAAGTCTTTCATGTAAAACCCACGCTCGTTGGATAAGAGGTTCGTGCCGGAATGCCGCATGCCACGCCGTGTCTTCAAGCTCAACCCTGAAAGTTTCCCCGTTATCATATATGTCGACAGCCGAAGGAGCCACTAACGACGGATCGCGTGAAAAGAAACAGCCTCCTTCGTCATCATTGGCGCCGAGAGCGGAGACGCAAAATACCGAATTTCGATAAACATCTTGCATTGTCCCGGCTTCTCTGCGCCAGTCTTCGGGCGAGTCTTGGTAGATGCGCAGGCGGTCAATCCACATGTATCGAACCCCGAAGCGATATGCGATATATATTGCATCCTTCAACGTTTTTGGCAAGTGATCAACCGCATTGGACTTCTCTAGCCAAGCAGATGTAGACTTCAAGAGTTGAAGGGCCTTGTCTAACGGTTTGTCGCCCCACCGGTAACTCAAGGTGGCGTATGAAAACACATCAGAATCTTCACCTCTGCTTATTAATTGGAAGCTGGCAGTATCTTGTGAGTGCGTACCATGCGGGCAATTTATCTTTAATAATCGGGTTGGTCTGTAATTCTTGCTTCTCGGTTTAGGAGTGCATAGACTATGATGTCGTAAACAGATTTCCATCCGTCTGGAGATCATGGACCACGTTTGAGGAGAATCTGTTGAGTCCCGAATATCGAAGTTCAACTTGTCATCGAGAGGTTGTGAGGCTGCAAGCTTGCATAAGTTTTATGATAGACGGACCCAAAACCTGGCTGGAGAAACAAACGTATCTTACCCTTAACCAGTGAAACTGTTTTCAAGCCATGGCCTGAGTCTACTGTCATACATGGAATGTCATATTCATAAGAAATCCAGAATATGGTAAAGAAGCCATGCCTTTTTACTTTATTGATCTGACCCGCATCGTCGTGGAAGGGGAAATCACTACACATAACACACCCAAGCTGTGCAGAACGAGCAAAAGAATCCACGTCGCGATGGTGCCCATGTAAATACCAGAAGACCTGCGATGAGTTCTTAGATACTGCGAAGTTATAGGTTAAATTTAACCGTCTCTATGTAATAATATCTGGCATTGTACGCACTAAACTCATACTGATTGAGCTGCAACCCTTCAGTGTCTGCAATATGTTTTTTCGGCCGAACCTAGAGGAGAGGGTTTTCGTGCATTTTCAAGTCCGTATTTACAAGCTTTGCAGAGCATGATGCCAAAGTTTCCGAAAATATTGTAGCTCCTTTCAAGGCTGTCTGGTATTCTAGACACTATCCTACAAATGCCACTAGGTATATCAAAATCAAGATATAAGCTTATATATTAGAGAAAGGAATGGAGCAGATGAGGAGATGGATTATCGTCCTTCCTAAATATTTGAGAAATTGAAAGGGTAAAACGCCTATCATATATATGCAGTCAGCATCTTACCCTCACTAGAAACGTTTTATTATATGACTCCAGGCATACCATTATAATGCTAAGTCTACAAATCCAATAGGGGGGTTTAAAGTACTAACGACTTTTTCTTTCGCCCTTTTTTTATAAAAAACATGCCTACCTTACATAAATTAGTTATATCACAACGAGAGAAGTTAAAACGTTGGAACATTGAAAACATTTGAACTCCTTCATGTTTTCCCGCCAACAATATCGCCAATATTCCAGTCTCTAAATAGGTAGGTACACGTAGGTAGTCCGTAACAATGGTCCGTGCTACAATACTTGCCATTGTCTGGCATACCCCCTATTCCCGCTTCGTGACTTCGGTCCCGCCTACGACAACAGCGCGCAACTGAGAGCGGTCCAGAAAGAGCTCCTGATCAGCGCCAACCCTTGCTGCTTTCTCAGGGGTGTGTGAGAACGCCATGAAAGTCTGAAAGGCCGCAGCATCCTGGAACGTCAGCTCGGCAACGACGTCGTAATCAAAGTCAGCTTGGGACCCAAGAAGCACTTGAGCTGGGCTCGAGGCATTCCGGGTTGTGCCCTCGCCTTGGCCTTGCGTGCGTTGGATATAGTGCCGTCTGTGTGATAGCGGGAAGTGCGGACCAGCTACCTCTTGTAGTATAGGCATGTGAATGTTTTCGAGGTGCTCCTTGAACTCCTCAGGAGAGACGCCGTCTTTGCGTGTGAAGAAGAATAGGATGGAGAACGCCATGGTAGGTAATGGTGTAGTCTCGCGTGCGTGTTTTGGAATCTGATATGTAGTGTTGATAACTTTGGGGTTTATTTGGTGAATGACAAGATGAAGGTGTTTTCAAGTTATACTTGAATATTCCAAGGAAGGCAAGAATAATTAAAACATCGTAGCTATAAGATCAACAGAATATACTTTCCTATAATTGCTATTATATGGTCCAATCGCCTATTTGATCCGGCGAACTAGGTGACACAACAGACGGTGGGTAATCCTTTTTCGAATACTGACGTAGGCTTGGTAGGCTTAGCATTACGTAGAGCCAGGTTGGGAAACATGTATCTTCTCTTATAAAATTCGATTAATTAGCACCTCGTCGAACCAATCCTGATAACTCCGTGTACAAGAGGAGATTACGAATGTTGCGGCAACTATAAGTATTTCGGACTTCCCCAGGTTTGTGTTTGAAACATATGTCCATTTATAGTTTGCTTCTCTTCGTAGGATTCGTCATGCGCCGTGGGGGGTATAAATGGTCCGTATTACTCGCAAATAGCATAGTTTCCGTACCCAATTGGTTATGATTTGAAATCATTTCTAGGATAGTCATTGTCCCGTACCAAGTATTTTCTAGTATTGTCCTTAGGTGCAAGCATTTTATCATGATATTAAACTGTAATATTAAACTCGATTACTATATCATTAAATAATTTAAGGAGTGTCCCTAAACCAAGTCGTACCAACCCAGCCCCTATCCTTGCCCAACCTGAATGGCCCTTAAAACCAGACGCGCCCGCTCGAATGCAGAAAAATTAAAGAAGGGGAGATAATATGGAAATTTCTTTCAAACTATAAACCCGAACCTCTGAAACAGCCAATGTAGTATTAGTAACTGAAGTGTCATTGGACTGGCTTAGAACCAGCCAACGCTCAGGCCGTTAGGCGCGTTAGTGCCATCGACCACGAAGTCCTGTTTAATGACATTGATATCGAACTGGCCGACAGCAACCGTCTCCCAGTGAAGGGTCTTACCAGCGGGGCAGGGGAAGTTCTCGACTGCCGGATTGGAAAAGCCGACCTTGTCGAAGTTGTAGAAGCCGGTGGCATCATCGAAACGCACGCGCGCTAGCTGGGTGTCACGCAGGTTGCCCGAGGGTAGGTTGGCCAGGTCCGTGAAAGAGTTGCGGAAGAGGTCAAGAGCCTTCTCGCCAAGCACGTTATCGCCGTTGCCGATACGGCCGGCGTGGATGACTAGGGTGCAGGTCTTACCCGCAGCGGACTCCGGGATTGGGATATCATATAGGGTGCTTGTCTCGGTGTTGCCGTTCCGTACTGTGGAAATTTGCACATCCTGGGTGTTTAGGTTGCTGGTGATGTCGTGGTTCTTGATGATGCTAGGTACAGCGAAGCCGACCCAGGCGTGCTCCTCTCGGGCATTAACAGTGTTGGTGCCAGTCGGGGCGGCGAGGGAGAGGGTAGCCGAAACGAGGCAAAGAGCGGCAGTGGCGTACTTCATTTTGAGGGTACGGAATAGATTTAGGGTTGATTGTTAGATTTAGAGAGTTGATATTAAGAATTGAAACGGTACTAGTAGAAGATATGTGTGCTTGTGATTATGGTTTATTGTTCTGTGATGATAATTCCTTTCTTTTGGAAGACGAGATGTCTTCTTATATAGACATTTAACGAGAACTTAACCCTCACCGTCTCGCGATATCCACGTCCTAGGAAACCACCATGGCACTCTAGGTTGATTCTATTTTTACTCGAATATTTGCCTAACTAACCGTGAGCTTATGAGGGGCTTCTAGCTGCTGACGCTAACGGAGTACCATTTCTATCGCCTATTGGAGGCCTAACATCAACAGCTGAATTTTGTCTATAAGCATTAGCTCTTGGAAACAAAGCTCTAAGGTGCTAAGAGATGGGAAAATATTCGCACCGCCTCATATGAGCTTGAAGATAGTCGGATCGTAAACTACCCGGTACCGGGTGACCGGCAAAGCCCCATAGTTGAAGCATGACATACACCAATCTCGACCAGTGATAGCGAGTTGAGAAGTGGCAGCAATAGCCTATGGCTTAATGCCCCAGCATTAAGGCTGAAATTATTGTCAGCCATGTGTGCTCTCGAGCTTTCTCAGCCTCAGGTCCGCTATTATGGTAAGCCTCCAGGACTACGCCAAGCATGGAAAGGTCTGTCATATGCTCTGTCGACATTTGCTGCATAGCTTTTTTATACGGAATGGCTGCTTGAGGGGTGATAACCAACACGAAACTACTTACATGGAAAGAGAGTTAAATTGTCAGCCCGCTGTCAATAGTCATCAGGGTATGTACGAATTGTCAGCTAACGTCACGAGGCAGAAGGGCTGTCGAAGGATATACCCTCGAGTTGCTTAGTTCTGCCCAGCTGACACTACCAAGTAAAAACATTTGGAGTTTTACGTAAACGGTGTGAAGAGGGTATCGTATTCCAGTATTGACCAATGAAGTCCTGTCTGACATACTTCGTAAACTTTACTCTCAGCAGATAGTCGTAAGACTGATGTAAAAGGCTTGATAAGCATGAGTTATCATTATTCCGGCTGCTTGACATCCAGGTAGTGTCTAACTGAATAGATTCATTTTATTTATTGTTGCACTCGATGTCATAACACTTTGGAGGCCGCGGGTGTCGAAAATTCGTAACGTAGTATTTGGGGCCTTCGTATCGAGGATAAATGTTTATCTTGTACGTATTAAGCCATTTTATTCATTGATGATATTTGCATGAGTAGATAGACCAACATTATTATGACTTGAGAGAGTACCTAAGGCCGGCGCGGTCGGCTCTTCCACGCGCTTGCTTCTTCTCCTAATTTTTTAAGTGCTGAGTCGTATGCAGCTATCTTACTTTCAAACTCATCTTCTTTCTCCTCAGTCACCCTGATGCGCTCCACCTTCTTGCTCCTTTGGATAACGGTCTCGCTAGCTACTTCGTTCCAAAACCACCTTGCCTCCGGATTAGTAAATAGTGTCCACGCCTTGCCGGTCTTCCCAGCTCTGGCTGTGCGGCCTACACGATGAATGTATGAAGCTATGCTAGACGGCATATCGTAGTTGACAACGTGATCTAGACTAGGAAGATCTATACCACGAGCAACTAGGTCGGACGCAACGAGAATGCGTAATTTTCCAGCTAAGAACGACCGAATGGTGCGTCTCCGAGCTACGTATTGCGTTGTTGAAGTAAGCGTACCGACAAGAGCGCCCAAGGTTGGCGAAAGCAGTAAAAGGAGACGTGAGAGACGTAGAGCTGTTTCGTTTGATTTGGTAAATATCAAAACACTCGGTGTGTTTGTAGTAGGGGGGATGGTATTGGAAGTCTCATGTGATCTCTCTAGACCTGAATCAGAGCCCGAATCAGAATCGGAGTCCGAGTCGGACCCAGATGAAGAAGTTTCACTATCTGAAATATCATCTCTCGACCTGTCATGACTGATCTGTCCCAGTATGTAATTGCTCTGAAGTAGATCCAACAGGAAGAGCGGCTTGAGGTTAGGGTCGCTGACTTTGAGTGCAGCTTCTTCGAGCGTTTCGGGAAGCGCAAGGTCAGCTTGACTTATGGTAGCTTCTAGCTCTCCGGTGTTACCAGAACCCTCCAGTATGATCAACTTGGGCCAGCGAAGTTTTAGCCCTTCTAGACGATCAAGATCCCTTGTCATCGTGGCGCTGAGGATGACCTTCCGAACACCTGACAGGTTGGATTGCTTGTGGTTTCGTGAGCCATTGCTTGACTGCAATCGCGGGATAACTACATCTAGCCACTGTTGGAAGTTTTGACCGAGCAGTTTGTCGGCTTCATCAACGACGAGCCAACGGACGAAGTCTAACGAAAAGCCAGGTGTGTATTTAATATGTTCGACAAGCCTCCCCGGCGTGCAGATAAGAATATCAACCTTGGATTTGTATGCGATTACGTGATCCGGTAATGTTTGGATCTTGTCTTCTTTCTTTTGAATCGCTGCTCTCTCTTCATCATCGGTATCGTAACCCTTGTCGCTCTCATCATCAGAACCATATCCACTCTCAGAAGCAAGTCTCCTATTCCGTTTAGCGAATGCTTCCGGGTCATATTCCTCTTCCCTTTCGACAAGGGCAGCTTGTTCTTGGTCAACGGACTGGCTACCCATCGAGATGCCAATCCGTACTCTCCTCTTAGTGCCATTTAGAGCAAATGCACCTGCGCACTCTTCGCATACTTGTTGAACTTGCTTTACAAGTTCCCGAGTCGGAAGAACGATCACAGCACGGAGCCTCGTCAGATGCCGATTGCCTTGGCTCAAGTCTCGTACTAGAGGTAGGACATAGGCTAGAGTCTTTCCAGAACCAGTCGCGGCGGAAACCAAAACATCACCATGCATCTTCTTGTCGTGATGGGGAAGAAGTAGTGGTATCGCCGCGGTTTGTATAGCAAATGCTTGCTTATATCCATTTGTAGCTAACCTTTCGGCTACTTCGGAAGTGATCCCTAGGTCTGGAGAGAGTCCAAACTCTGTAAACTGTGCCGTAGCCTGCGGAGATACACGAATTGGTTTCGCCAGCCAGGACGGTAATGTCTCGTAGGCCGGTTTCGTAGCCTCGGGGATGACCGACTTAGGCTGAGGTAGCGGTTGAAGACCATGGATTTCAGGTATTTCAGCATCCACGTCCATAGCATTATCGGCGGCCTTCGATTCATTTCCATCGTTGGCGTCTGGCGCATCTTGCATTAATGTATCTTCATACTTGTCTGCTACGGATTGCAACTCGGGAGCTCGTATTGACTTTGCCGCCCTTTCCAGGACTGCTTTGTGCCGTATTGGGGTTTCATCCTCAACCTCGTCGCGAGCCCCTAGATTTCCCTTCTTTTTCGCTTTCTTTTTTATTTTCTTTTCTTTCCGCCCTTGGTCCGTCAATTCGGGAAGCTCCTCTGAAGTTGGCTGCTGGGCTACTCCTCGTTCTAATGCGCCTAGCTCTGGAGCTGTCTCAATTTCGTCTGGCTTAGTTTGAGCAGCCGTCTCTATCACAAGCTCATCGGCGGGCTCCTCTGGGTCTTCCGCGCCAGTATATAGCTCCTTGGGTTGTTTTGATTGTCTGGTCTTCTTTTTTGATTCCTTCGCAACATGACTCTCGTCCATCAGCCTAGCTTTCTTATTCGGCGGCTCATTTCCATTGATGTCATCCCGGAAGTGAACATGCTGAGAGGGTTGGTGGTGTTCAGATTGGCTATTGACGGATTTCGAGGGCGGAATGTATCTTGCATAGGCTATCGGCTGCGATTTCACCAGAGGGTTCGATATTGTTTCAATGGTCTGCAGTGGCTCCGGGCTCTTAACAGTCCCTTTTGGTGGTGGCACATATCGCGCGTACATTTTTGTAAGCCTGCAAAGTGCCGTGCTTTGAATTGCGAGAGAATGGATTTTAAGAGTTTACTTTAGGTACCTAAAGTGAGACATGATGGAAGCTCCAATAATTCTGCCATCACATAAAAAGTTGGCCGCCTTCCTGATTTAGTTATCTTGGGGCTTTTTTATTTTTATAAGAGCACTATCGATAACAGTCTTACATGGGGCTGGTGGATCGAGAATAACGTACGAAGTACTAAATCATGCTAAGGCTAGGATCTACCTACCTATCTATTACAACCCCGGATTTCCAATTAGCCAATCCTAACCACCTCGACACTGAAATCATTAACCATACGGTAAAACGTTTCATCATTTGTCTATTGATACATATATCGAATGACTTGATCGTAATAGTACGGCAATTCTTAACATTTTCCCATCGCGGAAGTTCTTGACAATTCTCGAATATGACACGAACTTCTTTCCAACGATCCGCTCGTCACCCGCCACGATGCCGCACCGAACCTATAATATCGCCATGGTTAGCGACTTCTTCTTCCCCCAGCCGGGAGGTGTCGAGAGTCACATCTACCAGCTTGCCTCCAAGTTAATCGACCGAGGTCACAAGGTCATCGTGATAACTCATGCTTATGACGACCGGAAAGGAGTTCGCTACCTTACAAACGGCATCAAGGTCTTCCACGTCCCCTTCGCCGTCATTTACCGATCTGCCACCTTTCCCACAGTCTTCTCCTTCTTTCCCCTCTTCCGGAACATCATCCTTCGCGAAAAAATCCAGATTGTTCACGGTCATGCCAGCTTGAGCACCCTATGCCAGGAGGCAATGCTACACGCTAGGACCATGGGCCTACGAACCGTCTTTACCGATCATTCCTTGTTTGGCTTCGCTGATGCGGCAAGCATCTTGACTAATAAACTGCTCAAGTTCACACTCAGCGATGTCGACCACGTAATATGCGTCAGTAATACATGGTGCGTTTTCTAACCTTCACCCCGTCTTCGCTTTAACACTTCCGCTCACATCTCTCAAAGCAAGGAGAACACAGTTCTTAGGGCGGCCCTAGATCCTCTCATGGTCTCCGTCATTCCGAATGCTCTCGTCTCCGAAAATTTCAAGCCCCTGCCCCGTCCAGACCTACATAGCCTACCATTCGTCCAACATCCTCTGCCGGCGCACCCCCTCGGACCCAACGACACCCTGACTATCGTTGTTATTAGTCGTCTATTTTACAACAAGGGCACAGATCTCCTCATAGCAGCCATCCCTCGAATTCTAGAGAACCATCCGAATACGCGCTTCATCATCGCCGGCTCGGGACCAAAGGCTATCGAACTAGAGCAGATGATCGAACAGAACGTGCTGCAGGACAAGATCGAGATGTTGGGGCCCGTGCGGCACGAAAATGTACGCGACGTGATGGTGAGGGGTCACGTCTACCTACACCCCAGTCTAACAGAAGCATTTGGGACAGTCATCGTCGAAGCCGCCAGCTGCGGTTTATATGTCGTATGTACGGCTGTCGGAGGCATTCCCGAGGTACTTCCCTCACACATGACAGTATTCGCGAAGCCCGAGGAGGATGACCTAGTAACCGCAACAGGGAGGGCTATTGCGGCTCTCCGTGCGAATAAAGTCCGCACGGAGAAGTTCCACGACCAGGTCAAAGCCATGTACTCATGGACCAACGTTGCGAAGCGCACCGAACGCGTCTATCAAGGCATCTCGGGGGATGTCAGCGAGGCCGAGTTTTACGGCTTCGATGTTAATCATGACCCACATTGGCATGCCACACGCGGGCGCAACTTTTCTCTGATTGACCGGCTCAAGCGCTACTACGGTTGCGGTGTCTGGGCTGGCAAGCTGTTCTGCCTGTGCGTCATCATTGACTACCTGATATTTGTGTTTTGTGAGTGGTTCTGGCCCAGGGACCGGATCGATTTCGCGCGGGATTGGCCGCGAAAGAAGTTTGAAGGCGATGACGATGATTAGGGTTATGACGTGTAAAAGCCGTGCAGAGACGGATTTATTTATGTATTCGAACATAAGGTTAACTACCTAATTCCAGGTCGGGCGGAGATATTAGCAGCAAATAGAGATACCCATTGCTTAGATGTTGACGCAGTTTATGTTATACGCGCCGACCCTACCTACCACATAGTTGCGAATAAAGAGCAATGCCATTGGATAATATAACTCTTCAACATCCAGTTCACGTATAAATCAACTGCCTAGAAATATCATCATATAATCTCATCCAAGGACTGTTAGTACGACAGAGGGATTGTGTAAAGTATTTTCATTATATCCGCGCCGTCAAATGCGACTCTCCGAAACCCAAGACCAATAATATTTACGTAGAGCCGCCCTTTTGATAAATACGACAGATCATTTAGGTATTTAGCAAGTGAGACGAAGAAGCGAGTCTCCTCATCAATTTCATTAATACCCAAGATTAGATCATGCCACATCTTAACTCCGAGCCATCTTTTATCATCGTCTTTTTTTGACTTGTCCCCCTTTCTACGACGCCTCAGCACTGACCTGTAGGGGCGAACTGAACCCTAGGTGAGTACCTAAATAATACATTAGGTAACTAAACACACTTATGACAGCAATCCTGAATATTAAGATGCTGCTATCCACTCATTACCTTATTCCCAAATAACGACGTAATCAATGATGTGATTTACATTCAGTACATTGTACAGCCTAGGGTAACACAACTGCTATGTTGTGTTGTGGTAAGAAGCCATTGGTCGCGAGGAGCGAAACATCGAGTCATAAAAGCAGACTCCGGGTTCTGTGGTTGACTCGACTCGGCGTACCTGTAGAAAAGACTGTTGCTACCTTAATTATTTCTACGTTCAGGCAATCGAGGCCACCACGTATCTTCAGAAACTTCGTATGTGTGCCGGATCAGGATACGTGGTGGTCAGTTTTACTCTAGGAGTGATACACACCTAAATACTACCTAACTTAATCCAGGTATATGATTCAAAAATAGCCAACGATCTTCTCTAATCGGTGGCTAAGCAGTGTAAATGGAAGTACGTCGATTTTTAGGCACTGAAAAATAAAGGGGTTGATGCCCATTGGGTAGAGAGGAATGATAATTTCGAATTCCCAACTAATTCTTGTTCCTTACAAAGTCTTTAAACCCATCCTTTTGTATTGCTTCGACCGCTCATTATCCCCAGGACAATATTTCGTCGTAAAGTTTCCAATACTATCCAATATAGTCTAAACAAACCGGAAATCCCGATCCTACTACAGGTCTCGATAAGGCCATCATGGCAGGTAGGTGCCACAAAATTCGTATCAACAGCTCCAATAGTAATACTCATATGATAGAAACAATTCCTATGATTGCGTGGTGGTTCCTTGACAAGAAAAAAGCATTCGAAACCGAGCAGAAATATAAGGAGACGAACAAGAAAATCACCGAAGTTCTCCTTGCTCAAGAACAGGAACGCTCAGCTCGGCAGGAAGCTGAACGCAAAGAAGAGCAAGAACGCCAAGCCCGAAAGGAAGCAGAGCGCCGCGAAAAACAAGAGCGCATAGCTCGAGAACAAGCCGAGCTTAGAGAAGATCAGGAGCGCTTAGCCCGAGAAAATTCAGAACACAGAGAAGCGCAGGAACGTCTGGCCCGAGAGGAGGCAGAGTCCAGGGAAGAGCAGGAACGCCTAGCTCGGAATTTAGCAGAGGCTCGGGAGAAAGAAGAACGTATAGCCCGAGAACAAGCAGAGCAAAGAGAGGGACAAGAGCGCTTAGCTCGACGAGAGGCAGAACAGAGAGAAAAGCAAGAACGTTTGGCTCGACAGCAAGCAGAATGCAGAGAGGAGCAGGAACGTCTAGCTCGACGAGAAGCAGAGCTTAGAGAGGAACAAGGCCGCTCAGCTCTAGAATTGGCACAACTCAACGAACGTTTAGCTCGAGAGGCCGAGAGAAAGGAAAGATACGAGCGCGAACTGCGCGAACTGTGAGACCCTATTATAAATCCTCTTCCGTTTGCGAGCGCTTTCATCTGCTAACAATAGTAATAACAGCGGTGTTTTACCAGACCGCAAAATCACCGACGCCGATATCAAATATGCCCGCGCCGTGGCAGGATACGAAGACGGATGTGTCAATATCGCCCTTATCGGCAGCCAAGGAACGGGCAAATCCTCTCTCATCAACTCACTGCGCGGTTTAAGTCACGGCGATCGAGACGCGGCCGAAGTGGGTGACATCGAAACAACTTTGAGACGGAAGAAGTACAGAGACAGCAAAAGCATCGTCTGGTATGATATCCCAGGATCGGGAACTCGAAATGTTTCGGCATGGCAGTATTATTACGACAACGATCTTTATATTTACGATAAGATCGTGTTTGTCCACGGTAAAATCCTGACTGAAGTAGGCTCACAGCGATCATTATTAGACCACCCTTGCTAATATGATTATCTAGTCAGACTTGAGGATCCTAAAGCTATGCCAGTACAGAAAGCAAGAATGGGTTTCTGTGCGTTCTAAGGCCGATCTGCACATATGGAGCTATAAACGACGAAGGGGAATGTGCCCCGCCGAGGCTCGCCAGTGCTATATCGACGCTGTTCGGTCGGACACAGCTACGTATAACGCACGAGACGAGAATTCGGTTGAAGATTTAAAGCTGTCCGTGAAAGACTACATAGTATCCGACATGGGCGTTCTCCAGCTCGTCACCGGCTCCGAGCCATCTGAAGACCCTATCGAACAAGTCATCGACGAAGCCGCCTTCCTGGAGGACTTGGGTTTATCACCCGGAAGAGTGGAAAGCAAGTAGGGACATTGCGGTTGTTCGAATAACTATTACGTGTTTAAATTTGCTTGTTACCTTGGAAGTTATGTTACGAGATTGAGAATGCTGTTACGAATGGAACAAGTCAACTAAGACTCCCCGGCGGAGTGCGATTGTAGGTTAAATGTGTGAGAGAATAGGGTTATGTATTTGAGAAGACCATCTTAAAATTTTTGGAAGAGGCTCACGAGTTCACAAGGCATGTTAATGTAATTAAAGGGGACGGTTTATAGCTTACAGCTTGCGGTTACCTGATAAGGCTGACTAATCTGACCGTATCTTTTAGATAGGCATCTTAGAGATGTCTTTAAAAACCTTCCCAATACATCTTCATGTCTACAATTGCTAGCACCTCATTCCATTTCGATTCTTAATTGACAGCACAGATATATGCATCGGAAAACCGATTCTTGGCCTGATATTTAATTTTAATAAAATAACTAGGTCATGTACTGCAATGCGATTCCAATCATATCACCATTATCAGGTGATTTTTTCGATATTATCGTGGATACGACCTCCGATGGAATATTTATAGTTAATGGAAGCTTTATCATTAATGCATTTACGGAAGGTGGACATTACTTGTCCAGCCGTAACGCTAACAAAGGAAGGCGCGCGAATTTGCTGAATTTCTCTGGCGCCCTCCATTTCAGGCCGTGTAGCAGCCAAGGCTTCTAGGCTTGCAAAAGCAAGACTGAAGTTCCCTCATTAGTGTTGAACGCCGTGGACGTCTTGGCTGCTTATCCGGAACGGAAAGTGCAAACGGACAGACCTCGGATTACATCAGTCTCGGCGAGCCTAGACCGTCGAAGAAAGCGGAGAGAGAGTGTGGTGGAGCCAGCTAGGAGAAGGGGGTAGGGGGGCCGGGGGGGAGGGACGGGTTAGCCGGGGCTCGCCGCTGCCGACAGCCGGAGAATTACAACTTTTTCCGCAAAGCTAGAAACGCAGATCGCCGGTAGGCTATAGCTGAAGCACATGTTTGCTTGCCTGCTAATATCGCATGCCGGCGACCTAAATCTCGCGGGCCGGAAGCGTTGATCGCCCGGTTTGTCGGCCAGAAACAACATGGGCCAGGCCATTACCATTGGCTTGCCCAGTTTGAAGATATAGCCGATCCGAAGCCCATGATATGGAAATGACTTGGCATGTTGACTTGGCATGTTGACCAAGGTCATGAGGTGTGCCGGCCTGGAGTTACAGCGCCTTATCTATCAAAAGCTCCCGTCTAATCCCTTGGCCCCTCTTCCTCCTTCCTATTAGGCTATGTTCAGTCTCGTCGCGCAGGGAGTATGCGTAATCTTCAAAGGTTCTTTTCAAAGACTGTCCTGCCTATCTTGCTATAACGTCGCAGGGTGGATGTCCTTTGAAGTGCCTTTAGACGATTGCCCTGCCGATACTATTCAAACCTGGGTGACGTCGCGGCGCGAATTTGGGCAGATTGGGAAGGAGGAATTTGGCGACGGCTAGTCTAATGGAGGGCTCTGCTTTGGATAGCGACAACAGGAGCGTGATGTAAGTCACGATACTGGAGTCAGGATAAGTATAAAAGAGGACGCATGTTCTCATCCTGTCTGGTAGTTTGCAGCAGCAGCATCCTGGACTCATCTTGGACTCATCTTGCCTACTATCTAGCCTCTACAACATTAGCGCCCCTTTCTCCCACGTGTCGTCTTCAGAACGCTAGAGATGGAGCTATTCAGGTTCCTTGCCTTCCTGGCAGCCGTCCTGCCCGTTGCCTACGGTGCCCCCACGCAGGCTACGGCCAGCCTCCACCCGAAGCTCCTAGCCGCCATGAAGCGCGACTTGGGGCTGGACGCCGAGCAGGCCACTGCTCGCGTCGCCAGGGACCTTCGGGCCACCGAAGTCATCGAGCAGCTGCGCAGCTCGGCGGGTGATTCGTTCGCCGGCGCTTGGATCGCCGAGGACGGCACCACGCTCAACGTCGCCGTCACCGACCCAGCCTTGGCCGCCGAGGTGACCGCTGCTGGCGCCACGCCGGCTATCGTGGCCAATAGCTTCTCCAAGCTCGAAGAGGCTAAGCTGGCACTTGACAACATGGACATCGAGCAGCCCAAGACCCTCGCCACGGACTCGGCCGACTCGGGCATCGCGGCGTATTACGTCGACGTCGCCGCCAACAAGCTCGTCATAGAGGCACTTGTCGGCAGTACCGCCCACGCCGAGGCGCTGGCCGCGCAGGTCGGGCTCGTCGCATCCGAGTTCGAGGTGCGGACAGTTGAGACGATGCCGACCACCTTCGCCACGGTCCTCGGCGGCGACGCCTACCTAATCAACCGAAGTGCCCGGTGCTCCGTCGGCTTCTCGGTCACAACTGGCTTCGTTTCGGCTGGCCACTGCGGCACCTCAGGTAGTTCTGCCACCACCAGCAGCGGTGCGTCGCTAGGAACCTTCTCGGGTTCGGTCTTCCCAGGCAGCGCCGACATGAGCTACATCCGCACTGTCAGCGGAACCACCCTCAGCGGCTACATCGACGGATACGGCCAGGGTAACCTGCCTGTGTCGGGCAGCACCGCGTCCGCCACCGGCGCCAGTATCTGTCGCTCCGGCTCTACCACCGGTGTCCACTGCGGCACAGTCCGCGCCCTGGGCGCGACGGTCACCTACGCTGAAGGACGTGTCACTGGCCTCACCCAAACCAACGTGTGCGCCGAGCCCGGCGATTCGGGCGGCTCCTTTTACACCGGCGCCCAGGCCCAGGGCGTCACCTCGGGAGGCTCCGGCGACTGCACTAGTGGCGGCACGACCTACTTCCAGCCCGTCAATGAGATTCTGTCGAGCTACGGCCTTACCTTGGTCAGGGCTTAGTTAGCTACTTGTCACGGCCGTCGGCACCACCTGAGCTGTGGTAGATCTTTGAAGTGTTTGGACTTTGCAGAGAGATAAGCGGAAACGTGTTAGTAAAACAAGATTAGTAAACCCAGTGTTGGGAAACCATTATTATATTGATATAACTGGAAGTGCTTTGTCTTGAGTGTTTTAGTGATTTAAGTGTCGAGTTATCTCAATACCTCAGACTTATCTCAGGTGACTTTAAACCCGATATTTTCGAGTCGGGCTGCGCCCGCTTGCGCCACGTAACGCGTAGTCCGTATGTGTTAAACAGCCGATATGCATTCACGGTTAACTAAACAAGGCATTATCTCAGTGGCTCAGACTAGATTCGTTGAAAATCGGGCTTACGCCCGATTGCGCCAGAGGCGCCACAGGCGCCACAGAACGCCTGGCCCGTGTAATTGTATCTGTAAGTTATAGGTGCGAGTTTTAACGAATTTTAGTTTAAGATAACTCGGGCGTTTTTGGCCACGTTAAAACAAGTCTTTTTAAAAATTAAACCTTATATTTACAATGATTTAATATTTAATAATAACATACGAAATAACTTTTATTTTTGTTATTTAAAGTTAATAATATGTTTTTTTTACTTTTCCATTTTTTTTATATATTTATACGGCATTATGTTATAATATTTTAAGTTTTAACATTTAAAACGACGTTTAAAAACACGTAATAATATTAAAAATGTTATATTAATATTTGTATTTACGTTTTTGTATTTACAACCATGTTTAAAATATTTTTTATTTTTATAATTTAAAGTTTTTAATTTAATTTTTTAAGCTTTTCCGGTATTTTACATGTTTATATAATATTACGTTATAATGTTATAAATTTTAACGTTATATATTTTTAAAAATGTTACGACCGGTATTACGGTTAATTATTATTTTAAAACGTTTAAAACGTTTAAAACGCGTATATTTAAACGTTTAAAAAATCGGGTAAACGCGTATATTTATTAATAATAAAGTTAATAAATATTTTAAATTAATTAAAATTTATTTTAAATACGTTAATATTATTATTTTTAATATTGTTTTTAATATTAAATAATTTAATGTAATAAAAATTACCCGAGTTATTTTAAATTAAAAATATAAAATTCGTAAAAAAAAATAAGTTAAAAATGTAATTAATTAAAAAAAAGTGTAGCAAAAAAAATATAACGAAATTTACGTCATTAATTTAAATTCACTGAAATAAATAAAATAACGTATTTAATAAATTAATTAATAACTTGATTTAACTTAAGTTTAATTTAACTTAATTTAAATAAATATTATTTTAATGTTTTAAACTAAAAATTCGAATTAATTCGGGAAATTATACCTTTTTTAACCACACCATTTTTTAATTAATTAAAACCCGAAACAATTTATTTTAATTTATTTTAATAAATTTAAACCATAAATTTAATATCGTTTATAAAGTTATACTTTTTTTAATTACACCATTTTTTAATTAATTAAAACTTAAAACAACCTTTTAAAACAATATTAAATTTATGGTTTAAAATAACTTTAAAACTTTATACATTAAAAATATACGTTTAACGTTTTAAAACAATAATATTAATAAAATTATTAAAATAATAATATTAACATATATTTATAATAAATAATAATTAATTATATAATAATTATTAACTTTATTATTAAATTTATTAATTAAATTTATACATTTTAAATTTTTTAAAATATTAAAATAATTATAACGGTTATAACGCATTAATTACAATAATAATTATAATACCGGTTATAATATTAACTGTAATAATAATTATAATAATAATTATAATAAACGTTAAAACTTAATAAAAAAAATTAAAAAGTTTAAATAATAATATTATTAATTTAAAATTATTAAAAAAAAATAATTTTATATATAATTATAAAATATTAAATTATTATATTTAAATATTTTATATAAAATTTAATATTAAATAAATAATTAAAACGTTAAAGATTTTTAAACGTTAAAATTTAATATATAAAAACGTAATATTATATAAATATATAAAAAAAATAAAAAAATAAATTAAATATATTATTAATTTTAAATTATTAAAATTAAAATTATTTCATATATTATTATAATATATTAAATTATTATAAATATAATATTTAATTTTTTTATTATTAATAAAATTATTAAAAACTTTTATAACGTTATATAACCTTAAACTAAATATTTTTAAATATTTTACTTATAATTTATAAATATAAACACATAAACCACGCATTACGTGGCGTTTATGGCAAAATAAACAAACAAAACCCGCCTCGAAAATATCGGGTTTAAAGTCATTTAAAATAAATTTTAATAAACTTAAATTAAAAATTTAATATCGTTTG